GACTTATAACCCCAATTATAAGCTACTTAATAAGTCGCATGATCCTCTATGTAGGAACAAGAGCAGGAGCAAGAGCAGAAGCAAGTGCAAAATCAGGAGCGAAAGCAGGAGCAAGAGCAGAAGCAAGTGCAAAAGCAGGAGCAAAAGCAGGAGCAAGAGCAACAGCAAGAGCAGGACCCGCCGCTGGAGCTGGAGCAGGAGCAGGAGCGGGAGCCAGAAAAGGAGCAAGATTCTCCCCAACCTAACAGTCGAGATACGAACACTTTCTAACAACAAAAAAGACATGTTTCTTTATTGGAGCCCCCACCGGTTTATCATGAGGTCAATCGGTCAATCATTAGGTGGGTGGGTGGTGGGGGAAGGGGATGCGATTCTAAGACTAACTTCCAACAGAGTCGCCTCGCGCTCCGCGAGCTGTGATTGGAGCTCCCGGCGCTGCCGCAGCAGAGCGCCGCAGAGCTGCCGAAGCTCGGGAGCCTCGCATGGCGCCCCTAAAAAAGGAAAAACAGAGTTTAGGGTTTAGGGGTTTAGGGTGTAGGGTTGGGTGGAAAGCTCCGATTTAGGATAAGTGTGGCACTCTTTGGGTGCTTTTTGTTGACGATTTGGTTGCTCTTTGAGGGCGGGTTCGCCTGTTGGAATCTCGTTTCGGGTTGTTTTAGGTTGTTGTTGTGGTTGGTCAAGGCTGTTTAGGTTTAGGGGCTTAAATGGTTTGGAGTTTTGGGGTTTTGCAGGGCTGGAGCTGTAACTGTAATTAGGGTCTTCAGTGCGTGGGCAGGGATTGTTTGGGCTACGCAGGCTTTTGACCACAGGGTGCTACTGGTGCTGGTGTTGGTGCCGGTGCCGATGTTGCAGTTCACGCTGATACCGATAATCTTACCTTTGGTAGGTAGGGAATGGAGGAATGGGGTACAACTATAACTACTATTACTACCATTCTTCCATTCCCTACTCACCAAAGGTAAGTAATGCGTTGTTCTTCTTGTTGACTGTGTCGCTGCTGCCATCGTCGCTTCGTGCCGAAACGTGTTCTGAAAAACCGCTGCATTAGCCCGCAACCATAAACTCGAAATCGTAAACCCTAATATAGGGGCCTTAATAACTAGAATAGGGTTTTGGGGCCCAGTTATACTATAACTATAATCAAGAACCCCCAAACTAGTATTGGTAATTATTCAGGACCCTATGGTAAACTCTCATAACAGCCCTTATAATAGCCCTTTCAAACCCCTTTAAAGGAACCCTATTATAGGTAACTCTTAAGCCCTAAACCCTAAACCCCTAAACCCCTAAACCCTAAACCCCTAAACCCCTAAGCCCCTAAACCCCTAAACCCCTAAACCCTAAACCCCTAAACCCTAGACCCTTCTCAAAAGCCTCAAAGCGAGAGCCAGCCTCCATACTGTCGACCTCGTCAAGGCGCTCAACCTGCTCGGGCCGCTCGGAAAAAGTTAGTGGAAGTTCATGGGTAGTCAAAGTGGGGTAGGGTTTAGGGTTTAGGGTCTAGGGTCTAGGGTTTAGGGTTTAGAGTTTAAAGTCCCCGAATATGGGTTATAGGTATGTTCTCCAAAGGAGTTAGGGAAGTTCCCACACATGTAGAGAAATGGCTATCAAAACACGAAAAGGCTGGGTGTGTATTTATTTATTTATATATATATACTACACACACACACACACCCAGACTCGAAATAAGCATGGAGAGAGAGAGAGAGAGAGTGAGTGAGAGAGAGAGAGAGAGAGTGAGAGAGAGAGAGAGAGCGAGAGAGAGAGAGAGCGAGAGAGAGAGCGAGAGAGAGAGAAGGGGGGAGGGCGAGGTGTGAGGGAGAGGGAAAGGGAGGGGGAGAGGCACAGGGAGAAGACAAAGGTTGTAAAAGTTGCACAGACTGGTTCTATCATGTTCTTCTGCAAAAGATGTTATCAAGGCTGGGCTGCTGTTGCCAGGAATTTGCAGTCGAATTGGCACAACAAAGATATGGAGTAAGTTCTTGGAAACCTGGACCAAACCCTTGTGCAGCCCCTATAGTAAAGTATTACACCCCATATTCTGGCACATCCCAGAAACCCAAAACCAAAGACCCGAAACTCCCAGGCCCTTAACACCAAAACCCCGACACCCCTACACCCCTAAACACCAAAACCCCGAAACCCTGAACCACTAAAACCCTAAACCCCTAAACCCCTGAATCCCTAATCCCTAAACCATACTCTCAAACCCTAAAATCCCCCCAAAGCCCCTGAACCCTAACCTCGAAACCCACCCAGGTATAGCCTCAGAGGTCTCTGGGACCGGAGACTGGGGTGCAGCCGTCATGGCCTTTAGGGGCTCAGGGGCTATCTTGGTTTCCTTTAAAGGGCGCGGGGCTAAGGCTTAAGCGTTGGGTTCAGGGTTTAGAGTGTAGGATTGAGGGTGTCGGGTTTAGGGTGTAGGGTTTAGGGTTTAGAGTTTAGGGTTTAGGGTTTGAGGTTGTTGAGTTACGGTTTACGGCTTAGGGTCTTACCTGTGGTACGTTTGGGGCACCAACCCATCAGAAATATGTCAATGATCCACACAACCACAAAAGTTAGCAGTGGCCACCCGAACTCCTGTCTTCTGCTCGTACTATTGCATGCACATGTACTGTCTCTTTCATGGCCCATGGTTTAGGTTCTAAAGGGGCTGCAGCACGAAGGGGTATGTCGGGCGCAAGCACAAAGAATTCGTGGGCAGGTGACAGTAATGTCCGAAGCAGTTGCAAGGGCGTTTCCTCTCGGGCTGCATGCAGCTTGCCAAAGTCTGGCGTGGTGAAACCAGAACACACCGCCTATCTGGACCCAAAAAGGGTTCGACAGGAGATCAAGTTCAATGATTGCGTGCCTTCGTCATTTAAAAATACGTGCACGCAGTGCTTCAACAGAAGCAGGAACCACATCGAAATGCTCTTCGACCCAGCACCGTTTTTAAAAGCCTGCAAACACGATTCGCAACCCAGCGGCTGCGATCATGTCTGCTTTCCTCAAAGCTGGGGTGCGCTAATATGGGGGCCTTAGCAAACCCAACCGAAATATACGCTGATCTACTCTATATGTAGGGGCCTGAAGAATTACCAGTATAGTTCCTCAGGGTTTCGTATTCAGCTATACTACACTGCACCCGAAAAATTCCGTTCGAGTTGAATGTAAGGCCCCTGTAGTAGGCACCCAGGAGAATGAGTAGTTATGATTCCATCCTCCCGACGGCAACTTGGAGGTCCATGGGTAGTTAAAAGGGTTCCTTGAAGGGTCCCTTTAAAGGGATCTATAGGGGTTCTATAGGGGTATAGGGTTTAGGGCCTATTTGGAGGTTCATGGCTAGCTATAAGTGGGCTAAAGGAGGGTAACTATACTTGTAACCCATATTGGGGGACTTCTAACCCCACTTATATTTACCCATGAACCTCCAAGCAAACTTGGTTTCAAGACATTCGCACAGGTACGGCCGATGCAGGTTCAAGACCTGCAGGCCTGAAACAAAAGCAAACCTGACCAGGATAGTGGAACTGTGCAGGGACAACTGTGACTCGTGATAAAGCGCAGAAAGAGTCTCTGCCCTGTGGCTATGCTCACTCTTGAAGGTGGCTGCCCGATTTTGTTGTGCAGACATTTCTCTGTTTTGCATCCCCAATCGTCTAATGGCTTGACACCTGGATATCTGGACACACACCTCAATAAACAAATCACCTCTCCGAGAAAATTCGCACTCCTTGCAGCTCTCGCCTCTCCGCATATGGCATTCATGGCGGAAGGCACCGGATGCTCAAAAGTTCATGGGTAGGTATACATAGGGCTACAAGTGCCTAAGCTATTGCGGCTGTGACAATGTATCTTGCTGACCCTAGACCCCGGCCCTAACCCTACCTACCAAGTGCCCTGATCCTTTTGGTGGTCCTAAGCCCACGCCATCAGGCCATCATCTCAAGCTTCTGGAGCGTTGCAGCCCTTCTCTCCTTGCTTGGTTGCGTCCCTTTCGACAGGAGAAAGACCCCATATAAACCCCCTTATGAAGCCCAATAAGGTAGGGCTTTCCCTACAAAATGCTTATGCTTATTTGCTTTTGGGGTCCCTAAGATTCTGCTTCATTGCGGATCAACTGTCTGTAACTTACTTAGCACCTGCTTGTGAATTCTGACTCCTTAATCTTACAGCCACCAAGAGTCTGCCACAAGCGCTGCCAGCCCTCCTTCGCAGGAATCTTTGGGAACTGGATCGGGTGGCGCTGGCACCACCTGCGGCAGAGGCGACGGACGTAAAGTGTAGGAAAAAGTATATACTGTATCCTATACTTGTATATGTAATGTGGGAACCTGATTAAGAAACCCTGGGCCTATAACCAAAAAAATAGGATTCATATGAGGAACCCCAATATAAAGGCCCAAGGTTTCCTAATCAGGCTCGTACATTATTCTATGTTAAGCTGGCCCGGTGAGCTTCGGGGGGATGTAGGCTTCAGGGTCTGTTCCTCACTTGAAGGCTCATAGGACTTAGTAAGTAAGGTTATAAATAGGGTTACGATTAGGATAACCCCACTTAGGGGACTTATAACCCCACTTATAACCTACTAAGTCCCATGATCCTCTAAGCAGGGTTTAGGGCAAATCCTCTCTACCCTGAACAGAATAGACCCCGGGTCTTGCCACATCTAGGGTTTAGGGTTTAGGGTTTAGGAGTGTAAGGAAAAAGTACATTTAAGGGGACACAAACAGCGGCCATACACAGTGATTTACCGCAGAGGGTAAGAGGAAAACTGAGAATAAGACTAATTAAGAGAACTCATGTCAAACAACGGTTTGGCTAACGGACCTCGTGATTTCCATCGTCTCGCTCATCCTCCTCCACAACTGCAGCGAGAGAACGAATGCCAGGAACATCTTCTGCCTTTCCGTCGTCTGGAGCACTCAGAAACAAAATGATCTGCGGGACTTCCGCGAAGTGCACGCTGCGTTCTTTGTACGACTTGCCATGCACATCCATCTTGTTAGAGACGCTCCACACTTGCTTTGGCAGGGGACCACCTGGACTGGAATTGGACCGCGTTGTGCTCAGTACGTGACGAGGAGCCGTGGTTGCAGTTTGCCGGCGAGCTGTCTTGCTCGGAGGCGGTGTCGTAGGCTTCTTTGGAACAAGGGAAGCCATTCAACTTCCGAAAAGGCACAGACAGGAGGGCAAGGGAACGCTAGGGGCATCCGGTGATGCACCTGGAGCCTCTGCTGTGCTGGGAAGCGGCGGGGAGGACCGAAACATGTCACAAATGCTCGGTCCAGTGTTCCCATATACCTGAAACGGCTTGCCCTTGCTCTTGTGATGATGTTGCCACTGATGGTACTGTATTGCTGTTCCTGATTTTTCCTGAAGATCCCTGACCCAGCTGAACTCTTCCGATAGCAAGCTCTCCATCGATGTGCATCATCGGAACCATTACCATCATCGCCCTGCGCCCTTCATGGACCTATTCTGCATCAACCGCTGCCACAGCTTTTAAGTGTACATACTTGTATACTGGTGTCCCGAGATGTGCAAAAAGTCGTCCTAGTTTAGGATTCGATATCGATTTGCGTTTTGTCTCACCCTTGTAATTGGCTCCCATATGTAGCTCCGCCTGTGCTGTTGGTCCCCAAACATTTTCCTGAAGCGGTCCGGGTGTTTTCGGGAAGTCGACGGTTTAGGAGTTGGGGTTGCAGCACAGGGCTTTACTGCTGCTGCTATTGCTAGTGCTGCTGTTTCTACTACTGCTCCACTCCTACTCCTACTCCTACTCCCACTCCCACTCCTCCCGTCGATTACGGTTACTCTTACTCGTACTCTTACTCTGCCGTTTACTGCCCCTGCTACGGTGCTACTGCGACTGTTACAGTTCAACTGTATGAGTTTTACCTGTATATAATTTTACGTACAGAAACACATACGTATATACACATATCCACATTCATGAATATGTACGAATGTGTATCTATGTATGTATATATGCATATATGCATGTATGTGTGTGTATATGTATATGTATATGTGTGTGTGTGTGTGTGTGTGTGTGTGTATGTGTGTGTGTATGTGCATGCATAATGTCAATATACATATATACATATATACATATATACATATATACATATATACATATATACATATATACATATATACATATATATACATATATATATATATATATATATATATATATGTGTATGTATACTCATACACATAGGATTGACCTGATGATTTATTCGAGGCTTTCGACTCGATATGTTTGACTTACACCCTACAATCTCAACCTCTGCCCCGGCTTTCATGCCGTTTAGGGCTTAGATTTACTCCTTGTAACACCGCAGAATGATAGAGCCTTCAACGAAGCAGGGGCTGGTTCAGACTGACAGGACTGGTGCGCCCCGCGCTTTTTCTCAGCAGTAGGCCGTCCGCACACGCTCTAAAGCCCAGGCATTGCACCGGTCCGCGCTTCAGGGATAAGAGTTGCGCAGCCGAAACGGTCAAGAATGAATAGTAGATCTGATGAAAACAACTCGTATTTTTGACCCAAGTAATCGTGGTACACCAAGGTTCGGGGTGGGGTAGCAGAAATGAGCACCGTTTTGTTAGAGCCAGCCGATGCTGGGACCGGGTCAGAGCGCTCCGTGCAAATCCGCCTTTGTCGGTAAAGTGGGCTGCTTGCCGGCTGTGCCGCGGCAAGTCCCAAGAAAGCTCGGAAAAGACTGGCGAGGAGTGGCGGGCTTCGGGTTTTGAATTAAGAGGTTTGGGGTTTTAGGGTGTGTGTTTTGGATGTCTAGGGCTAGTGCTTTCGGGCGCTGCGTGTGTAGGGTTTTAATACTGCGGTGTTCAGTCGGTGTTCAGGGTTTAGGGCTCTGAGGGGTCATTTGGCTTTGCGCCACGGGGCGGAGTGTTGAGACTGCATTCGAAGGATCAAGTGTAGCTTCTTGCAGCCCTTGGTTCTACTGGTTACTAGGGTACGGAGAAGACTTCATATGTACCTCCAAGTGCGGCTAAGAACTCGAAAGTCTAAAGCCCACATCATCATATCCCAAACACTGCAAAAACCCTACACCCTAAAATCGAGAGACCTCTACCGCGAAGCAACACCAACAAGTAGCAGGATCCACTCTTTGCGTAGGAGTTGTGGACTGGAGTTGCTCCCCGAAAGTCTGGGTGAAGGACGTGCTCAAACAGGGACGTCCGTTTTGGAGATCGTGAGGTGTAAGCCAACTTCCAGTCTCATGCGTAACTAGAAGTGAGATTATAAGTCCCCCAGGATAAAGTAACAATAGTTATCCTACTTATAACACCACCTACTGCATAGCTACCCATCAACCTCATAGTATGTAGGGCTTGCGCTGGTAGGGCTTAAGGATTGCAGCTTGAGCACGCTCTTTCAGGACGTTGGGTTTATCTCGAAAAGGACTGCCCTGTGCCCACGGTGCGCACACAGATGCCTTTGTAGCTGAACGCCGGGTCGCCCCTGCTACCTCGAGTCGTAGAACAAGGCTTTGGGACAATAAAGTATACCATAGTCAGAAAAACGAGCGCTAACCGTATTATGTCGGTTCGAAATTACGATAATTCCGACAGGCAAACCCAGAGTTCGAAACCCCAAACCCTGAGTAGAAAACCGAGTTTAGCATTGGGAGCACATGCCCGGAAACCCAAGCGCTGGACGATCCGGCTCGTAGCTTTGGCGTTCGGGGTCGGGGGCTTCGGGCTTCCAGCCCACATAAAGTTAAGCGGTATAGAGGTTTAGGGTTTAGGGTTTAGGGCTCAAGGTCAGGATTCAGCAGCTCTAGACGAGCATCTGTGGTCGCGCCAGAACTTGCTTCCTGATTTCAGCTACAAAGATAAGGAAAGCAGGCTATGCACTGTACTTCCCCATGATGATGACTTAGAACAGTCTTCTTAAATCAGCAAGAGGCCAGTTTGTGCATCCAGGGGAACCACATGGGACTTTGCACGCAGGTCCCCCTGACCAGACTCGGGTGTCCAGGAGTTCAAGCCTAGGGAGACCCCCAAACCCGTACCATGTTTATCTTCTTCGCTGTAAGGCTCAGCTCATGGCAGCAACAATAGGACGGACGAGTCAGGGGTGGTTAGAAGTATGGCTATCAGTACAATAACACTCGTCACTTATATCCGCTACCCATGAACCCCAAGTAGAGTGCAGGTTTTAAGAGTTGCAGGCCTTATGGGGTCTTGGGCGCAGGGGTTTGCAAGTATTGCAGGCCTTGTAACCATTTCTTTGAATAACTTGGAAAGGAAACCCCTTAACAAAAAGTTGCTTGGAGTTGGTATTGGGGGACCCCAGATCACATGCTCAAATTCTCAACCTTTAGATTGCTCTACAGTATGACAAAACCCTTATAGTAAAGAACCCTTTAACAGAGCGCTTGCAGCAACCCTGAAAAAGACCTCCACCCCCCGGCCCGATACATCCCGAAAGCTCTGCGTCCTGCATCCTATGCAATACAACCCTTACGAAGCGCATCATAAGACCCCCTTCAAGCTCGAACTCCATGCCACTTTCAAGCCGAACTCGACATGAGCGATGTCGCCTACCTACCTACCTACCAAAGGATTTGGGCTTGGGAGTATAAAGTTTCGGGCTTGAGGTCAGGTTTGCGGGCTGGGGCTTATAAGGGAGTCTCAGAAGATGTCCATGTCGTCGGACAACTTCTCGTCGCCTCAGGAGTGCAGATGGTCTTGAGTGGTTCTAGGGAGGGTTTAGGGTTTAGGGTTTAGGGCTTAAGAAGGCAAGCCATGTTTAAGCTTCTTGGCACCAGTCTTTGGAACGTTAGAAGGTGTTCTCGGGAGTGTTCAGGGCTTCAGGGTTTCCGATTTAGGGTGAGTGACCTTCGTAACGTCGCAACGGTCCCGTCAACATGAGACCAACCGAAAGCTGGGGATCCAACGACCTACTGTTTTTCAGAGGTATACCTAAGAGTTTTGCGGGGGTCACAAGCTCTACTTTGTAGGTTTCTGGGGCTGCAGGAAGACCCTTGGGCTATAAGAAAACCTGAGAAAGCTCAAAATGAAACCTAGCCTTGCACCCCACAAAGCCCCGAATGCCAAAGCCTAAACATCTGAGCAAAAAAACCCTAAACCCTGAACCGTGCCTGCGACTGTCTGAAAATCCTAGCGACCGAGGACAACAGCCCTTGTAGAGCCCACAAAACACTGATTTCAGTTTGCCCTGCCTGGAGGCTGCTGGCTCTGAATGGCAGCATAGGCAAGCCCGTCCGACTGAACGACCTCTTGACGGTTTAGGGGTTCAGGGGCTTAGGGGTTTAGGTGTTCAGGGTTTAGGGTTTAGGGTCTGGGCCGCAAACCCAGTAATTAGCAAAAAAAAGCACGAACAACACCTTAGCGACCTTACAGAACACTTCTGAAACTCGAGGAACCCTGATGGATATGCTTTTGGCCGTGGTGATCGGCTTCGAGACAAGGATTGCGGAGTGCAAAGGGTTGCGCACTTGCTGAGAGGATCACGAGAGGGTCCAGGGTTCAGGGCTTAGGATTTAAGGTGGGGCTTCGGCTTCGGGTGACAACAACCCAAGTACACCTTCCGCTTTGAGGAACAGGTCCAAAAAATATTCAAGTATGGTACTCTAGAACCCAGACTACTTTTGTAACTTTTGCTATAACCCACATTAGCGGACTTGCAACATCACATATCACTACCCTATGAACCTCCTAGTACTCCCAGAAAACCTATTCTTCTTACTTCTTGGAGGTCCATGGGTACCTTTACGTGGACCTGTCGTAATCTTAGGTGCTGAATACCCTAGCCAAAAAAAAGGTCAGCCTTTTCAGTTATGGTAAGATCATACAAACCCCAAACAGTTAAAGGTTACCTACTCAGCTACTAGAAACCCTAAACTCTAAACCCTAAACCCTCAAGCCCAGGATAAATACAAATAGTTCAGGTCAAAAGCAAAAGGCAAAACCCGCCCAAAACCCGCCCTCAAAACCGCACAAAACTCCGGGCACGAACCCGAAACAGTTTGTACGAAGCCCTAAACCCTGTAGTAGAAGCCAGAAAGTTGGAATATGATTCTCCTAACCCCTTTAAGGTAAATTATAGGGGATCCTACCATGAAACCATATTCCAACTTTTTGGAGTTCCCTTTAAGAGTTGTACTTAAAGGACTTCTTCTCCCGGCCTCGAGGTCCCATGCCACGGGGTTGCGGTGCAGAACCTCGGCAGGATCAGGATTTGGGGGTTTTAGGGTTACAGGATTTCCAGGGGTTTTGGGGTTTGAGGGTTTAGGGGTTTAGGAGTTTGGGGTTTGAGGGTTTAGGGGTTTAGGAGCTTGGGGTTTTAGGGTTTTGGGGATTTGGGTTTGGGCTTTAGGGGTTTTGTGTTTGGATTTTGGGGTTTTAGGGTTTGGGGGTTTTGGGTTTGGGCTTTAGGGGTGTAGGGTGTTGGGGTACAGGGTTTGGGGTTCTCGGGTTTTGGGTTTGGGGTTCAGGATTTTGGGGTTTAGGGGCTTTGGGTTTTAGGGTTTAAGGGTTTTGGGGTTTGAGGGGTTTGGGGTTTGGGGGGCTTTGGGGTTTTGGGTATAACTTAGAAGCTGCCCCCACCCTGTAATCGTGGTATAATAGGAATATAATAGGGCCCTGATATAATCCTTATAGTCACTATTACAGGGTGGGGGCCCCTTCTAAGGTATAAGGTTTTGGGCTTCGGGAAGTCTTCTGAAGCTCAGGGTTTAGAGTTCAAAACAATTTTCCACCCTCCTCGAGACCCTATTTTGGCTTGGCCCTTTGTTTTCTTGGCCCTTTAGAGTTTAATTATATAGGGGTGTAGGGTTTTAATAAAGTCTAGGGTGAGTTCTTATACAGCTTCGGGCCTAGATCATCTTCCTAACTATTCCGACCTCATATACTAAGTCTCAATCTTCAGGGCCCCGGACTTTTTGCCCAACCTCACTGTCCGAGCCAAGCCGCGGCACGAACCCGAAAATTGGAGAAGAGGTTGCGGGAAATGTCCAGAACCTTCCGATGGCTGAGTTAGGATTGAGGGATTAGGATTGCAAGCAAGTTGCTCTCGATATCAGTTTAGATTTGCAGCACTTATCCGGCTTCAATGCGCCTGACGGCGGTTTAAGCTAAGCCATGCTCAGGATAGGCTCGTGCTGCGATGTGCCTTAAACTCTCGACTCTAAACCACCCTCAGAAGATGCGCACGTAGAAATACCCGCTAGTGAGGGCGATATCCCTCCATTGGTAAAAAAATTATAGGAGCTCGCCGGGAGAGCTCACACAGTGTGGGACAGTTCGGATTCAGTTCACAGGTCCTGAAATGTTGAATATTGAATAGACTTTTGGGCATAATATCGTGTTGGAGTTTTCTAGGAATATACCGGAACAGTATTACTAGTTCACATAAAGGCATGCATGATTAGACCAGGGTTCTGCGCTACATTATAGTATAGCTATAATTTGGGACCCTAAGGAATAATGTCTGTAACCTTTATCGAGAGCCAAATCGGAGTTCGATTGAGGTGCTACACTTTGGGTCGATGGCGCCTTATGGCCCAGTATGGGAGTCTTCATACGTGGAATGGGAGTCGAAGGCACCTAATTTTTATGTCAATATCACGGCTATTGGACATCACGTTCGGGAAGGGGTGACGAAACTTGTGGTGATAAGATACGATAAGAACCTCAGCTGTATCTCCGGATAAACTTTCGAAACCCTGAAACTCAATCTGCCGCTGCCTCTGCCAGCGCCCCAACCTTGCAGCAGATTGACACGGAGTACACCTCAGCTCAGTACTCTTCAATTTCGTGCTTATCGTTTACAGTTTAGGAGTTAGGGTTCAGGGTTGAGGGTTTAAGGGGTTTGGGTGTGTCGGGTTTAGGGGTTTCGGGTTGAGGGTCTAAACAGCCGATGACAAGTTTGCTGGAGCAACGCCGATAGTGGCCCGACAAAGAACGTATCACCTGGTAGGCATGAATCAACGCCATCAAAAGGGGTAGAATGATTTTGCGTTGCAAATCCTGACGATCGTAGTTCCGCATCAAGCATTGTGCCAACAACTCCATCAAAGACGGTTGGATAGCCAAATAGGTGATTCTCGGTAGTGTGCGAAGACGAGCCAAAATTCCAATGGTCAGCCAATTGCGAAAACCAAATGCGTCTCGATACGTTTCATCACTGTCAGAAGAACTATACTGAACTTAGAACCCTAGCAAAAATTGTAATTTTAGCTGTTTCTTAGGGTTTATAATCACCAAAAATTAAAAAAATATTTCTAAGTACCCCTAAGAGAAGGTCGCTGGGAAGAAGGTCTTCACTCGGCTGGCATGCCATGCTAAACCTGGAAAAGCCGCACAGACGTTTAACCCAAAACCCTCAACCCCCAAACCCCCGAAATCCCAAACTCTAAACCCTGAACCCTTTAACCCTGCAACCGTGGCCAGGGTTCTAGAGGTACATGCTGCATGCATTGAGGTTGGAGCTCTTATTTCAGAGCTCGGGGAGTTATCGGGTCAAGGTCTGACAGAGGGCTCATTTAAGAGGGCGTGAGGGCTTGTATAAGGGCCAGCATAAGGGCTGATACAAAGGCTGCTGTATGGGTTGAAGGTACAGCGCTCAAGGTAGCCAAAATCCTTGATCTAGTACAGGGGTAGGATTTATGGTAACTAGATTTAAGAAACGTACGAATAGCATTGCTAATAGCCCGAGCTTCCAAATTAAGCACTCTGTAGACAGCTTCAAAATCCCCAAAACCAAACTCCCAACTGCAACAGATTGTCAAACAACTGCAACCACAGGCTCCCCCAAATTCAAACAATAAGCCTCGAACCCGACACCTGCAACACTGAACTCATGCCAAAATGGTGGAACCAAAATATTCAACACAGGTACATGCTTACCTACATGGCTGAAGCTCCGGATACCAGTAGGTCCTTCGAGCCAAACAGTGAACCCTAAGCCCTTAAACCCTTAATAAACCCTCAATAAACCCTCAATAAACCCTTGATAAACCCTTAACAAACCCTTAATAAACCCTTAATTATCCCTTAATCAACCCTTAAACCCTTAAACCCTTAAACCCTTAAGCCCTAAACCCGGAACCATGACCCTGAAACCCTCAAACCCCTAAGCCCTTCAGCCCTTACACCCTAACCTACCTTCGGTTAGTAGCGAATGGAGGAGTGGGGTACAATTATAACTACCATTACTACCATTCTTCCATTCCCAACTAACCAAAGGTAAGCTAACCCCAAAGCCATGACCCTTAAATCCTTAAACCAAACCGAGGCACTTTAATCCCAAACCATCGAAACCAGCAGACCTTGGACACCCGAAGCCCCAAACCTCTGAACCCAAGCACTACCCAAACCCCGTGGACTATTTCGAAACTCTAGCAAGCTCTTCATGGAAACCCAAAAACGTAGAAGAAGCACTTATCCAAAATCCGTCTAAGCCTCGGGACGACACAGAAATTTACATAAACCCTAAACCCTGATCCCTAAGCCCTAAACTACAAAAGAAAGTCGGCGGGGCGCCGGGTCTGTGCGCATTTGGAGCTCCAAGGACTCGATGACGAGGTCGGCCTCTTGCGGCTTTTTCCCTTTGGGGCTCCACGGTTTAGGGTTTAGGGTTTAGGGTTTAGGGTTTAGGGTTTAGGGTTTAGGGTTGGTTTGGGGTTTCGGAGCTTCGGAGGTCTCGGGTTCCTTTAGGGTTTAGGGTAATTTTTAAAGATTTTTCAATGAGGGCTACTGTAGGGGTTCGATGTTAGGCTTCGGGTGTTCGGAAGTCCGAGGTTCACGATTCAGGGTTTCGCGGCTTGGAGGCTTTGAGGCTGTAGGGTTTGGGTGGTTGTCAAAATTAGGGTCCCTTTCTTGGTACCCTAAATGATGGGTGCCGTATTATATTAAGGACCCAAAACGGGACCCTAATTTTCACAACCACCCATTTAGCGGTGCGTGAACCTCCAAGTAGGGCCTTGCCATTCCTGACGGGGGGAGAGCCATATCGTAACTAGGGGGTAGGGTTTGCAGGGTTTAGGGTGTAATTCTGTCGGATTCACTTGACTGAACCAACGATTTGCGACGCTCGCCCTCTCAAGGCCCGCGTGCACCAACTAGTACAGCATCGACGGGCGATGCACTGTAAAAAGTGCCTGCGTCCTCTCGAGACTTTCGGCTGTTTTGTGTCCTTTGGGTCTTTAGTCACTTACAGTGGTAGCGGAGCTCCCTGGGGCGGCCAGGGGCTCATTAGTGGTTGTTAGGTGTCCGGAAGTCTCGGGAAGGACCCAGCACTATCGGGTTAGTGTGTCCTACCGATGGAGCAAGCGAGCAACGAGGTACCACCGGTGCCCGACGAGGATGACGGAGACCTCGACTCCAGGCCCGGAGAAGCGGGGAATCGGCCAGCAACGACCGACGACCGGGCCGAGTACGAAGAGTTCCAGCGATGGCTTCGACTTCGAGATCGTCGTGGTGGATGGCAAGATCGGAGATCGCCTGCCGGCAGAAGGCGAGACTATGACGATGATGATGACGACGGCGGAAGTGAATTCCGCACCAATGCCGGTCCACCACCGGCCTGGGACGGCAGTGAATGCCCCTTCGAGGACTACCTGATCAGGGCTCGGATCTGGATTAGTACGACGAAAGCTCAGGCAAGGACACGCGGGCCATTGCTCCTTAAGTCCCTGAGCTCTACGCCTTTCCAGGACTTCAAGCATTTGGCGAAGGACCCTGCTTGGCTGTCAAATCCAGATAATGCGGAAGTTCTTCTGAAGAAGATGGACTCCCCTGAGTTCTACGGCGACGATCAGGACGAACACCTCCTCGCCTCCTTGGCTCGGGTGACTTATCACCTGAAGAGGCAGCGGAATGAAACAGCCCGCCAGTTTCTTGGTCGCTGGGAGGCTGCGGAACGCAAGGTTCAAGAACACAAGGTCCTGCTTCCCTCCCTGTACCGTGGCTTCCTGATGATCAACGCTCTGGGGCTCAGCGACCCAGAGATCAAGACGTTGTTGACCTTCACGCACGGCTCGATCGAACCGAAGGACATCAAGACCTGGCTTCGCAAGCACGAGACGAAGCTTCAGGCCGGACAGATCGGCAATGATCTTGGTACCAAGGCCAAGGGTGTGGCCGGGGTTCACATGATGGATCAGGAAGAGCCTGGGGTGGCGACCGAGGACTACGACGACGATGAGATCGGTGCCATGGAGGCCATGCTCGCCGATCTCGAGGAGGAGGAAGCGGCCCCGGAAGATGCCGGGGTGTTCAACGAAGATGAAGCGGCCGAGATCTTGGCAATTATGATAAAGGAGAAGCGGAAGACCTACACGCAGTCGGCCCAGATCAAGAAAGACAAGGAGTTGGGCCGCGGCTACAGGTCCGGAGGAGGACACCCGGGAGCTCGAGACCGGCAAGGCCCGATCAGACCGGGAACGTACAAGTTGTCGATCGCGGAGCTCAAGCAGCGCACAAAGTGCAAGCGGTGCGGCAAGATTGGCCATTGGCACCGAGAGTGCCCACAGCCAGCGCCGGCTTCTGGGTCCAAGGAGACCCACTTGCTTGAGGTGGAGATCGACTCATATGACGACGCCCTCTTCTGTCACTTCCTGGAGGTCGAATCCGCCGAGACCCCCATCGAAGGTGATCAAATCGACCCCGATCACCAGCATAGGAGCATTGAGCCACAGGGCTGCGGCAAAGGCCGTGATGATTTTGAGATGAAGCTCTTTCGTCCCGAGCTCGTTTACATGCCCGGGAGGGTCTACGATGTGTGGTTCAGTGAGTTTGATCGCTATGAAGATGACGCTTGTGCCACAATTGACACCGGTTGCCAGAGGACAGCTGTCGGGGCCAGCACCTTAGATCGCATGAAACCCCACTGGCCCGCCGATTTACCATGGTACAAACAAACTGAACAGAACAAATTTCGTTCCGTCCATGGTGTTTCGCAAACCAACTACAATGCGGTCGTTCCTTGCGGGCTGGGGAAACGAGGATGTTACATGAAACCTGCGGTTTTCGAAGGCGAACACAGTCGAAACGCCCCCTTTCTGATTTCTCTGAAATTCCTGATGCAGAGCGATGCGGTGATTAGCCTTAAGCATGACCGACCGATGTTGATCCTGACGAAACACGGTTCCCAAATGCCACTTCACATAGGGCCGACAGGAGCGTTGAGGGTTCCACTGAACCAGTTCAGTCCTGTCATGCTTAGGACCTTGCGACAGTCGAAGAGAGCCTTAGGATCCGGAAGTCACGGCGAGTTCGAAGTGCTTGCTCTTGCCGGACAGAAGCCTCTCGAGCCTAATCAGGACTCAGTTGCCTCAGCTTTTTCTCCTGCGTGTTCGCTGTCCCAACATGGATTGCGCCTCGCCGACCAACAAGCGCGCCCGCGAGCAGTCGCGGCCGACCAGGGTGAATGTCATCTACCTGTGTTGGCAGCGAGTTATCATGAAAGTGGCCGTTCTTGCGACCGGTGGCCCGCATGGCCGTGAGCATGTTCGCCAACTCGGTGGACGCCTCGTTGGCCCACGTTCGGAGCAACCTCGGGGAGATCCGCCCGGAGACGCTCAAGGAGCTTCGCGACGACCTGAACGAAGTCCTGAACCAGCACCAGAGCGAAGAGTTCAAGATGTTCATGCAGTACCGGGAGTGGAAGAAATCGAAGAGCTCTGCCGGAAGCAGCAAGGATGGCAGCTTCATGATGGTACGCCCAGCGGACGACGACGACAACCACAGCCAGGTGACGTTCGAGTCGGGCTACACCCACTTCAACACGAGGACCGGGAGCCGCGGGAGACGCTTATCGACACCATCGCCGAGCAGCCAGCCAAGGGGTCCGCCTCCACCTTTGCCGGTGAACCAACCGGTGACCATGTCAATGTCATCGTCGAGCAAGGGTCGCTCGAACAAGAACAAGTTCAGCCCAGCCAGCGACACGGCCACGAACGTGGCCCCGGAACGCAAGACCGACTACGAGGAGAAGGACCAGAAGCAGCTGGAGCGGGAAGCGAACCTTGTGGTGACCGACAAGAAGGTTCAACAAGAGATCTTCACGGCGACCTTCAACGTACTATGGCGGGACATCCCAACATGCCAGTGCAACCTGGCCTGCAAGGTCGAACTGAGTGCGACCACTCAGAATCCCAACCGGGTGTTCTTCAACTGCCCGCACACCGACCCCAAGCATCAGTGCGGCGCCTTCGCTTGGGCTCCGGTCCAACCACTTCTCGACGAGGAGTATGCCGAGACTCGACAACGAGTTTGCCGAGGATTCCCGAGGAGCCTAACGGCTCGCGAGAGCTTGGTCCGTGTGCTTCAGGATCTGTGCCCCCACCACTCGGTGGTGGCGAGCGGGAGCAATGCTTTTGTTCGTCGGACCCGCTGCCGAGCATGCCAAAAGGTGATCTCCATCGAGCACAAGAACAGCGGACCGACCGAGGTGAAGAACAGCGGACCGACCGAGATGAAGAACAGCAGCGACACGGAGAGCTTCAATCCCGAGGACTACCAAGCGTTCTTGCAATGGAAGAGAGATCGCTACTAAGTCGGCGCCAGCAGAAGCGCATTCAAGGAGCTTTCCGCCAAGCAACACAAGGTTGGAAGGCTGCGTTTGATGTGCTCAGACTGGACCTGGAAGGATCCAGTCCGAAGCGTGACGGCTCTGAGCCGTTGAGTTTTTGCGACAAAAAGAAGATGAGTTGTGCGCTGAATCTGTCAGACCGAGCTTTGAAGCAGTACCTATCACATGGAGATTCGGTAGCCTGTGCGGACATGTCAACTCTGGTATGCCCCTCCACTGTGCAAGAGTTCCTGCAGTTGTATCGCCAGGCCCACGATTTGTCAGCGAGATGCATGATTGTGTGTGACAAACATGGTAGGATCACGAGGGACATGCAGTATCAGCGCGTTGTGCAACAGTGCCTGCAACATGCGAGTAAGACGCAGAAGTTTGTCATTTTGATCGCTCCGGACCTTAGAGCTTTAACTGGCCTCAGCTGTGATCACGGATGGCAACAGGTTCAAGGGAAATGCTGGCACATGATGTGCCGCTGGCCACTGACTCCAAGTGGAGTCTCTGAGTGGCTTGTGACCCACGAAGGCTCATGTGAAGAAGTCGTGGCGGAACTTAGGAAACATGTTGCCACTTACTGTCGTGTGCCATGGTCGCGAGTTCAAGTACACGAAGTGAACGAGCTACAGGCAGAAGCGGACCTACTACATGAACAGGCGGCCACCATGTTTGATTGTTCCAAGACCGACCTAGAAGTGCTCTTTTCACGACGGGTTCGGCCACGGCTATCCGCGAATCCAGAAGGACCCGCGGAACCCGAACCTCGACACGATTCCCCCGGAGATGATGGTCGAGAGGGTCCAGCAGAAGGACTACCTGACCAAGCAGAGCCAGAACCTCTACACGATTCCGCCGGAGATGATCGACGAGAGGGTCCTCTTTTACCAGAAGAAGAAGAACCCGATGTACCAGGAGCAGGCGCCGGAGCCGATGAACGTGATCTACCTGGGACTAGGAAACGGACTCTCAAGCAACTGGTGAAGCGAGCTCACGACGGCTTAGGTCACCCGAACCGGGAACGATTCATCAGGATCCTCAAAGCTGCCAAGGCGACGGAGGAGGTGGTTGACATTGCCCGGAAGATGAAATGCAGCGTCTGCGAGAAGTTCGCTGTGGTCCGACCGCCGAGAAAGGCTGCACCGCCCCGCGAGTACGGCATCAACGAGGTCATAGGAATGGACACGGTGTGGCTCCCGACCGTTGGCCAAAAGAAGAAGCGTGTGGCCCTGAACATCATCGACTACTCGAGCCACTTCCAGATGATGATCCCCCTACGGGGCAGAAGTCCAGAAGCTGCTTGGGCAGCCTATCGACAATGGGTCAAGTTCTTCGGTCCTCCCAAACAGATCCTGGCGGACCAAGGCAGCGAGTTCAAGGGATCCTTCAAAGTGCGGACGGCTCAAGAAGGAACCCGAATGGACCCGAGCAGCTTAGAAGCGCCAACTCAGCGAGGACTTGCGGAACGCCATGGAAAAACTTTCAAGCTGATCCTGGAGAAGACGATGGCGGACTATAACTGCACGACCTACGGCGAGTGGCTGGAGCTGGTGGATGTAACCATGATGGTTAAGAACCGGCTAGCCTCACGCGGGGGCTTTTCTCCTATACAACGAGTACTTGGTTATCTTCCTCGTCTACCCGGCGGGCTTCTTTCTGGAGGGCAAGATGACGCGGAGATGGGCAGTCAGCCCAAACTTGGCGATGCAGGCCTGGCTCGGGCCATGGAGATCCGAAAGGCGGCTGCCAAGGCCTTCTTTGAGGTGGACTCGGACCAGGCGTTGCGTAACGTCCTGGCAGGTGGGCCCAGGCCTCAGTTCGACTATGTGACCGGACAGATGGTCGGGCACTCCAAGAAGGGCGATCGACCGCACCAAAGATGGCACGGTCCCGCGAGGGTCATTATGACGGACTACCCCAGTACGATCTGGCTGAGCTACCAAGGCAGCATCGTAAAAGCGGCCCCTGAAAGGATCCGCCCGGGAAGTGAGGAAGAGAATCTCACGATCTCGGGATGGCTGAATGGCCTAACCAATGCCAAGGCGGACTTTGAACGAGAACCCCGACGAGGCTACATTGACCTCAGCGACGAGCCTGTGCCCGATGAGATCGAGGACCTCGACGAGGACGACGAGGAGAAGGAGGTTCCCGAACTACCTGGACACCCAGTGTTACGGCGACTTCGCCGTAAGACGGACCTACGAGTTCACGAAGGAGATGAAAGAGATGCCGAGCCGGACGAAATCATGCCAGACATTGCTGCCTCCGAGACACCACAGTTGGAAGCGGCGGATGGCGAAGCACGCCCTGAGGCAACCGTAGAGACCGGTGTGCCTGCTACGCCGGACGAGGACGACGAAGGAGATGAAGAAGTTGAGCCCCCACCAAAGAGGACACGCGTACAGATGTTGGAGGCCTACTACGCAAAGCTCGAGACCCTGTTCAAGACCCGACAGCGGAAAGAAGTCAAACTTCGCGAGCTTAACAAGCTGGACTTACAATGCTTCTTGAAGGCTACTGAGCGCGAGGTGAACAACAACCTGGAGACCGGTGCGTACGAGAAGTTGGACGCCGAGACCAGCGAGACCATACGCCGGACCAAGCCGGACCGGATCATGGAGTCTCGCTATGTCAGGACCATCAAGCCCCTGGAGCCAGGAGACATCGACAAGGCCGCTATGGACGGCACCCTTTTGTCGGAGGCCCACGGCGGGCCCTGTAAAGCCAAAGTCCGACATGTTATGAAAGGCTTCTCTGAAGAAGGAGCCGAAGATCTAGACTCAGCAACGCCACAAGTGACGCGAGAAGGAGTCATGTTCACTACTCAGGTGATTGCCAGTAAGAGGTGGGATTTGGGCTTTTTGGACTTCACTCAGGCCTTCCACTCAGGAGACCCAATTCAGAGGGAGTTGTATGCTGAGCAACCACCCGAAGGAGTGCCAGGGATGCAGAAGGGTGATCTGTTGAAGCTGCTTAAGACTTGCTACGGGTTGCTGGATGGGCCGATGGCGTGGTTTCGACATCTTCGGAAAGTGTTGCTTGAGGAAATGGGTTACATTCAGAGCTTAGCAGACCCGTGCATTTACTTTCTTCATGATTCCAAGAAGACTGGATGGGACCGGTTGATTGGGATTGTTTCTGTAGCGACCGATGATCTGCTGCATGGAGGTGGCCCAGAGCACAAAAGACTCATGGAACAGTTGAACAAGAAGTACAAGCTAGGTAAGTTCCAGTATGGCAGTGGTAGGTTTACCGGGAAGCAGTTTACCCCCCAACCTGACGGAAGCATCGTGATAGACCAAAATCACTATGTTCAGGAAAAGGTCCATAAGATCGTGTTGTCAAAACAGCGGAAGGCCCAGCGGTACTCTAGATGCAACGAAGAAGAAATCGCCCAAATGAGGTCATTGGTAGGTGCGTTGTCCTGGCTAGCGAAGGAAACCAGACCTGACCTTAGTGGCCGAGTTTCCCTGTTGCAACAACAGTTCCCAAAACCTCGAATAGGCGACATTCTCAAGGCCAATCAGCTTGCCAATGAAGCCGAAAAGTTTCCCGTAGGAATCCGTGTTACTCCTATCCCCATTCAGCGGTTGCGAGTGAGTGCGGTTTCGGATGCTTCATGGGGAAATGCGGAAGATGGCGAGGCACCTGAAAACGAGACCCTCGATTTCTGGACCGAGACCCCAGAGCTGTGGATTCGGCACCACGTTAAGCCCCGTCGGACTCTGTTTCATCCTGGCATGACTGACAACGGACCTGATCTACATGGCCTTAAACCCGAACGCATCACCCGGATGCGTCAGGATGGCAGTGAGCATGAGAAGACCGACACCTGGAATCAACCCCGTCTAGGCATTGTTCAAGGTGAAGCCTGGACTGGACAGACCGTGTTCCAGAAGTGCGAGGCTGGGATCCGACATCAAGACATTTCAGAGGGTTTCATTCAGAACAGGAGGATGCAGAGCCAAGGGGGACATCTGATCATCTTTCACGATCAGAACCTTCAGTTTGAGCCTTCGGCAATGATCTCGATCACAAGTTGGAAAAGCTACAGGTTGAAACGCAAAGTTGTCAACACTCTGGCAGCGGAATGCCAGGCTCTTGTGAACGGTATTGGAAACGTTCATTGGCACCGGTTTCTGATGATGGAAGCTCAAGGTGATGCGTGTCACAGTTCGGACTGGGAGGGTCCCCTGACGAAGATCCCCTATCTGGCGGTTACCGATTCGAAATCTTTGTTCGACGCGCTGTCGAAACAGACCTGCCCCTACAGTCAGATCGAAGACAAACGTACGGCGATCGACATTTCCATCGTTAAACATGAACTCTCGAAGGGAGGAACTGTTCGCTGGATTGATGGTCGAAATATGATCTCTGATTCGCTGACCAAAAGCACCGGTGGCAATTATCTGAGATATGTGATGACGAACGGCCGGTGGACGCTAAACGAGCTTGGATTCAACTCAATTTTACAACAACAGGAGGCACCAAATGAGTGCTTATTCCTGTACTTAGGGCTTTGGGATACCTGGTTCAGTCAACAAAAAGTTGGTCCGATGTAATTCTGTCGGATTCACTTGACTGAACCAACGATTTGCGACGCTCGCCCTCTCAAGGCCCGCGTGCACCAACTAGTACAGCATCGACGGGGGATGCACTGTAAAAAGTGCCTGCGTCCTCTCGAGACTTTCGGCTGTTTTGTGTCCTTTGGGTCTTTAGTCACTTACATAGGGTTAAGGGCTTGCCTTAAATCCTTGAATCCCAAGCCCTCAAGCCCGAACCCTGAGCCCCGAAACCCCAGAACACAGGGGCCTGAGTAGTTAGAACAGGAGTTCCAGGTATTTGATGATATACCATAGAAGGGGCCCCCCACCCTGTAATAGTGACTATAAGGATTATATTAGAGCCCTATTATATTCCTATTATGCCGCTATTACAGGATGGGGGCCCCTTCTAAGCTATACCTTTGTAAAGACGTTGACTCTGAGGGGATGCTATCAACAATGATTCGTCCGGCGCCTTGGGCTCCTTAAACCCAGGCCCTACTCAAGCTTTGAACCGCAAAAAAAAACCTACAGAAACGAAGGACCAGCCACTAAATCCCAAATCCACAAAAGCCCCAAACATGCCTAAGCCTCAAAATCCTCAGGAGCCCTAAAATGCCTAGGCCGTTGAACGTCTAATCCCCCCTGCTTCCCCAAAAGGTTCACTGAAGGATTCCCGTCCGCTGCCTTTCCGTATGCCGGCAGCAAGCCTCGTTTTTGCATTCTCGGTTTGGGGTCTACTTGGAGGTTCATTGGCTTTTTGAACTGGGGTCATAAGCAGGGTACCTATAGTTGTATTTCATGTTCCGCCTGTAGGTGGGGTTCTAAGTACCCTGATATGGATTATAGCTGTAGTTGCCCTACCTATAACCCGGCTTCTGACTACCCATGCACCACTAAGTAGGGTTTATTTGGGGCTTAGGACTTAGGATTCGCAGCTACCGTCCCGGATTTCAAGTTTTAGGGCCTAGGATTTAATTAGGATTCAGGTGGGTAGTTGTCAAAATTAGGATCCCTTTTTGGGTACCCTCGGTGCCGTATTATATTAGGGAGCAAGAAAGGGACCATAATTTTGACAACCATCCAGCTGTAGGGTGGCGTTGAGGGTTCAGGACTCTGTGGGCTGACTGGAAATCTTTGCTAGTCCATGTGAGGGTTTCCGAAAATAGGGGACCCTAATATAGTACCCTAAATAGTAGGATCCTTATTATATATAAGGACCCCAAAAGAAGGTACCCCCCCTAATTTCGGAAACTCCCATGCACGTCAAACCCTGGAGCCCTCTGCGAACGCTCCGCTTAGCGTCGCATTTGCTTCAGAAATTTTGAGGTTTAGGGTTTAGGGCGTTTGCTTCAGAAGTTTTAGTTGTAGCCAAACCCTACTCCCGAAACGTTATCGTGGTGCATCGACAGGCATCAACTGATCTGGGTTTCAGGTTCTAAACCCTAACGAATCCTAAACTCCTAAACCCTATAACAAACCCTAAACCCGAAGCCCTAAACCCTTCCAAAGGGGGGTCGGTCCGGGTTCAGCATTCGCACCAAAGGGTCGTGGAGCGGCTTGCAGGATTTCGAGTACCAAGTTTAGAGTAGGGAGTGGATGAGGGATCTGGGGATGAGTTGAGACCAGTGAGACTAGAAGAACGAGCTCATGCATGCCTACCAGCGTCCTGGCATGCATCCACATAACAGGCTTTACACCTGAATATCCGAAAGTATGAATGTATTCGTATGTACACTTCTTCATGAAATCCAAACGAACCCCTTATTAAAAAACACGAGGCCTCTTCAGACACGACGCGTAAACCTAAACCCTGGACCCTAAACCCTAAACCTGAACCCTGAACGCTGAAAACGCTGAAATCGCTGGGCCTGGCAGGGGAAAGGCCTTCTGCGAGACACCTTGGTGGAGTTGGGAAAGACTGGGGGTCTGGCGAGGGTTTGGGGTTTAGGCTTTACGGTGCGGGGGTTTAGGGTTTAGGGGTTTGCTTTGTAGGTTCAGCCCCAAGGAAGTAAGCTCTCAGAATGAGCTGTGGGAGCTTTTACAGCGGGTTAACATTGGGCGCTACTTGGGCATATCCAACTTACCACCTCTCTGTTCTAGCCCGCCTGGAAACCCATCGGGTTAGAAGGCTGGTTGCGTGGCAGCCCTTCGTCAACTGTTTTGCAGCGGCGATGCAGACATCTAATCGCCTCTTGAAGAAACGCACCCGGGACCGTTTTCTGCAGCTGTCTGCAGCCAACGAAGACTGCGGAGTTCTTGAAGCCAGTGCATCAGCACGTCAGCGTCTGCGACCACTTTCTCCAAACGACTTGCAGCGTCCGCCAGGCTGATTGTTTGAGGACGCCACGGGTCGAGTCCGGGTAACACGACCGCTTTTCCTCAGCACGAAGTTGCCCGGGTCCGGGTAGCTGCCCATCTGAAGCGAGTGACAGTGCTTTCAGCTGGCGCAGCTGCAGCCGCTGGCACGGAGGCCGCCATCTTGTGGGGCGGGTGCGGGGTATTGCGTGGTTGGTGGTTGGGCTTGAAGAGCTTGAAGCTTTTGGACTTACTGCCGCCGGATTTGCTTGCACAAGTCTGTTCTGCACTACAACCCTGGGGCGATCGTCTGCAATCTGATACGGCCTTGCTTAGAGGATCATGGGACTTAGTAAGTAGGTTATAATTGGGGTTATAAGTCCCCTAAGTGGGGTTATCCTAATTATAACCTACTTATAACCTTACTTACTAAGTCCCATGAGCCTTCAAGTGGGTCGCAAGAGATCGCAGAGTCTCGGACAATCGACTCCGAAGTTGAGAGTTAGGGACTCAGGGCTCGGGCTTGGGGTTCGAATCGGGGTTGCGGCCGAGGGATTTATAGGGCTTAGGGTTCACTTACCTTTGCTTAGTAGGGAATTGAGGAATGGGGTGAAATTAGAACTACTATTACTACCATTCTTCCATTCCCTACTAGCCAAAGGTAAGTTCAGGGTCTATGGCATCAGCACCGACCGCTCTCAGGGTCAACACTTCCTCCGATAAAACTTTCGCCCTCGGAAATCAACAGGCTTAAAGCTTGTGCATAACATCCCTAAACCTTCCAAGCCTTGCAAGGCCCTTCCGCAAAATCCGACCAGAAACATGAGATCCCGAATTCTAACACCCCCAAATCTTACATCCACAATGAAGACACTTCTATGTTGAGCCAACATGCCGAAAACTAATTAAAACCCGAATATCAGGGCCCTGATAAAAAGGCTGGGGTCTGCCGCTGTGAGCGCGCGTGCCGATATCTATCTATATGCAAAAGATTATATGTGTATGCGTGTAGAGAGTCAGAGAGAGGGAGAGGGAGAGAGAGAGAGAGAGAGATATATATATAGAGAGAGAGAGAGATAAAGAGAAGAGCGGGAGAGCGAGAGTTATGAGGGGTACTACCTGGGGATAATATTCCTAGAAAGTCAGACCTCAACATTCTCCAAATCCACATCCTAAGCTTCGAATGCTCACGAGACCCCGAAAATGCCAGGAAGCACCTACCAACGCCCAAACCGAAAACCCAAGCAAAAAGGAACACAAAAAAACTACGACCCTATCACAAACCCCCATCACCACCCCCACAAACAAAAAAAAATCCTACAAAAGTTCTACTAAGCCCAAGCCGTGTGGCTGCAGCGGCCCAATCCTGAGTAGTGGCCTTTCCAGGGACTCAACAACCGCTTGAGTGAGGCATAGGTCCATGATCAGGAAAGCCTCCCCCTATCATTCAAGGTATCTTGCTCAACCAGACACAGAAAAGCTACTACTACTACTACTACTACTACTACTACTACTACTACTACTACTACTACTACTACTACTACTACTACTGCTACTGCTACTGCTACTGCTACTGCTACTGCTACTGCTACTGCTACTGCTACTGCTACTGCTACTGCTGCTGCTGCTGCTGCTACTACTACTACTACTGCTACTGCTACTGCTTCTGCTCCTGCTACAGAATCTTGAAAAATAAATAATAAACAGCTACAGCGCCGCATGAACTACGGTATGCTGGTCGAGTAAAGCCATACTGATCCTAAACCCGAAACTCCACAGGCTCCAAATAAGGGTGGTTGTCAAAATCATGGTCCCTTTTTGGGTCCTTAATATAGTACGGCACCTAATATTTAGGGTACCCAAACAGGAACCCTTATTTTTGACAACTACCCATATGGTTTCAGGTATGCTTGGATCTTCATTCGTGGGTAAGTATGAGAAATTTTGAAAAGGTGGTAGTGTACGTCCCAAAAGATCTGATACAGCTTTAGCTCCCCGGCTTATAACCCCATGTATAACCTCCCGTGAATCCTCAAGTATAGGACCCTAAATTTCGGGTCCCGTGCTTCGAAAGACGAGGCTCCCACGAATGTTGCGTTTGGAGGGTTGCAAAGGTACTTTAAAGAGCAGTTCCCATAAGGGTATTAAGATGGCGTGTGGCTCAGGGTTCTGCACTTGGGTTGAAGGTGTGTAGATGTGTTCGCGCTTTTTTGGGTTGTACAGAATGTTCGGGGTCCTTCGACGGTCACTACATGACTTCTATAATTGCTTGATGGCACCCTTCCCGAGGAACCCATGGGAGGGGGGGTGTTCGCAAGAGCTGAACAGGATTGGGTCCAAACGTTCCCCCTGACTTGGGGGCCCTGTACACTGTACATGTTAAAGTCTTCGGGGCTGTGTCATGTTTATGAATACATGGAGGGCTTTATGGACCGTATGCCGTGAGAAATACTTTTAGCGTAACCCGAGCTTAAACTCATTTTGGGCCGTCATGGGGTGTTATATTTCTGGGCCGTCATGGGGGTGCTACAAGCTACCCTCACTTGTATACCCGCCGCAGTCTGTCAACGGTCCTATGGTTCTGATCCGAGAATAAAGACGAAACAATTTAACCAAGCACGGGAACTGCGCTGGACAGTGTAGGAAAAGAACAGAAAAAACGAAACCGTGAAGCCCCACAGCCCAGTAGCCTTACGCACTACCCCTCACCACCAATCCTCAACCGTGCCGTCTACTCGGTCTGCCCGTGCCTGGCAACGACGAGCGGGACCCTCCGCCGAAATCCTCGGCGCAGGCCCAGTCTACCTGCACAGAGTCGGGTTGGAACGGTTGCCAGAGGCCTTACTATCAGAGTTCTACAGTCTATAGTTCTTAAGCTTAGTGAGAGATTCAAATCTTAGGGGTTTGAGTTTTAGGGCCTGGGGTTTCGGGTTTGCGTCTTGGGGATTCGGGTTTTGGGTTTTGTGGATTTTGGAGATTCACCTTTTTGGTTGGGGTTTGGGGATTGGGATGAGGTTTAGGGTTTAGGGTTTTGTCTTGGGTTCAGTCCAGAGTAGAGTCCGCAGTCCTACATCTACCAGGACGGTGCATGAACAGTACACACGGAGACTCTCATACCCCTGAACTAAGGATCCCTCCTTACGAAACCTTTTCTGACTTTCAAGGCTTGACAGCACGGCTTCAGTATTTTTTGGAATAACGTCCCTCTCACGACAGCTTTCAACTGAAACCCCGCCCAACATAGTGCAAAAAGGGCTGATTTGCTGTGCATGCGAAAGAGACAACGATATGAAAAGAAAGTCAATGCCTCAACGCCCTTTCGAAGTCTTCAATTCACGGTGCTTACCTACATTCGCCTCTACGAACAAATGCCACCTAGGAAATTGAAAAAAAGTTCGGTTTTATTAGGGCGTATTGTTGGGACCTTACTTGTATTGCAGTAGAGTTACTGTAGTTGAGATATTCAGGCTGCTACCCTAAACCTCTAAACCCTAAACCTTAAACCCTTCAACCCCTAAACACTAAACCCTCAATCCTTAAACCCCGAAACCCTAAACCCAAAAAACCAAACCCTGAATTCCACAATTCCATATTCCGTATTCAAAGCTGGCGCAGCCACCCATTCGAGCCTCCTCGAGCTTCTCTGGACCTCGCATGATGGCCATCACCTGCTCCACGGCTCCAAGGACTTCATAGGGGACCCGTAGGGGGGCTAAGGGGTGAGCGGGGAGGTTGGTAGGGACTATACTTCGTTAAACCAGCCTTACAAAGTCTTTATTGTAGGTGTCAAGGCCCCCCTACCCCCCCTCCCCCCTACCCCCCTAAAGGGTCCCTATGAGGACTCGTTTGAGGGTTCCTTGAAGGGTTCCTTTACGGGATCTCCTTCAAGGATTCCTTTAAGGGATCTCGTTTAAGGGTTCCTTTATAGGATCTATGGGGGAGATTTGTTCATGGATCCTTAGGGGTTCTTTTAACCCTCCTTTGAGGGATCTATAGGGGTTCCTTTAAAGATTCCTGTCAAGATTCCTGTCAGGCATCGTTAAGCGCTCCATGACTGAATCCATGACCGATTCAGGTCTACGGTGTAGGGCTTAGGGTTTAGGCTTCAGAGTGTAGTGTACATGGTTCATCGCTCAGGCTGGAAGATCTGGGTGAAAAGACCCGCTTGGGGTTCAGGCCTTCAGGTCGAACGCTGCCACTGTTGAAGGCTCCGTCCCCCGCGTGTAGACGAAATGGCGCGCGGCTCCGACGAGCCGCCCACACACATTCGAGAGATCACGAGGCCCCAAATGAGGCGCACGAGCAGTCAGATAACCAGTCATTTGCGCCATCCATCGCTCACGCTCGTGCCTGGTCATCTCATACGACACGGTTGCCAGAGCTTCAACATGTTGGATCGGACCACTGCCGCTCACAATGACCCCAGCGGGGCCCTCCCCAAAGCGACGCCGGTTTAGGGTTTAGATTCTTCAGACCGACGAAAGCATCGTGTTTTTTCCGGTCCGGTCCTAGCCTGAACCTGGTGTTGCTCCCCCGAAGGGTGCTTCGGCAACAGTTTCTGCTTGCTCAGTTCTTTAGGTTGTAGGGTCACAGGTTTTTGGTTTGTGGGAGTTAAGGGTCCGGCCTTGTGACTAAAAGGTCCTACACTGTTTGCTCGGGGTCGTACTGTGGATGTCTTAGGAAGCCGACTTCTTAAAGCGTTCCTCTGAGGATTCTTTCATCGTTATAAGAAGGGTTCTAAGCATTGTGTGTTGGGTTTCAGGGTTCAGGGTTTAGGGCTGAGTATGACTGTGTTTGCAGGGCAAGGAACTTTTCGAACCCTTGGAGGAACTCTCTAAAGGAGGTCGATATCCTCAAGCCCGACCCGCCCTAAACCCTAAACCGCATATCCGGTCCTCGGCGGGGTCCACGTCCTCGACGTCGCCAGCCTACAGGTCTCTAGGCGTCGTAGGTGGGGCTGAGGGGTTCGGGATTGGGGTTTAGGAGGCTTTGATACCATTTTGAGGGTTCGTTACTATAAGTATGATATACCGGGCCACCAAAATCCTAATCTAATTATTTTCAAGGCCCCTATATTTAGCACCTGTTGCCACCCGCTACAGTGTCTGCAACCGGTCGAATGCCCACGTCTGCACCTCAAACCGCTTTAAATCCTAAACCCTAAACCCCTCACCCCCAAACCCGTAACCCTAAACCCCGAAACCCTAAACCCATCAACCCTAAATCCCTACACCCCTAAACCCTTAAACCCTAAACTAACCCCATCAACCCTAAACCCTAAATCCCTAAACCCTACATCAAGGACTGTCTGACCATAGTGACTGACCCCATCCTCCGAGACTCTGAGAGCAGAGATCCCTCAGGCCACGCAACCTGCAAGCTTCTGCATGTTCTTGCATGTGGGTGGTTGTCAAAATTAGGGTCCCTTTTTTCGGTACCTATTATCATACGGCACCTCATAATTTTTGGTACCCAAAAAGGGACCCTAATTTTGACGACCACTCATGCTGAGGGAACCCCATCATAGATCCCTTAAAGGATCCCTATTGTAGATCTCTTAACAGGGAACCCCACTGTAGATCCCTGAAAGGATCCGACAAACCCCATTCTAGATCTCTTCAAGGTCCCTGAAAGGAACCCTAGTTTAGATCCCTTAAAAGCACGCCCCATGAGAATATATACCTGAAAGAAGCGCGATGAAATATACCTCAATGGCACCCTACTGCGGGAACCCCTAAGGGAACGCGAATCTAGATCGCTCACAGGACCCTTTTTCTAGATCCTTGAAACGGACCCCATTAAAGGAACCTTTGAAGGAAGCCTTCAGGGAACCGTAGTACATATTCCTTCAAAGAACTCTTTTGTAGACCCCTCACAGGAACCCCATTATACATCCTTTAACCGGAACCCTATTAACGGAACCCCAAACCCTGTAATAGATGCCAAAAAGCAACCCTACTCAAGGAGTCCTCGAAGGGCCTTGTAGGCGTATAGATCCCTTAAATCCTTAAAAAACACCTATTTGATATTATATATCCCTCAAACCCCTAAAAAACACCTATTTGATCGTATAGATCCCATAAAAAGAACCCAATAAGGGAACCCTTGAAAGGCCCGGTTCTCGAAACCCCAAACCCTGCGCCCTTAAAGGAGCCCTTGAAGCCCTAGTTTAGATCCCTTGAAAAGAGCCCTTGAAGCGCCCTACGCCCTGAACCCTGCGCCCTAAACCCTAACCCCAGTAAAGGAGCCCTTGAAAGGCCTTGTAGGGTCGGCCGGGGGCCTCTCGCTGCATCCGCCGCGCGAAGGCACGGCGGCTGGTTCCCTCGCAGGGCAGGCTGCAACTTTCGGACGTAAGGTTTTTTTGAAATGCACCGAACCTTTCGAGCTGCAGCAGTCTTCGGGGCTTAGGGTTTGGGATTGAGGTTAAGGAGCTTTTAACAGGGATTTCCGCCCATGATTTGCGGAGGGGTGTTACAAGGCATTTCCATCGGTTAAGCTCTCGTGCTGGGTGTTAGAAGGCGTTTCAGGGCTGTCGTGAAGCGGCTGAGGGTGCAGGTTTAATGGCTATGGGTTGAGGGCTTAAAGGTGTTGAGGTTTCATGTCAGGTGAGAAACCGAAGGAAGGAATGGCTGTGGGCCAAACTATGAAACGAGCTTTGCCCAGGGTTTGCGCAGGGCATCGTTTAGAACGTTGATCACAATCTAAACCCTGAAACCCCTACACGTACTTCCCGCATCCCTATATCCTCCAAGTACTTACCTTCGGTTAGTAGGGAATGGAGGAATGGGGTACAATTATAACTACTATTACTACCATTCGTCCATTCCCTACTAACCACAGGTAAGTTATGTATTAAGGCCCCTATATTATAGTACCCTTATAGATCCCTTATAGTGACCCTTATAGACCCCTCTATAAGGCCCCTTCCATTCCTCCAAGTACCAGCAACTTCTGCGCACCTGGCTCGAGACACGCAGAGCCATGACATCCAGGGCAGCGGTGTCCTGCACAGATCGCAGGTTCTGGTAAAGTAAAAGCCAGAAAGTTGGAATATGATTATCCTGAACCCTTTATGGTAAATTATAGGGTATCCTACCCTGAAACCATATTCCAACTTTCTGGAGTTCCCTGTATGTGTCAACAGGGCTCACACGTTTGAAGCCTGGTCTTAAAATTCGAAACCCGTAGCCCACAGGCAAATCCATGCAACCTGTGCAAGAACGCCTGGGCCCCATCAAGGTTGAGGGTTGAAGCTTCATGATCTACGGTTTGGGGTTTAAGACTGCCATCCGAATAATTAGCAATAATATCCCTGTAAAGTCGGTTAATATTCCAAACTGTAGGTAGTCTGATTAATATGGCCCCTGTGCTAAAGTTAAGGATTCGGGGTAAAGTTAAGGATTCGGGGTTTCGAGTTCAGGCCATGGGAAGTTGCTATCAACACTCGCACAATGAGCCCGCTCTCTCCTGCCGTGCGCTGAGGAAGATCTCCTGCAACACATCGCAGGGTTTAGGGTTCAGGAGGGCTTGGGTGGGGCTTATAGGGTTTAGAGTTTCGGGTCTTTTGGGGATTAGGGTTTAGGGATTACGGCTTGGGGTTGAGGGGGTTCGGTATCGATTCAGGGCTTGCGGACATTCGGCGGCATGGGTGTCGGAGACAGGATTTCAATGCACCAGGCAGATTTGAAGTCGAGGGTTTGCCCTGCGGCGTCCTCCGTAACACCTGTCCAGGCTGGTGGCCGCTTGAATGCCGCCACAAGCCTGGCAACAAGCGACCAGCCGAAACTGCTCCGACGTGTTAGCCGGTCTGGTTTCAGTAGTAGCACTCTTGTCGGCATATATCACTGCTATGCCTATAATCTTTCTGAAGGTCTTGTGGTTCACCTCCTATTCCCAAGCGTGGGGATCACTAGGCGTCTGAAGATTCATGGGCTGTGACTGATGCAGGCAATCGTAGCAAGTAGGCTTACACGAGGGGTATGCCAAGGAAGCCCTGGTAGCCAGAAACAGACTTGCGTCGCTGTTAGCCAGCCCGAAGGGACAGCGCTTCAGGATTTTGTTGCTTCATGATGAAAGGTGCGTTCTCCTTGGGTTTAGCAGCATTGTGGGGCTTTGCAGCTTAAACTTGCAGCAAGCAAATCACTCGGTATTGACGCTGGTCGGGGAGTTCGAGGAGGATATACTGACAGGGCCAGCATTGTCAGAGATTTTCAAAGCACACACATGAGCCAAACCTGACAATCTTTTGTTTCTGGGCTTGCGGCCGCCTTGGTATTCCACCCCCCTCCCAAACATCAAAACACACAGGGTCACTAACAGCGACGCAAGCAGAAACAAGGCCCACTCAAATATGAACTTACCCAGCCCCGCTCCCCTCCCCGGTCAAAAGAAAAAAACTGAACCCTGGAAAAATTGAACCCTCAGCCCTATGGCCTGAAAGTCCAAAGATGAACCCCAGCAAAGTGCCGTAAAAACCGCTAAGATCGGACGTGCCTTTGGTAGTCCTCATCTTGGACCTAGGCCGAGTTTTGGGGGCTGTCAACATCAGTGGCTTGGGGAGCAGTGCATGTAAACATCGTCCAAGTACATAAACCGGCTCATCTTAACGATACAAAATATACAAAACAAGAAAGTGGACAGTACTACTCATTCTTCCGACCCCTGCTTGAAGGCTCATGGGACTTAGTAAGTAAGGTTATGGGTAGGTTGTAATTAGGATAACCCCACTTAGGGGACTTATAACCCCAATTAAAACCTACTTACTACTTACTAAGACCCATGATCCTCTAAGGGTGTTACCACTCCTTCGGAAGCCCAGTCGCCAAGACGTAGCGGACGTCCACATCGCGGCCCGGCAAGGCTCCAGAGGGGACCCAGAGGTAGGGGTCCAGCTCCTGGAGAAGGCTTTAGGAGTTAAAGAGTTTTTTAGGGTTTCGGGTTTTAGTTGAGGGTTTCGGTTGCGGGCTCGGGGTTTAGGATGGTCTGGGCGTAAGGTGTCAGGCTCGCAGAGGTTCTTTGTGATGTCCATGTTATTGCGGCACTAGAGGCCTGGATTTGGTAGGGTGTAGGGTGCAACATAGGTGGCCTAAATACTTAGAAATCCGACGAGTATTTCAATGTGCATCATAGTATGACATATGCTCAAGTACTTCTCCGTGATATGATCATTCATCATCCAAACCCCGAAAGACATGGTCGGGGGCTCAAGGCTCGGAGCTTGTAAGCTTTGGTGCTTTGGGGGCTCAGACTAAACCGTGAACCCTACACCCAAATAATGCACGGATTGGAGCTAAACCACAAACCCTAAACCCTGGACCCCCAAACCCGAGACGCTGAGACACAGACCCTCAACCCGAACCCTAAACACCCTCCACCTCGATGTGCTGAAAGCCCAGCCGAGTGAAGTAGGCCTCTGCAGAAGCTTCGTTTGCTTTCAGTGCGGGGCTAGCGTGTTAAGGGTTAGGGGTTAAGGGTTCCGGTAGGGTTTTCCGATGAGTTTTAGTTATTGCAGGTGATAGACTGGAGGTATGGATGCCTCATTCCCGAAAAAGAGACTCTAATGAAATCCTGATACAAACCTGCTAAAGCGAGACCCCTTGAATCCTTCAAGCACCAACTTCCCCCCGCTCTCTCCCAACAAAAAACAAGAACCAAGTCGGCCTCGAGGCCGGCAGATTGAGGCTCCAGCACCAGCACCTCTTGGAGTTCGGCGCTGGGGCACTTGGTTTAGGGAGTTAGAGGGGGGGAGAATAGAGTTTGGGCCTAACAGATAGGGGTTTAGGGGTTTGGGGGGTTTATGAAGCGGTCGTCGGACGAGACTGACGCAGGGATCCTTGCTCCAGATACAACACAGGGACGAACTTGGGGGTTTAGGGGTTTAGGGCTTAGGGGTGTAAGGGTTTGGGGGTCACAGTTTGGGTCCTCAGCATTTGGGGCTTCATGATTCACTGACGTTTCGCTCTATCTTCGCGGACCAGCGGTTCTCGAATCCGGGTCTCTTTACCCGAGCCACTTCGAGGATGGCCGGGGTGACCAGGCGCCACTCCTCCCCGGGCAGCGGCTCGTCCAGGAAGCGCTTGAACTCCCAGTTTGCTGACCTCACCTCGCGCCCTTGGCAAAGCTTTGAAACAGTTGAGCGGCTTAAGCCTGATTCATGAGCAGCTGCTCGCATCGAAACGAAAAACTGCCAAGGCTCCTCTGTGGAGCCCAGCGGACGTCCCTGGACCAACATGCTCCTTCTTGAGGAACGCTCCTCCCCCTCCCGCAGCGCGAAATAGTGTCGCATGTTCTCGGAGCGCGTGACGTATTCCAAGTTTTCTAAGCTGTTGTTACGGCGATTGCCATCTTTGTGATTGACCTCCAGGTCTGCAGATGCAGGCTGGCCCAGGAACGTTGCTGCCACCAGTCGATGAACGGAGAAAGCTCGACCACGCCGCCGAGCTTGCAGATACCCCTCTCCCATGTCACTCCCTGCTGTGACGTGGTCACGGGTACGCAACAAATACCTGACATGCCCACATCTACTTACCATTAGGTTCGAAACCACTTCCGTCTCGTGAGTGCCGGGATATTTCGCCGCCGCCCAGATTATATTGCTCCAACTTGCCTTGTCGCAAGGTGGAGCCGGCCTAAATTCGTACCACCGGCCATTTCCACGTGCTCGTCTTTGCACGCCTCGACAGCAAGCTGACACCGAAGTGGACTTAACGCCGAGTAGCATCGCGACATTGCTTTGCGAAGCGCAAGAAGACCACAAGCTTTGACCACATTCGCGCCAAAGAACCGGCATTCCGCACCCACTATTACGTCGTCGATCAGGATTGGTTGCCCAAGAGTGGCGAGTGTTCTCAGATGGTGTTGCATGGGAGAGGTTGCTTGCATCATTGTTAGAAGGATTTCCGTCTAGATGGCTGACTTGCCAGTGGTCGTCGGATGGCGGCATGCCAAGAAATGCGCTTGCAACAAGTCGGTGTACTAGGTATTGCTGCCCCTCAATATTCACAGATCTGTATCCGGAGATCCTCAAAGTACCATAGCTGGTGCACCCGGTGGGGGATTGCACCCGCCCAGAGGAGCTTACTTGCCAAAGGAAGCGTGCACCCTTCGCTGCAGAAGCTGCAGAGAATCCGGAAACCGCACGGCACGAAAACCTGATGTGAGCCAACAACCTGAACTGGGAACTGCAGCGCATGGCTGCTGGTGCGTCTTGAACCAATGCATAGATACTGACAAAGCGAATGAGATTGACTCTCCGACACATCTTCTAACACATCAACCCGTACCCTAAAAACCCTGAAGTCCAAAGCCCTAGGCATAAAACGTTGCAGCTGCAGGGCAGTTCGTCTCTTCCTAGCTATGCTGTTCGTGCCGACGCAGATCTTCTAACCAGCCTCAAGGTGCACATGCCCGAACCTAGTCACAACCGACGACTTTGTGCAAGGAGACATACCGGCCTGCCAGCAGGCCCCAGGGCCATAGGTGAGACTCTACGGCTCGCGAACCTTCAACCCTGCAACCCCGCAATGCTTAAGCCCAAAACTCCTAGACTCTAAACCCAAAGCCAGCACTCTCAACTCTCAAGCTTAAGATCTTTTGACCCTGAACTCTAAGCCTGCGATCCCTGCCTATGAAGCCTCTATCGAATCACTCAAGGGCCTTCTAACACCATGTAAACATGTTCAAACCAGAAATCCCCAAGCCCTCCCACCTGGTTGGCCGCTGCAGCCTGCTGCACCAGACAGCGAAGCAACACCGCTCCCAACCTGGAGCTTGCGGCCGAACGGTATCCGGCCCTTCTAGTTTAGTGCAAAGTATGTAATTCCATACAGACTGTAACAGTCCCGACTTCAACCTACAGACCCACTAGAATCATTAAGAAGGAATCTAAGTGATGCCCTATGAGCCCTGACAGCCCCTAGAAAACCCCGTTTAACCATTTACTAAACCCTGTAATCACACCGTGACAGACACCCATGACATAACTATATAAAGCTCCTTCTTGAACCCGAACATGGAGCAGAATATGTACCCTCATAAACCCCCTCCCCTAAAACCCCTGTTGTGAAGCCCCTCATCACCCTACAAAGCCCTTATAGAGCCCTTAACACGCAAAAACAAAAGCAACAAAATCGAAAATCAACAAAAACATGTAAAAACAAAAAGCAAAAAATCAAAAATTAAAAAAATAAAAAACATGATCCGAACCAGCGGCCCCCGGGCCGAAGCGTCGGGCTGCGTCACGATCGCCTGGGGAGCTCCAGGGGCTCTTGGCGATTTGGGAGTTTCCGAAAAACCTAAACCCTTAAACCCTAAATCCCTAAACCCCTAAATCCCTAAAGCCCCGAAAGCCCTAAGGCCCTAAATAAACCCTATATGGGAGTTTCCGAAAATCGGGGACCCTAATATAGTACCCTAAATAATACGATCCTTATCATAAGGATCCCAAAGTAAGGTACCCCTAATTTTCGTAAACTCCCATTTGCACGGGCTGTAAGGGCCCTTGTTCCCCAATGTAAGGGCCCTTGTACCCCAAGGATCAGGGTTTGATAAGGATTTGACGCTTAGGGTTTAGGATTCAATCTTTAGGGTTGAGAGTTTTCTGCTGTTGGTTTTGGGGTATAGGGATTTGGCGTTTGGGGGCTTCGGTGAGTTAGAACCTATCTCGGGCTTCGACGTTTTATCAGCACTTCATAGAGCGTTCTATTGAGGTTCCGTAGGGCTCTACGAGAATTCCTTGGCCGCGCCCCTTCTGACTAAGACGGGACGCCGGGCTCGGGCTTTCGGTCATAAGAGTTTGCTATAAGGATCAGGGTTTCTCTAAGGTCTGTTCAAACGTGCTTGGGATGCCATCGAGTTCGATGTTCAATAGGGTTGAAGGTTCTGCTTTTTGAAATTTTCCGAGTCTGTTTGCTTTCAAGCGAATACACCAACAAGGAACCCCTAGCTTCAATCACAACTCCCGCATACGCACCCACCAGGCATCTTGGGATCTCTCGAGAATCATAAAAACTGCTTCCCCAAAGGGCACCGGTTCAGCGTTTGCGGGGGTAGGATCTGTGTTGCGGTCTGCAATCTCGTCGACTTCTTCGACTTCCACAGATTGTTTCTGTCGGTTGCAGCTACAGGACCTATCGATGCAATGTTCGCAATAGCATATTGGAATTTGACTTGCCGATACAGGAACTGCTTGTGAATGGCCTTCCTACGACTGTCCTTTGCTACCATGGCAACAGGACAACCAGCGAATCGAAAGGAGCATGCACAGCAACACGAACCGTGCTGTCACGCATGCCAAACTCCTTAGCACCGCGTTTCAGGCTCACAGCTTTGGTCTTGCTCGATGTAGGTTTAAAGGCTTGTAGACCAAGCCCAAGCTTGAACTCTCAACTTTGACATCCGACGCTCACACACCGATGCATGTACGATCCGACCTGCGCCCTAGACCGCGGAACCCTCAACCCCCAAGCCTAAACCCTAAACTCGAAACCGGCAACCTACTTGAAGGCTCTTGGGACTTAGTAAGTAAGGTTATAAGTAGGTTATAATTAGGATAACCCCACTTAGGGGACTTATAACCCCAGTTATAACCTACTTACTAAGTCCCATGATCCTCTAAGTAACCTAAACTACCCCTTATAGAACCCTTATATTATAGATCCCTAAACCCAACACCCTTTAAGGAGCCCTTTAAGGAACCCTAAGTCCCATGATCCTCTAAGTAAAGCCTTGACCGCAAGGGCCCCAAAACCGGGGTCGGCGCATCCACGTGGAGGGCTCCCAGGGGCTCCAAGGGAAACGGGCGATCGGATACCTCACTTAGAGGATCATGGGACTTAGGGTTCCTTAAAGGGCTCCTTAAAGGGATCTATAGGGTTCCTTAGAGGGATCTATAGGGTTTAGGGTTCAGGGTCTACTTAGAGGATCATGGGACTTAGTAAGTAGGTTATAACTGGGGTTATAAGTCCCCTAAGTGGGGTTATCCTAATTATAACCTACTTATAACCTTACTTACTAAGTCCCAAGAGCGAGCCTTCAAGCACGGAGCTCTCTTTGGGGGTCGAGCTGATTTTCGAAAGGAGTGCTGGGTGCAACAAAAGTGTTGGGGCCGCTGCGATCAAGATTTTTAGGGATAAGGAATTTCAGGTTTAAGGTCTAGGCTTCTTTTGTTTTGGAGCGTTCTTCTGTTTTCAAGGGGTTAGTTAGAGTTGTCGTAGAGGATAAGGTTCGAGGGTTTGGATAGGGTTTAGGGCCTCGGCTGATAGACCTTGGGGTTTAGCGCTTCTACTTGAAGGCTCATGGGACTTAGTAAGTAAGGTTATAAGTAGGTTATAATTATAGTAACCCCACTTAGGGGACTTATAACCCCAATTATTACCTACTTACTAAGTCCCATGATCCTCTAAGTAGTGTTTAGGGTTTGGAGGTTGGGGTTCTTGCACGTAGTGATGAAAAGTCTGACGGGAGTCGGGTGCAGTTGTGTTTCCAGAGTTTTGCAGCCTAGCTTTCAGGTATGGAGCTTACAATCGAATTTGATGAAGGCTGCGTAAGTCGTGTGATAGGTCTTTCTTAACTTTTATACTAATGCGAGTTGGGATGAAGAGATTCAGGGTCTCGGGGTTTCGGCTTAGGGTTTCCATAACATTCTCAGGAATAGTAGCGCTGACGGGTCTGAAAGCTCACGGCTCAGAGACATCAAACCCAAAAAGCCTTAAGCAGCTTTTCGTTTTGGGTTTCGGGCTTACGAACAAATTGAGTCTGAGGTTTGCTTGACGCCCAGAACCTAGAACACTACTACCCTCGAAGGCCCAAAATACTCCACAATCCTGGACACGAAACGATCTTTAAAAAGAAAAAACGCCTTGTGGCCTTCCAAGTACCTATAGAGCACCCCATACCTTACACAACCTGTACAAGACCCTAAACTCTGAAACTCCAAGCTGGAAAACTACACGAAAACTACACTAGGATAAAACTATAGGCAAAACAATGACGAGCTGACGTAACCTATACTAAGACACAACCTACATAGACCCTAAATCCTAAACCCTAAACTGAATCCTAGACCCTACATCCTAAATCCTAAACTTTAAACCCTAAACTGTAAGACCTTAATCCCTGAACCCCTAAAACCCCGCGGCCGAGAAGCCGCTGCGATGGCTAGTGGCGCTTCGGCCGGTGCCCTGGGATGCTGATTTGAAGTTCAGGGTTTAGGGTTTTGAATTCAGAGTTAGGGTCCGCGGGTCCTTGATGGGGCCCATTATACTACATTAGTATAATAAGGAACCACCAAAATAGTCTAGGTAATTACAAAAGCCCTGTATTAATGGGACACTGTCACTCAGCATTGGGACCTCTCTGTTCAGAGCCCCAACCTCCTCGGCCGAGAACCCTGGACGCCAAAGTGCGCACGTGATGGGGGCCAAAAGGGGGGTTTAAGAGTCTTGGGGTAGGGATTCCTGAATACGAACCCTATTATGGGAACCCCAATCCCTACTAAACCCCCATAGGCTAAAACCCCTTTTGGCCTCCTATGACGCGCACGGCAAGTCAAGCGGCTGATGCACAGAATACACGCGGAAGTCGGACGCAGGTGCGCCTTTTCCCGGCTGCGGCTTTGGGCTTTGCAGCTTAATGTAGGGACCTTAATAATTAGAATAGGGTCTTGGGGTATATTGTACTATAATTATAACAAGGAACCCCCAAAATAGAATTGGTATTTATTTCGGCCCCTATATCAGGGGAGGGAATGAAACTGTTTGGTTGCTCGGGTTGTTGTGTGAGGTTCTGGGCAGTTCGGACTCAGCTTTGCGGCATTGGGTAAGGAGGGCCGCTGTCGCTAAGCCCTACAGCTTTTTCCTGTACTTACCATATCCTCTGAGCACAACAACTGCTAAACCCCAAAAACCCACCAACCCACCCACCCCTCACACAAAAAGCAGCAAAAACATAGCAATCGTAGAAGGGAAGCTCCAAATTCCAAATCCTTAAGCTCTAACATCAAGCTCAAGCCCGAGTCTCCCCAAACTAAATTGTTCAAAAACCAAAGTCATATGCCTGACCCGAAAGTCTTAGGCTTTAGACTTAGGCTTTCGGATTTGGGGTTTAGGCTTCGAGTTTGGGGTTCAGGGTTTAGACTCCCACTGCCCTCTTCTCGAACCTAGTAGAAGTGGGGGGTCGAGGTTCGGGTGTCCTCAAACCTGAGGCCCAGAAGCACACGCCTCTGAACCTTCAACCTTAACATCCCAAAGCTCTTTCCATGGGAGTTTCCGAAAATTTGGGGCACCTGATTTGGGGTTCCTTATAATAAGGATCCCGCTATATATTTAGGGTGCTATATTAGGGTCCCCTATTTTCGGAAATCTCCACATGGAGTCGGAATCTTGAGCTAGAACCCCAAACCCTAAACCCCATCATGGAATCCCTATAGCAACTATTATCAGCGCCTTTCGCGGGAAACACGTCATAGAATCCTTACAGTAACCATTCTGGGACGGTTAGGTCTAAAGGAACTACACTATAGACTCCTTGTAGTCACCCTCAAAGAAACCGTTTAGAGGACCCCCGAAGAGTAACCGCCCGAGCGCCTCCACGCGGAGGCTCGTCGAATGCGGCGCTCTCCAGGCGTTTCTTCATGGCCTTGGGCCCGCAGAATGGGAGAGGATAATTAGGGAACCGGGTTTAGGTTTTAGTATAAAGTAAAAACCAGAAAGTTGGAATATCATTATCGTAACCCCTTTAAGGTAAATTATAGGGGATCCTACCATTAATCCATATTCCAACTTTCTGGAGTTCCCTTTATTGTGTTTGCATACGGTTTATGACAAGAACGGTTTCTAGCTATCATGGGAGAGGATAGGGAACGCGGTTTAGGGTTTAGGGTTTCATATACTGTATTTGCATAGGGACTATGACAAGAATTATTGTCCGGGTTGCTGATTTCGGGTTTTGAGTTTAGGGTTTAGGAGTTTAGGGTTTAGGGTTTAGGGTTCAGGAGCTTGCGGTTTAGGGTTCAGGGTTTAGGGGGTTTAGGGTTTAAGGGTTTAGGCCGTTGTGCTTTGGGGGGGTTCAAAGTCCAGGGATCAAGGTCTTCGTTTCGGGAGGAGTTGCACATGTAGCCTAGTGAAGACAAAACGAATGCTACGGTTGATGATATAAATCCTGCATGACCCACAATAAGGAATATACCATAATCCCCAGTGTTCAGGGTTAAAGTAATGCAGGATTTATATCATCAACAGTAGTATCATCTTCTGATGCCTTAAGCATGCGAAGAGGTTTCGAACAAGTGCTCCGGAAGTCGAACACAGCCAACAAAAAACGAAATAAGACGTGGCCTCCAAGAAAGGCCAAGTGTAGACCTCTGATTGCCAACCCTCCCCTCCCTTACTTCGGAGTTCATCCGGGATCTGAATATTCAGGCCATTCAGGACTGTGGCTTATTCACCAGCGGTCTGCACTACTTCTCGAGATGAACTCCCCTCATCCCCGGAAGGAGACGTAAGCATCTCAAAGCTTCCTTGATCGGAATAACCCCCAAAAAAGCATGTAAGCCAGCAGACGAACCGCAATATGAACAGCAATGATAAGAGTAAGGCTATAGTTCCTCGAAAATAATAACCCAAACGACACAAGAAAATACAAAAGCAGGGTTCACAACAGTATCCACCAGAACAGCACAAGGACGGTTAAGAAAGTACGCCTACTTGTCTCATCTCCCAAGTGGCCACAATCATCCGCTGGCGCCAGAAGTTGCCTTCATGGCTGCCTCAGTCGCGCCAAACATGGCTGAACTTCGCTCAGCCTAACGAGAAAGGTGCGGTTCGTATCAGGGTTTACGGCTTAGGGTGGTAGATGTCGTGGCTTGGGACATTTAATGATGGGGCTTCCGGGTTTAAGACTTAGGGCTTTGGGGTTCAGGGTCACGGGGTTTGCGGGCTTTTCTTTCGGATACTCTTTAAATTCAGCGACCTATGTTACCCTATCCCGCACCCTCACCTCCACCCAACTACTATGCTTCTGAACGTTGCGGGATTCGGTTTCGGGCTGCAGCCCCCAAATAGTACGGCACCCTTATAACAAGGACCCTAAACGGGACCCTATTTTATAGAACTACCCATCAACACATGTCAACAGATGTTGGAGTCTTTGGAAACTCTGTGCTTAAAAACCCTTACAAAACCTGAGCGCACCTCCTCACCTTTAAACCCCACAAAACCACTGCCACTGGCGCTCCCACATCCCCCGAACCCTAAACCTTGAACCCCTAAACCCATAAACCCTAAACCCCCCTAAACCCTAAACACTGAACCCCCAAACCCTAAACCACTAAACCCCCAAAACATAGACCCCTAAACCCCTAAACCCTTAACCTACATCCCCCCCAAAAGGTGCCAAGGTGCCGTGGCTGCGACCCTCCCACTCACTCAGCCACGCCGCGAGCCTAAAGCTTCAACTTCGGGATCTTACTGGGGTATACTTGCAGGTGCATTCATGCGTAAAAGTCTCATTATAATAAGTCTAAAAAGGGGATAACCAATTTATGATTGTAGTTGTAAATAAATACATCTATAGATGGGAAAACTATGGTTATAACCCATATCAATGGTGGGCTTACAATCCCACTCTACCCAGGAACCTCCCAGTTCGGCCTTGAGCTGGAGGGTCTGGTTCTACGCGGAAACATACCTACGGGTTTGGCGGTGTTGGCTTAGGGTTTAGGGTTTAGGATCTGTAAACATTGGCTTAGGGTTTAGGGTTTAGGATCTGCAAACAGAGTCCAGATATATACCTCTCATATCGTGGAAAAACTTCAGGTTGAAGCCGGAGGCCCTAGACATTTCGATTGAAGCATGGCCAATTGTTGGCTGCTCTCAACCCGGGTGGCTTGCACAGGCTTCTGCAAGTATTGCCGAAGAACTTCGAGCTTAGGGCGTGCAAGTGGCAAGAACCTCATAAGGGGGTCCCGTACCCACACAAGGATCTCCGCTTAGAAGCCTCCAAAAGCGGAAAAAGGGGCATTGAGGCGGAGCAAACTAAACGATACCTCTTCTCTCCATAAGGAGTAGGTTGACCCCTAGCCTAAAGTACTCACAGCCCGAGCCCTAAACTCGACACCCTGAAACCTAAACCATAAACCCGGAACCCCGAAAGCAAGAGGGCTGGTGATCAGGGGGTTTACCATGCCCCTGCACATCTCCGACAAAGCAAGGGGGTCTGGAAGCTCGAAGTTGAGCCTACATGGGGTGTACTTAGAGGATCATGGGACTTAGGAAGTAGGTTATGACTGGGGTTATAAGTCCCCTAAGTGGGGTTATCCTAATTATAACCTACTTATAACCTTGCTTACTAAGTCCCATGAGCCTTCAAGTAGGGTTTTGGGTGGGGACGTCACAGCGACAATCCCGACCACCACATCGAAATGTCTCAGCCCTACCTCAAAACATAAGCCTCTAAACTCGACTCGAACCCTAAACCGTAAACCCTGAGCCCTCAACCCTAAGCCGTAAACCCTAAACCATTTCGAAAGGCCAATACTCCGCCAAGGAGCCGCAGCGCATGTTGTGGTAGCAGCCACAGAACCAAGGAGCCAGTGTCCAACCTTCTTTGCTCCACGGTTTAGGGTTTTAGGATTTGAAAGCTATGAAACCCCGAAACCCGAAACCATAGAGTGCTGTGTTGGAGGTTGAGAAATTGAGATTGGCTGGGCCGGGAATTTTGAACTTAGGGTCTAAGGTCTCAGCCTCTGGGATGAACATTTGACTTTGAAGGGTGGGTTTAGGGTTTAGGGTTTCGTGGTGTGAGGCTTGCTGGGCTCATCGGATTAGGGCGTTTGAGGTTGGAGGTCGATCTCTACCTTCTCCTAATGTAAGGGCCTTACTACTTAGAATATAATAAGGTGTCGGGGCCTTTTCTACAAAAACTATAATGAGGAACCCCCAACATCGCACATGTAATTATTAAGGCCCCTATATAGTACACACAAAACCCTCCACTCTGAGCCCCGGAGCCTTAAACCGAGCTAAAACTGTGAGTCGGCCCTGAAAGCAAACGCATCTGTTAGAAGGGGCCCCCACCCTGTAATAGTGACTATAAGGACTATTTTAGGGCCCTACTAGGTTCCTATTATACCACTATTACAGGGTGGGGGCCCCTTCTAACGTATCTGTCCTAGACTGCGAAAGCAAAATGCCCTGAAACCACTCGTCTACTAATTCCCGTTTAGAGTTTCTTCGGGAACCCGGTTGTTGCAGATCCTCAATCCTCAATATGGGAGTTTCCGAAAATAGGGGTACCTTATTTTGGGGTCCATATAATAAGGATCCTACTATTTAGGGTACTATATTAGGGTCCCCTATTTTCGGAAACCCCCATACTAGAACCCGTGGTAGAAGAACCTGCCAAATGGGGCTCGCGACTTTCGGAAACCCCCAATTGGAACCAGAGCCTTTGTGCTTCACACTTCGGCATCAAGGGAAAGCAGCTGTCGTGTTGTCGGCCTAGCAGCGGACCTTCCTGCTGCAGCACACACGCAACTTCCCACCGATAATGGTGAATCCATAAATGCACGGACAGCACCTGGTCCTGCAACACGCGCAAAAATGCCTCATGGTCTTGATCAGATGCTTCCATGAGAGCAGAGTATCCGCCATTGTAGACGCCGTCCTTGTTGGGACAGGCTTCCAGCAGCAAGCGCACCACTTCCACGTGGCCCTGCCCAGAAGCCAAAATCAGAGCAGTGTTGCCTTCATATTTTGTGAAGTTCATGTCGGCGCCTGCTTCCAGAAGTAGCCGCACTACATTCATGTGACCACAGTACGAAGCTAGCATCAGCGAGGTCAGGTCGACGTTGCAACTCAAGTCCTTGTCAGCACCGGCCTCCAGCAGCAAACGGGCCACTTCCACGTGGCCTAGTCACAAACAATGGAGTGTGGCCATTGTTGCCCGCAAAGTCCTTGTCGGCATCGGCTTCCAGAAGCTAGCGCACCACTTCCACACGGCCACATCCGGAAGCACGATGCAAGGCCGTGATGCCGTCTTTGCCAGTCAGGTTCTTGTTGGCACCGGCTTCCAGCAGTAAACGCGCCACTTGCACATGGCCGTGCCCTGAAGCCAGAATCAACGCAGTGTTGCCGTCGTAGTTGGTGAGGTTCAGGTCGGCGCTTGCTTCCAGCAGCAAGCGTACCACTTCCGCGTGACCATAAGCTCGCGTCAGCGAGGTGTTACCAGCGTTGCGAGCAAAGTTCTTGTCGGCACCGACCTCAAGCAACAAACCGACCACTTCCGCATGACCTCGCTCGGAAGCCCCACTCCAAGCAGGATGGTCTCCATTGCTGACGAATGCCGGCGGCACTGCGTTGATGGCGGCCTCTCACTTTGGACATGTGGAGATGGTGCGTTTGCTGCTGGAAGCCGGTGCCGACTTGAACTTATTTGCCTGCAACCCATTACCTCCAGTCACTGCATTGACTATTGCTTGTAGCGAAGGCCATGTGGAAGTGTTGCGTATGCTCCCGGAAGCCGGCGCAGACAAGGACGCAAAGGCCGCGTCCTTGTCCGCACCGGCTTCCAGCAGAAATTCGACAACATCCACACGGCCATCACGTGAAGCAAACCTCAGGGCGGTGCGACCCTAAACCCTAAACCCTAAACCCTAAACCCTAAACCCTAAACCCTTAAACCCTAAACCCTAAACCTGATTGTCCGGCAAGTCTCTGTCGGCACCGGCCTGCAGTCCAGCAGTAGTGGAAGAACTTCGACATGCCCGTGTGCAGATGCACGCATACGCGCACTTTCACCGATCTTGTTGGGAAGGTCTGGATGCAGCGGTGGCTTCCAGTGCTTATCAATGGTTTAGGCTTAGGATTAGGGAAAATGCCGGGTTTGGGTCCAAGACGATGCTCAGAAACAGATGAATCTCGGCTGTGGAGCCATTCGCGGCAGCAGTCAGCAGCTCATCTGCTTCCTCTCCGGCATATGAAAGGACACGAGTTCCAAGTCCATGGGCACGTCCAGCGTCGCAGCATCACACATGGTACTGCCGCAGCAAAAGAGGCGCTGTCTGAATCGTGATGGAAAGTCGTGCAGCTGATTCAGTCGTTGCTTCAATGCCCTCACATCGCTCAAGTCCTCCAACTCCACGCATGCCACCTCCTCCCCTGACAGCATTCTGAGATGCAGCATGGCGGTCACCGGGCGTGGCCGGGTTAGCCCACTGAAACTACCGAAGACTCTTATCGAATTTAACAAGATACACTGAGTCCCGGATCTTGATTCAAACCTATCGAAAGTCTCGATCCACAGCTCAAGTAGGCAGCTGGAGCAGCATACACTGCCATGCCTGATTGAAGGATCTGCACAGCTATAGCTGCGAAGGCAAAGGCTTTCTGGAACAGACCCTCAAGGCCTCACAGGAGTTACCACCAAGCACATCCTGAAGCTTCAGATCGCAGAGAGGAGACCGTGGAGATGAGATTACCTAGATGGCCCTGAACCACAACTACTGTAGGGGCCTGAATCACTAGAATAGGGTTTTGGAGACCATTACGTATGCGAGACTTAAAAAAAAGGAGCCCGCAAAAAAGGTATAGGTAACTATTTAGGACCCCCGAACTGCACCCTGTGGAGGCATCATGCTGCTGCCAGGAGAACTGGGCGATAAGCTCCCCTTCCATGGCATGCTCCTTCACCTCGGCAAGCACACGGTGCAGGGTTTAGGGTTTACCAGCACTGACGACTCTGCCAAATCTGTCAAAGCCACAGAATAACTAGGTTGTTAGTGTGTATTGGAGCTTGCGGATTTTGTGGTTTCAAGCACCCCATGCAGCTTGCATCGCTTCATTTTGGGCTTTAAGAAAAGAAGCACCCAAATATAGAACCCTCTATATAAGGTGCTCAACCTCTGAATATATATATATATAGATAGATATACATATACATAGATATATATATATATATATACATATACATATACATATACATATACATATACATATACATATACATATACATATACATATACATATACATATACATATACATATACATATACATATACATATACATATACATATATATATACACATACATACGTATATATGTATATGTATGTGCAGAGGCATATGCATATGCAGCCGGGATGTCTCATCCTCGAGATGAGTGGTCTCACCAAGTTTGTCCAAGGGTAAAAGGAGGGACCCCTAAGAAGGACCCCTAGGTATATACCCATAATATAGCCATTATATACCCATTATATAGCCCGTTATAGGGTAGGGCTCCCCATTAAGGGTCCCTCCTTTTCCCCCTTGAGTTTGAGCTTCTTGTTGGCTGTGTTCTAACTGCGGCCGCCTGGATCTCCATGTCCCTTTCGATTGCGTCCCGTACAAACCTTCCGCTTGAACGCACCGTAGTACTTAAAGGATCATGGGACTTAGTAAGTTGGTTATAATTGGGGTTATAAGTCCCCTAAGTGGGGTTATCCTAATTATAACCTACTTATACCCTTACTTACTAAGTCCCATGAGCCTTCAATTATACGGTATACGGAATCCGTGTTGAGAGGACCTCCCAAAAGGAAGAAAGGGCTTGGGCTTTTGAGGTCAGGTGCCAGAACCTTCAACGCCACTGGCCATGGGGGTCTGACAGGAAGGATCGCTTAGCCCCAAACCCCAAACCTCAAACGCAAACCGAACCCTCTGCTTGTGATGCTGTTTGGCTGGAGCCCCATCCCGAAATCCCCGCCCGAAGAGCCATGAACCACGGACCCTCTTAAAGCACCCTGAGACTGGCCCTTAGAAAAAGCCACTAGCGGAACCCTAAATGTCTAAGTTCTGAAATACACATCAAACCCCTGAACCCCTAAACCCTAAACCCCCCAAACCCCAAACCACAACCCTTGTAGCAACCCTGTTGGAGCTCTTTAAAGGAATCTTGAACCCAAGAAAGCCCCTAAAGGGCTCCCCGACCTGAGACCCCCAAATCCTAAACCCTACACCGTAAGCCTTACCTTAACCCTGAAGAACCTACCGTTTTAAGGACTTATATAAAGAAATCATAATAGGGAACCCAAAAGAGGTAGGTTCTTCAGGGTTAAGGTAAATCCTAAAACCTGAAACCTAGACCCTGAACCCTGCACCCTAAACCCTCAACCCGCACCCCAGGCCCCCAAACTCCCTGAAGCACAGCCAGGATGCAGCCGTGGCGGAGCACCGAACTTGGGCCGGTCGCGCCTGCGACGACAGAGGCGAGGCTTAGGTCCCCATTTTATGGGTTTAGGGCTTAAGGTTTCGGGTTTAGGCTTTCGGACTTAGGGCGTAGGGTTGCAGGTTTCGGGTTTAGTGTTTAGGGTTGAGGGTTCAGGGTTTTATGTTACGCTGGGCCCCAAAAAACACATGAGAAAAATGAGGATAGGGATATCCCACATAAACCCCCCTTGTAATGAAGCTCAATAACGTAGGGATACCCCTGTAGAATGCTTAGGTTTGAGTCCGCTTGGGGTCCCGAATGTTAGTCAGTGGCTTAAGGGGTGGGTCAAAGGGCTCCTTTGCAGGCTTCATGGGATTCTATCGGGTTTCGCGGGTGTTGAAATCTTAAGGAGCTTCTTTCAGTTTTGTAGGTTTGTAGAATCCCTTATGGGATTCCTGGTGCAAGGCAGAGCGAAGCGAATCAAAATGGGCATGTGCTTCTCTGACTTTGTTTCTGCTTACCCTTTCCTGATATCTTGACTAAGCTTCGATCGCGAGGTAGATTTATCTCCTCAAAACCCCTATCAGCCCCAAAACCCCGAACCCGAAACCCAAACAAATCCTAAACCCGAACGCTCCCAAACCCGCCCCCCCAAAAAAAACAGACCTAAACCCTATGATACCCTTATAGTAACCTTATGGATCCCTTTAAAGAACCCCTATATCCCCAAAGAAAAAGTCACCGGCCTTGCTGCGGCTGAGCCTCCGCCATCTCCTGGAGCCCCTGGTGTCTATTCGGGGGTTCGGGGTTTGCTTAGACTAGGATACCCAGTAACCTAAGAATAAAAAGGCCTCTCTTTTTGGTATTGGGTAACTTTATAAGGAACCTAGGACTACAAAAAGGGAATAAGGGTACTACTGGGCATCCTAGTAGAGGTTCATGGGTAGTTGTAAGAGGGTTTATAAGTCCCCAGATATGGGTTATAAGTATAGCTACCCTACTTATAACCCCACTTATAACTAGCCAAGTAGGGGTTTAGGGCTTAGGGGTTCGGGGTTTAGGGTTTAGCGTTTTGGGCTTGGGGTTCACGGTCATGGGTTTAGGGCTTAGGGTCATGGCTTTAGGACGTACGGTGCTCTGGGTTTAGGGTTTGGGCTGCTGGCCGTTGGGTTTTGGAGCTAATCACTATCGGATTTCTCTAGACATTGACAGAAGTGTGACCAAGATACCTAAGTGCTCTGAAACCCCGCAAGAGATAGAACCAAGAGTTTAAAGGCCTGTATGATTCCAGTATCTCGCTTTTTCCGCGCAATATTCTTTCGCAGAAGAGCCCTGAGCGCAGTCTCGCACTCATTCGCACTCAAAGCTGCCCTTCGGCCAGCTGCAATGCCACTAGCAGCCTTTCTCAGCATACCTAGTTTGCAGTGCCCTTGTGGTACTCTGGCCCTTTCAGTGCTCGCCCTGCCACTCCCTGTCCGTTGGGAAGCAACCGTCTTAGCAAGTGGCCCATCGAGAGACACTGGGCTGCTTCGCGACTGGACCATGGGACTTAGTAGGTATGGTTGCCTTAGTTGGGGTTATATGTATAGGCCCTTGTGTTTCGGACATAAAATCCCTTACCGGAGCGCTGAAAGGACCCTTGAAGACCTAAAAATCACAATAAAACCGACGGCACCTGGCGAGGTAGAGAGCCGCAGGTGCAGCGAATACAAGAGGAGGCACTCTCCTTAGAGAGACGTCGCTGAGGAATCGGTAGCTTCTGTTCTTCCGGGTTGATAGGGGGTCGAAGGCTTTAAAGAGGCTTAGGGTCGCTTCCGACCTTTTGAAGATTTCTATGCGATTTGGGTTGTTGTGCCTTTCAGGGTTTAAGTACGTGCTTCCAAGGGTTTTCTCGGGTTGCTAAATCGGGTGCAATTGCTTGCCGGCGTCATGAAAGTGTTTCTACGGGTTGTACAGAGGATTGTTTTAAGGGGTGTAGATAAGGGAGTTTCAGGTTTAAGGTCTGGTGATTTCGGCCTAAACCACAAAGCCCTAAACCGTGGGAACCAAACCACAGAACGAACGCAGACAAGAACACACCCCCAAAAGTACGGCGTCGGCTGAAGCACATCTAAGGCTACAAGTATCATCTTCGTCGTCATCATCCTCGTCGTCCTAATCACCATCTCCATCATCATCATTGTCAGCCACAGCAGCCGCAGCATACAGCATGATCTTCGCCATGCTCAGCGAACCTAAACCCCAAACCCTATACCCGATACCCTAAACTTTCGCTCTAAACCCTATACCCGATACCCTAAACTTTCGCTCTAAACCCTGAAAACGGACTGTTCTAAACCCCAAACTCTATGCAATAACCCTAAACCCTAAACCCTAAACCCTAAACCCTAAACACACCGACTTTGAGGCGGGCAGCTCTATGCGCGGCACCGATGGCCCCTCCGCACATGCGGAGGGCGTGGGCGCCGCCAGGGGTGGCACCTGGACCTCGGAGGGCTGAGGGCTCCTTGTAGGGTTTAGGGTTTAGGGTTTAGGGTTTCGGGTTTAGGGAGTCTATAAGGGTTATATAAGGGATACAAGGGATACGATTATATAATATGAGGATTACTATTATAAGGGCCACTATTATAAGGGATCTAGAAGGGTAATATAATAGATGGGCCTTAATTATTAAAACAAGGCTTTGGAGCCCGCTGTACCGTAGCTATGATAAGGAACCCCCGAAATAGTGTTGGTAATTATTTAGGCCGCTATAGTACACGTGAACGGATTAAGGTTTTGGGGCTGAGGGGTTGTAGCTTTGCATGTTTTCGGATTTGGTGTGTTGTGGTTGGGTTTTGGCACTTTTGGATTTGGGGTTTTTGGGTACACTATAACGGTACTTCTACAGATAGTCAAGGATGGATGTTTCGAGCTTGTTCGGCTCTAGCACCCAGAAAAAGAGCCGCTGTCAAGCCCTCTGAATCTGCTTCGGGCTTGCGGTTACCCTACCTGGACCCTAAGGAACCTGCCTTTTTAGGGCTCCCTAATATGGTTTCTTTACATAAGTCCTTAGAAAGGTAGTTTACTTGAGGCTAAGGTACAGCTTACCCTTGTTCCTACACTCCTGATATGTGATAATCTTAATGTCAGAATTGGGTTTTGTCCATTTGTCGCGGAGTATAGTCCCAGGGGGATAGTACTGGCCGAAGGTTCAGAGGAGCTCATGGTGCCTCCGGAACCGGAACACGGGGAAGGCCCAAAGACACTGAGCAGTCGGCGGTGGGCCGCATCATGGACGCCATGCTGGCTTCGGATCAAGAAGCGTAAAAACCCCCCCTTTATGACTTGCTTAGCGGCTCCTTGAACTCTAGTGCTGTAGGACTCTGTTGCTGTTGTAGGGGCCTGAATACTACCCTTTCTATTTTGGGGGTTCCTTACTATAACTATAGTATACTGGGCCCCCAAACCCCATTCCAACTGATAAGGCCCCGAATTTTGGCCCTTGGGGATTGCGGCTTCCGGGCGGCTTTGAGGGAGCATGGAGACTGAGGGGAGGGCTGGAGTTGTAAGTTCGAGCTCTAGGGCTCTTCAGGGCATGTAAGGCATGGGGTTGTGGCTTAGAGCCTAGATTTTTGGCCGGTTTGGATGTCTGTGGCTTGCAGAGTGTAGGGTGTGAGGGCTTGCAGTTGCAAGCCATGACGTGTCGGCTAAAGTCGGGCTTTCTCGTTGAGCTGGCCGCGCACGAAGAAGGACTCCAGTCTGGAGTTCAAAATCAACAGCGTATAGGGTTTAAGGTAGGATCTACCTTAACCCTGAATAACCTACCTTTTGAGGGTTCCTTATTATGATTTCCTTATATAAGTCCTTAAAAAGGTGGGTCCTTCAGAGTTAAGGTAGGGTTTAGGGCACGGCGGGGAACACGACGATGGCGACACCAGTAACGATAAGAACAACATCAGTAAACAGGACCAGACGAGTAGCACCAGCACCGAGCGAGTGGCACCAACATGCAAATCAAGCAGAAACAGCCTCAAACCCTAACCCCCTAAACCTCCAAGCCCTAAACCCCTGAAACCCCAAATCACGAAGCCTTAAAAGCCCGAAAAGCAAGGACTACGGGAAATGGGACGTGGAGCTTGCGTCGGGCCGGAAGCCTCAAACCGAGACCAGACCAGACCAGAAACCGTAAAAGAAAACAAAAACGATAATTTTCAAACCCCTAAACCCTGAGCCCGAATTTCTCAACCCCAAGCTCTAACTTCTAAACCCTAAACCCGACTTTCGAAACCCTAAGCCCTAAACCCTCCAAACCGACTGGGGCTTTGGGCTTTTAGGGTCTCGGGCCTAACGCCGTAAAATCCCAGGGTTAGGGGCTCGGGGAGGGCTCAGGGTGTCAACTTCAAGTTTCTGCGTCAATGGTCTTGAGGCTGTAGGTGTAAGGTTTAGGGTATACCTGTACCTGCCTTTTTAGGGTTCCTTATTATGATTTCGATATATAGTTCCTTAAAAAGGTAGGCCCTTATAGTAAACCCCATAAAGTTGGAAACCGGATTAAGGCCAAGTAGTGCTGGGAGTCCCTATTATATATTATTCTTGAGGATTGAGGCTATTGGGCTTCCAACTTTAGGGCTCCTACTGTAAACCCCGATACACCCCGATAAACCCTAAAGATCCCTTAAAGGAACCCTTATAGATCCCTATTATGGTAGCTTAGGATAACTCTTAGCCTCTTATATTACTGTGTAACGCCTCACACTTCCCCAGAAAGATGGAGATCAAGCCTCCCATGCCTGATGAAGCTCCGAAAGTACCCGGTAGATCCCGACCTCCACCCAAAAAAGGATTACTGGGTTGTAGTTTTGGAGCTCTGAAAAGTATTTATGAACAGGTACCTCTATAGGAACCATAAGGGAAATTAAAAAGTTTCCCCGGTTGCCACCTAGATTATAATGAGAATAGCAAGAATACTGACAACCATAGTAATCATAATAATGTCTCTGATAATATCCCGCGCACACACACACATACAAATCCTACACCCTCTTGTCCTGAAACTTCCAAATCCCTTCTGAACCCACGAATTTGGCACGCTTTTGATCTTCCATCGAGCGCGCTCGACCTCCAAGGGAGGTAGATGGTGTTCGGTGTTTCGGGTGGAGGAACAGGGATTGAAAGTTTAGGGCTTGGGCTTAGAGTCTAGATTTTAACTCGACTCCTCGAAAGTCTAGCAAGGAATCCCACAAAATCGTAGCTTGCTTTGAGCTGTGGGGTTTGGGGTGTCAGGGTTTATCGGTTTGGCTTATAGCTGGTCTTACAGGTTGAGTGGTGGCATCTGTCAATCCCGCAACAATCATCAAACCCGATGTGGACCCGAAACTACAAAGCCCAAAGCCTAGAAGACCCGCGGGTAACCCCAAGGGTTGCAAAACAGTGGGCACAAAACAGTTGTGTACACCACTTAACTGCAGAGTATTCCGCCTAACATGGTAGGTGGCTAGAACTACAGCTAAGCCTTCCTTCGTAACCCCAAAGCCCTGCAACAAGCCTCCACATCCTCCCCAAACCCGCAAAGCTCAAAGATGCCTCAGTTAAGGGTCATTCGACGGTTTCTATGAGCTGTTGCGTTTACGATTGGAAAGGGACTTGTCTGCTGCTCAAGTGAAACTATTCTTCGAGAGATAAGTGCTCCGCCTACTGGGCTCTGGGTACGGTGAACAAGTCATGAGACTCGGTCCTTTCACTTCGCTGTTCTGTCGGATATTGGGCTATGGGCGGAAGGGTTTTGGTCTTGAGCAGCACCGCAAGAAATCCACGCACTAACGCCTGAATCCCTGCCCTACGTCCGCAAAAGCCACGACTCGAAAGCACCATAACCCTACATTGGAGGCACTCATCCCGGCCTTCCTCCCAAGCGAGGACCTTTCACGCCCTCCTGCTGCCCGCCGTCCTCAAGTTCAAAAGGGTTTAGGGTTTAGGGTTTCGGGCTCAGGGTGAAACAGTTGGGTGTTGCGGTCATCAGGGTTGAACCGGGTTGCAAATCTTAGGGCGTTGAAGCTTGTTCACCAGAAAAAACCTAAAACCCCTAAACGGCCCAGGGTTCAGGGATTCCGAGTGTGGTGACCGAAAGGTTTCGAGGAACTAGCGAATGTTGAACAACATCTCCGACTTTGCAGCCCGAGGCACAACCGGCCACCGCATGGGGAGGTGCTTCCAAGACGCAGAGTGTGCTCCAAAGACCGCTCCAACAAGGTATCCGTGGCGATGTCCATCGGCAAGAGCGCGTCGCCGGCAGTGTAGAATCACCTGTGAGTGCGGCGCTTTCGCATTGTGAAGCAGCGCAAGCCTTGCTGCATCCTGGCTGTTGGCTGAATGCAGCTACTCCAGAGCTCCCCACCGCCCCACCCTCCACCGTGGCCGTGAAACCGCACTTCTTCACCGAGCACGAGAGGTGTAAGTCTTCCTCCTTTTGTGGAGCTCGCACTGTGAAACGAATTCAGCCAGTAACTCAGCTCCTCTTGCCTGAAGCATCCAGAGCCTCTGTGGGAGAGGACAGCGAATCTCTTTCTCCAGGTTTTTTTTCGGCGGGACCTTAGGCCCAGACGAGCTTGACCAAATTCCTGACCATCATTGAAACACTGGGCGCAAGCAGCATAAGGCATAAGGCACTTGGACCAATTACAGAAATCAAGACGCAGCCCGGGGGAGTCTGCCCGGTGAGCGCTCCAGGTCGCCAGCTCCTTGTCCCTTCTCTGAATTGTCAGTAGGTTCCTGTTGACGGCCCGCATCGGCACTGACCTTTCATTCTCAAGTCTTCTTGATGGTGCCTGTGTAGCCACCATTCCAGTTGTGTGTGGCCCAGGGCACTTGACCTCTTTGCCCTCCAGTGTCGAATTCACCCGTTTCTGCAAGAACGTGCTGCTGCTTACCTCCTGTGACGGGCCTTCACGAGAGCCACCCGGCTTGACCCGGCAGTGATGAGATCGACCGGCGATCTTGATGCCGTTGTCTTGCATCATCTGATGGGAGACCAAAAAGGGGTTTAAGATTCTTGGGGTAGGGATTCCTTGATATGAACCCTATCATGGTAACCTTCGAACCCACCCGGAAATTTTATCGCAGGATCCCAGAATATCTCCCAGCTCCTCATACTCAACGGAGTAACCAGCGGTCTCATCAGTGTCTGACGGCGTCATTGGCGTCCGATACACGATTCCTCTCAGCTTCTTGCAATCCACAGAAGGGAAGTCCTGCACCGTGGAGCAAGCTGCAAAACCTCACCCCACAAGCCCAAGCAATGAAACATCAATGTGACCAGAGATTTTACTAAAACCCCAAAACCCTCGACACGGAACCCCAACCGGAGATGATTAAGTCTACTTAGAGGATCATGGGACTTAGTAAGTAGGTTATAATTGGGGTTAGAAGTCCCCTAAGTGGGGTTATCCTAATTATAACCTACTTATAACCTTACTTACTAAGTCCCATGAGCCTTCAAGTAAGTCTAGCACGGCTGGCCAACCCCATTTTACCCCAGCTCTCCGGAGGCTGCGCCTGGACAGCACACATGAAGAGTTCGCGAGGCATCCGGTGCTTTGGGACCAGCCTGCTTTGGGTTCGAGGGGGGCCTTCACAGGTAATAAGTAAAGCCGGAATGCTTTAGGATGTAGTGTAGTATACTTTAAACTAGGGGGCCATAAGGAATAAGATTGGTAAGTTATCACGCTTCTATATTGGGCTTCAGGCGTCCTTTATAGGGTTTCGTACGTCGGGGCTTGTGGGGGTCATACGTTTTGGATGTTCAGTTGCGGGCCTTTCTGCTTTCGAGTGCTGGGTTGCTTGCTTCAGAGTCTAGGATGGGTTTTTTGGGGGTTCTGGGGTTCAGAGTCCAGGGTTTGGGGGCTCCAATTGTCAGGCACAACTTGTCTACTGCTTCAGGCTTCCCAACCTAAAAGGAACACAACAACTCGCACAAACACCAAACCCCAACCTGAACCCTTTGTCCTCAACCCCACATTAAAGCCCACTTTCCACTCTTCAGTCCTATCCCAAAATCTACCCTCCAAATGCCGCATTAGGGGTTTAGGGTTTACTATAGGGGCCTATATAAATAAGTACCAATACTATGGTGGAGTTCCTAATTATATTTATTGTTCAATGGGCCCCAAAACCCTATTCTAATTTTTAAGGCCCCTACATTAGGGTTTCGGGCTTTAGGGGTTTCGGGGTTGAGGGAGACCTCTGCATCCGCCACAAAGAGCAGTCGGCACAGTGCGGAAGACCCCCGCGAAGCATCCGGCAGCCTCTTGAGACCTCAGTGCTCTTCTCCGGATAGAGAAGCCATGCTCCTATGACCCATATGGGAGTTTCCGAAAATAGGGGACTCTAATTATAGTAGGATCCTTAATACAAGGACCCCAAAATAAGGTTCCCCTACATTTTCAGAAACGCCCATATTAAAGCCTGCAGCGGCTGCAGGTTTGCGGCTCGGGTCTTACGGTTGGCCTTACGGGACTTTGAACACAAGGCACTAAGCTGCACTTGGAGGATCATGGGACTTAGTATGGCTATAAGTACCTTAATTGGGGTGATTTGTATAGTTACCTCTATAAGAACCGTAGTTACTTGATCCTTTAAGCAGGCGGCGGAGGTGGGGTGTGGAGAGCTGCAGCATCCGCTCTCCACCTGGCCGCTCCAAGGGTTTGGAGAGGCTCCGTTTATGTTCAGGGTTTAGAGTGTAGGGTTTAGGGCTCAGGGTCCGGAGCTCGAGATTTCGGGCTTCACAACGGCTCGTCGGGTTTAGGTGAGTTTGGTTCAAATATATACCCCCTCAGAGTCGACAGTACGGTCACCCGCAACCATCAACCCGCAAACCTAATCCACATCTGAGACCGCGAAACCTCGGAACTCCTAAACCCCAATCAACGAACTCCAAGTCCAAACCCCCAAGCCCTTACAACACTGGTATAACTCTAAAACGCATCAAGACATACACAACAGCAAGCCCCCCCAAACCCCGCCCCCCGTGCGGAGCCTCAGAAAGGACGGCGGCTCGCTTTCCGCGAACTCCTTGGCAGCCCGGCACATCTTAGGGTCCTTTCAGGGTTCCTTTTAAGGGGCTCCCTTTAAGGGGTTCCCTTTAAGGGGCCAAAGATTCCGCGAAGGGCTGGGCAAACGTCTCTTGAAAGGGTTTCTTTTCCGGGCTTCTCAAAGCTACGTTGCTGGGCTTTCTTCCATGTGATGACCCCCGAAGGTTCCAACTGTCATGACGCGCGCACAAGGGGGCTCTGTTGGGTGATGTTGCAGACGTTTGTTTAGGCTTTAGGGCTTAGGGTTATATAGGGGTTTAGGGCTTTCGGGCTTTTGATGGGGTCAGCTTCGCTTCTGACTGGGTGCCTAACGTGTTGATGGGAAATCCTGCATAAGGTTTAGGGTTTAGGGTTTAAGGTTTAGGGTTGTAGGGGTTTGCCTCAGTCCCAAAGCGTGTGCTTAAAGGGTTTTATATCGGGTGTATCTGAAATTCCGATGTGTGTCTCGCGCTTCGGGTTGAATTTTCGGTGTTTATGGTCTGGGGAAGATATGTCAAGTATTCAAGACTCAGGCCTATACGTTAAGCTCAATCACAACCGCCGCAAAGTCACTGTGCCTCCGTTAAAGGATCCCCACATAAGGCTTGACCCGTCCGCTTTCTGAACGTCTTATAATCTTCAAAGGCTTCAAACCCTTTAAGCCCTGTAAGCCCTCCAGGCCCTTTAAACTCCAAACCCTTAAGATATAGGAGCTCCCAAGGGGGAATCCTAGAGCCTCCAAGACGCCAGGATTTCTGGTGTCTCCGAAGACGCCTTTGGGTGAGGCAGCTTCCTTGCGACGGAGGGCTTTCGGGGGATGCAGGAAGGGGGGGGAGCTTGGGGTTCAATACAAGAGGCTCCTTTACAGGGGGTTTAGGGGTTTCGGGCTTACGGGTTAGGGGTTTCGTTTAACATTTGAGTTTAAAGGGCTCCGAGGCTATGGCTATGATAACCTTCCTGGGACCGTCTGACGACATAACATCAAGTTGCCTCACACGCTGGATTCCTAGCCCTAACTCCCTAAACCCTACTTAGACGGTCATGAGCAGTTATGAGTGGGGTTACAGGTGTAGCTGCTGGTTACGATCCCTAAGCTTGAACCCCTCCGAAAAGCCCCCTTCTTTAAACACCAAACACGAATCCTTAACCCTGCTTGACGGGGCGCCCGAGGTCATAAGCACCTTGATTGATTGGGTGTATAACAGGCACCATGCCCCCTGGTCAAACAAGAAGCCCCTTGCCGGACCCATTCCTGAAACCCTCATGGAGCCTCGTACAGAAGCCCTTAACACACCATAGAAGCCCTTTGCGAACCCTTCCAGAACCTTTTAAGAAACTGTAAGCTGCCCTTGTAGATCCCTTTAAAGGAACCCCAGGATTTATATCATCAACCGTACTGAAGCCCCTGAAGTACTCGCCCAGCCGCAGAGCAACCGAAGCCAGCAAAAGACCCCAGCTCCTCGCCGCGGGGTATGGCTGGAAGTCGACAAGCAAACCCTTCGGATTACAATTGATTTAAATCCGGAGTTAAAATCGAATTCCAGTCATAATGGTGTTTTGGGGTTTCATGTGGGTAACTTTGCGGCTTGATAGGGCTATATTAGGGTTTAGGGTTTAGGCTTCAGGGTTTCGGGTTTAGGGGTTGGGGTTTAGGGTTTAGGGGGCTTTACAAGGCTACATTAGGTTTCCACTGGGTTTCACGAAGGCTTGATCTGACTTTCGGGGGCAGGTGCTGCAGAAGCGTCATGGAGGGTTGATGCTGAGCCGAACGACAAACTCCACCTTTTCAGCCCTCTTCGCAAACCCTCGAAAAGTTTTTGCACATGCACCCTCGACTCTAGATGGCCCCTAAACTTGGATCCCCTACTGTAGAGCCCCTATAGCAGATCTTGTAGCCTTGTAGCACCCTTAAAGGGAAAGCCGTTGATGTGCAATCCCGGGCTCCCATCTCCACGTCGACCATGCTCTGCGTCCCCGACGATAGGGCAGCCGATCCTCGTTTGATATTATAGTACATCACGTTGAAACGTGTCTTCTATTGTAGTATAGTATATTATGGTACAGTATAGTGCAGTATAGTATAGCATCGTATAGTAAATTTGGTATATTATGTTAAGTTGTGTTCTATCATGGTATAGTATATTATAGTAAAGTATGTTTGGTATATTATGTTGCATTGTATTCTATCATAGTGTAGTATATTATGGTGTAGTATATTTGGTATATCATGTGAAAATGTATCCTAGTATAGTATAGTATATTATAGTAAAGTAAAGTCTATTATAGTATAGTATATTTGTTATGTTACGATAAACTGCATCCTATAAAATATATTGGAACATATTATTGGACCGGAAGGGGTAGTTGCCGACTTCCTTGGCCAACAAAAGGTTGCGCTTCCAGTTTGCATGGGGCGTATACTATCCAAGAAAACTGAAACTAAGTTTAGCCTGGTCAGATGATATCATTAACCAGCGTGGCCGGAGTGAACGTAAAACTTGTGTCTAGGTCACTGCTGCTGCCATGGATGTCTTTACACAGCACAGGTAGTCATAAACTTTACTAGACCTTAACCCAACTACCCTCTACACTGAATTTAGATACACTCTCAACCGTGCCTGTGCGCATCTCTACTGGCTGGAGGAACAACATGCATTCCAAGAGGTCCAGTTTAATATTTAGCTGGTGTTCCGTAAACCGTACAACCCTTCAACTTTCTATATGCAGCGCGGCTTCGAGGGCGATCTAGTCTCCTTTAAGGTTCCTTGAGGTTCTCCTTTGAGGTTCTCGAAGCTCGGCTACAAGGGTTGCAAGATTCTCGGGTTTCTGGATTCTGTACTTATTGTTTGACGCTGGGGATTTAGGGTTTGGTGCGTTCGCCTCCTAAACCCCAAACAGGGCACCCTGACCCCCAACACCCTAAGCCCTAAACCCTAAACCCTACACCCTAAACCCTAAAACCCTAAACCCTAAACCCTAAACCCTACACCCTAAACCCCCAACACCCTAAAACCATGAAAGGCTCAGGATGCTAAGTGAGATCTGCGGGTTCACCCGGCACCGCTGAACCCTGAACCCTCGACTCCTTCGTATCATAGGGATCCTTAGGGGTGTAGGGGGAGGGGGGGTAGGGGGCCTTAAGGCCCATAATAAGGACGAATAAGGCCTATTTAAGGAAATATAGTCCCCTACACCCCTCCCCCCTACACCCCTAAGGATCCCTATGATCGTACACAACCCTAAACTGAACTGCAAACTCATAAACCCTGCACCCATAAACCCCAAGATTTGAACTTAAATCCTACACCCCGAAACCCCGAACTCAAACACTAAGCCCTGAACCCGAAACCCTGAATCCTACTGTGCGAACCAGCATCATGGCCATATGGATACGCAGCTGGTGCCTGGGCAATTTGGGAGAAGATCCCGAACTTCAGTCGGTCTTTGGAGTGTAGGGTTTAGAGATGAATGTAGGGGCCTTAAATAAGTACAATAGGGTTTTGGGGCTCCTTTATAGTATAGTTATAATAAGCAACCCAAGAGAATAATACTGGTAAGTCTTTAGGCTTCTATATTAGGGTTTAGGGTTTGGGACTTAGGGTTTGGGCTTGAGGGTCGAACAGTTTCAATGGGATTTTGGGAGTCTGCGATAATATACTTACGTAGGGACCAAAACTGCATACTACTACTGCTGATGCACAAAATCCTACAACGCCCATGACAAAAACACCAAACTTGCCTTGCTTAGGCACTTAAGCTCACGCAAGATCCGGCCCAGCCGTCGCGCTAGCTGTTCAAACCTCTGTATATGATTACTTCGGCAGGGATCTGTAGATACCCAACACCCTAAACACTAAGCCGTAAAGCCTGAGCCCTGAACCCCTAAACTCCTAAACCCCGAAACCCCTAAACCCCTAAACCCCTAAAACCCTAAACCGCTAAACCGCCAAACCCCTAAACCCTAAACCCCTAAACCCCTAACCCCTGAGCACCAACCCCTGAGCCCCAAACCCTGAGCGCCTGCGTCCCGTCACAGGGCTCAGCTCGAGGACCGTCCATGAGCCCAAGTTCTCGACCTCCCGTCCCTTAGGGTTTAGGGTTTAGGGGTTTAGGGTTGAAGGTTTAGGGTTTAGGGGTTTAGGGTTTAGGGTTTAGGGGTTTAGGGTTGAAGGTTTAGGGTTTAGGGGTTTAGGGTTTAGGGTTTTGGGTTTTGGGGTTTAGGGTTGAAGGTTTAGGGTTTAGGGGTGTAGGGTTTAGGGTTTAGGGGTTTAGGGGTTTAGGGTTGAAGGTTTAGGGTTTAGTGGTTTAGGGTTTAGGGGTTTTGGGTTTTGGGTTTTGGGGTTTAGGGGTTTAGGGTGTAGGGTTGCCAGAAATCCCCGACTTACGTTCGACACTTTCGACTCTCATATTGTAATATGATGTGATGTATGAAAACTAGCTGTGTCTTACAACATACTACAGTATAACAGGTCTATATGGCTTTAAAGGTAACCCCTACTTGCTAATCTCGCATGCGAACAAGACCATACTACTAGGATCCTCACGAAAGCCCTTGTGCGAGAACAGTGTGTTGATGAGGGGTCCACACGTTGACAAAAAGCCCTCATTTCAGGGTTTAGGTTTTCAGGTTTGGGGATTGGGAAGCAATGGAAGATGCAATCTATGGGAGCCTTCGGCCAGATGAAGGGCATCAATGCGTCCATAAAGCAACGGATGGATCTGCTATAGGGTGTTTTAGAATGCGGATCTTAAAACGGCTGCGGTGCTTCTTGGTTGCGGTCTGGTAGGCTCTGGGGCTGGGTGCTCTGTCATGGTGTTCTATTGGGGCTTAGCCTCTTCAAAAAATCCTAGGCACAACCCAAGGTCTTGTGGGTAGTTGTCAAAATTAAAGTCCCTTTTGGGGCACCCTAAATAATAGGTGCCGTGCTATAGTAAGGACCCCAAAAAAGGACCCTAATTTTGATAACCACCCTTGTAGAAAATTGAAATTCAACTTTGCCAGAACCCTGCAACCCCCAAGTCCCAAGCCCCAAGCCCTGCAAGAATCCAAAAGCCATACTACTACGGTTTAGGGTTTAGGGTTTAGGGGTTCAGGGGTTTAGGGTTTAGGGCCTCATACAGCAAAGATTTCAGGCATTGAAGCTAATATCCCAAGATAGCCTTGGTCAACCGGATGTCTTGACGTTCACACGATCTTGGGCTCGACCTGAACTCCAAGCATACGGGAGTCTCGGGAAAACTAGGGGTACCTTATTTGGGGGGGTCCTTCTAAGAAGGATCCTACTATTTGGGGTCCTCTATTAGGGTCCCCTGTTTTCGGAAACTCCCATACAACCCTAAACCCTGCACACCACACCCTGCAACCTACCATCTGACACTGTGAAAACCCTTATGAAGCCACAAGCTGATATAAAAATCCCTTACGAACCCTTATGAAGCCCTAAACTTACATGCCCCCTTGGGAAAAATCCATTACGAACCCCGATAAAGTCCCGGCACGCACCTCGCGCCCCAGCGTCAAGCAGTCCTGAGCCCGGCTTGACTCAAGAATCTGACGTAAAAGCAGACTTTCATGTTCGTTATTAGTGTTTCTATGATTAGTATTACTATGTTTACGATTATGATTACCATTCTCAATCTTACCCGTGTTTTTGTTATTATGATTGTTAAGGATCCGCGGTTAGTGACTAAGGCGTTGTGGAGGTGCTGGTGATAGCAGGCCTTTGAGCTCACGGGATCTCGGCGGATCAGCGCTATAGCTTGAGTGCTGGCGGGGGCGCTGCCTGGGCAGTAGGGAGTGCTCGGGGAACTACCAAGTGATGATATTTAAGGGGTTAGGGGTGTAGGGTTTAGGATTTAGGGTATTGCTGAGGCCTCAAACGTTGCAGAAAATACAAACTAGGTTTGGCATTGTCATTAAGTCAATACTTAAGCATAAAGACCTGTGCCTCCTGATGCTTCTCTAGACAGGGCTGAGTCGTATCCACGGCCACAAAAGGTGTACTTGCCACAATCGCGTCTGCCCAAAGATATCGCTGATAGGAGGCCGGCAGCAAGGCTGGCTTGGGGTAGGCTTTACGTGTCTCGGGCTGGGGGAGGACCCGGAAACCCGGAGAAATCAGCCACCGAAGCAGAAGATGAGCTCCAGAATTAGGCATCTTTAGGTTTAGTAAAGGGGCCTTAACAATTGGAATAGGGTTTGGGTAGTATATTATTCAACAATCATAGTACGGAACCCCCCAAAATAGTATAGCTAATTGCAGCTAACTATTAAGGCCCCTACATTACCGTGCTGGGTTTAGGGTATGTTTAGGATGTTGCAGCTCAGGTCTCATGACTGGGGGACTCCGTTGTAACTAAAGAACTGTTACGGCACACTACAGACCCCAAGGGCTCCCAGAGACTCCAATACCCCTTAATTAGGGAATATTCCTTAAATCATATTGGATCCTACTATAATTTAAGGTATATTCCTTAATTAAGGGATATTGGAGTCTCTGGGCTTGTACTTGGGATGATTGACGGCAGCTGCAGGGCACCCAGAGGCATCCCCAAAAACTTAAGCGTAATCAGGGCTTTGAAAGGGATTTGGTATTGGAGGATCTAGAAAGTAGATCCCTTAATTTGGGGCCCTATAATACTAAGGGTACTTTATAGGAACCCCAGTAAGGGATCTACTTTTTGGATCCTCCCTCGCTCCAAGTTAGGTGCGGCAACAGGAAAGGATTTGCCGGGAGACTCCAAAGGACCCTTAATTAATTCAGGAATCTAACTCAGATCTTATCCAGGATCCCCCTATACTTGAAGCCTAAGCACTAAGCCATAGCCCTAAACCCTAAGCACCAAACCCCTAAACCCTCAAACCCTAAAGCCCCAAACCCTAAACCCCTAAACCCCTGCACCTTAAAGCCCCAAACCCTAAAGCCCCAAACCCTAAACCCCTAAACCCCTGCACCTTAAGGCCCCAAACCCTAAACCCTAAACCGAAACCCCCTGAACCCTAAAACCTAAGCTTAACCCCGAAGCTCCCCCAAGGCGAGATACCCGGCCACCCAGCGGCATCCGCAGTTGGAAAGACCAGTCCCCTGCAGCTGTGGCCTCCGCGTTCGCGAACTCGCGTGAGCCACGGTTCAGGGATTTGCGGATTTAGGAATTGGGTGCTTTAGGGATTTAGTTTCAGGCTCACGGCTCTAATTTTAATGTGAGTTTTGGATCCTCAACAGCGCGCGTCGCCTTTGCATTACCGGACCTGTTTAAGGGACCCTGATGCCATCGACAAAAAGCATGAGCGTAGGATATCCCTAAACTAGTTCATGGTTGGGATAGGCCTGGGATAGGATTCAATATTTATATGTTTTATTCCTTATTTGAGTTTAAGTACCCATAAAAATCTAAAATGCTACTAGTACCCAACTATGACAAAGTATATAAACCGTTACCCAGAGTAAGCCCGTTTATTTTAGGATATCGCACCCAGAAGCTTGTGTTTGGGAGTCTTTTTAGTTCCTGATATAAATCCCACGCCTCAAACCCCACTTGTTGGGTCAGCAACTGCGGGGAGCATAGAACTCAGCCAGGTTCTTCTCGCCTAGAGTTGCTATGTAGCAATATACTTAGAGGATCATGGGGCTTAGTCAGTAGGTTATAACTGGGGTTATAAGTCCCCTAAATGGGGTTATCCTCATTATAGCCTACTTATAACCTTACTTACCAAGTCCCATGAGCCTTCAAGTAGGGGCCTTAATAATTAGAATCAGGTTTCGGGGCCCATTATACTATACTTCTAATGAGGAACCCCAAAAAATAGTATGGGCAACGATTAAGGCCCCTACAGTACTTGGTATACCGTATACCCATGCCCCTGCTTATAGCCAGAGCAGCTGCCTATGAACCTTCAAGTACTCTGCGCCTCCACCATGTCACTTCGCAGATCGCCAGGACGACCGTGGACTACGGCACGGTAGACCTCTTCTGCGTGAGCCGCGGCTTCGGGTGGGTTTAGGCTTCTCGGATGAAATGCATCGCTTAGGTTGTAGGGTCTTGCGCTCAGGACCCAATATTCCATAATGTTCCCAGTAGCTGTTTCCTACATAACCTTCTGGATTCTTGCTTCAACGGACACTGCAGTCGGGTTAAATCCTCAACCCTAAGCCACGAAGCACACCAAACCACGGAGCCTAAATCTTAACTCCTTGGACCCTAAAGTCCTCTTCAGGGTTTAGGGTTAGGGCTTGAGAAAACGCTTCAGCCAACGATCTTCGGCTTGCAACAAGTCGAGCAAAGGACCTAGAACCAGCGCCCACGCACACGTAAGCACTTGGTTCATGAGGTTGGCTATAACTGTAGTCGCCCTACTTAACCTACTGAAAACTACACATGAACCTCCGAGTAGACGCTGATTCCTGTCAAGCCCACGCGCCTTGCAGATGTGATGCCTGACAGCCAAACCGAGGAATCACTGGTTGGCTTCCGGAGTCATGAAAATTTCAGGGCCAAAGACTCATGGTTCATTCCTTACGATCTTAGGTGTATAGGTTTGTCTTAATGGGTTTCATGTTTTACAAGACTCGGGGTAAACAGAGTTTCGGATTCGAAACGACGAGAAGAGAATAGGTTGCCTCGAAAAGGTGCAAGGTCTTGCGGATTGTTTACTGGGAGTTATATATATGGTCGTATACAGCTTAATACAGAGTCTAGGAGCCTTTAAAATCAGACAAGAGCTTGGGGTTCTGTTGGGGCCCAGCATACTACAGCTATAATCAGGAACCCCCAAAATAGTAGTGGTAATTATCTAGGCCCCTATCTTACTGGCTTCTGTAAACCCCAAACCCTTAAACCCCTAAACCCCAAACCCCTAAACCCCTAAACCCCTACGCCCCACACCCTAAACCCCAAACCATTACCATGCCTGGCTTATATTGCACCCCCCAAAATAGTATTGGTATTTATTTTGGCCCCTGTATTCCTGGCCACGCCTGGCAGCCAGCCAGGACGTCAGCTGCCGGTGGCAGAAGCTCGTCTTGGCCATGAGCATCCTAGCAGTCGGGTCTTCGCTGGGAGTTTTGGGGAGTGGTACTAGAAGGGTTCCTCTAAGGGATCTATGGGGGTGTTGGGTTGTGGGTTTTTTCTATAAGGGTTCCTTGAAGGGATCTATAGGAGTTTTTCGGGGGGCGGCTTCCGGGTTTCTCGAAAGGGTGCAAAACGGGTTCCTTTAAGGGATCCATAAGGGTTTCTCTAAAGGGTTTAGGGTTTAGGATTTAGGGGTTTAGGGTTGAGGGTGCTATAAGGGTTCCTTTAAGGGATCTACAGGGGTTTTGGGGCTGTGGGTTTAGGGTTTAGGGGCTTGGAGTTGGTGCTTTGTGTTTTGTTTTGTTTAAGGGCCTCTTTTCCATCCGCTCGAAGTTGAAGGTTTAAGGTACTGGGTTGTGGGGTTTGGGTTCGGGGTTTAGGGTCCAAGTTTAGTTTACTGGTTCGGGGTTGAGGGTTTAAGGTACAGGGTCTTGGGGTTTAGGGTTAAGGGTTGAAGGTTTAGTTTACGGGTTTGGGGTTTGGCGGCTTGCGGTTTAGTTTAAGGGGCTTACCTTTATACCTTGAAATTCCAAACGCACAGGGCTCAAAACTCCAAACCCGAAAGCCCTAGCCCCAACAGCCAAAACCTGCAACAAACCCTACACCCAACCCAAACCCCCACCCGCAAACCCCGATACGCCCAAACCCCAAATCCAACACCAACCAGTACTATTATTGATACTCTTGTTCTTCTTCTTGTTAGTATACGCCACTTATCATTACTACACCACCCAGAGAAACAGAAATCATAGTTTTAATATTCCTTGGGTTTTGTATGAACACAATCTAAACGTAATTCTTAAGGAGACTATAGATTACTTTGCAGCTCTTGTTATCGTAGTGGCTGGATTCTGGATGCCCAACCCCAGACAAGGCTAACCTTTACCTACTCAGCTACTAAGTCATGAACCCTGACCCTGCGCCCTAGACCCTGAACCCTAAACCCGAACCCTAAACCCTAGACCCTGAACCCTAAACTCTAAAGCCCCAAACCCTAAACCTAGTTCTTTTTCTTATTATCATTACCAATTATTGTGGGATTATATAAACCCCAAAAAGGAAACGGCTACCTACTCAGCTACTAAGTTCGCATTACTACGCAGCCTAAACCCTCAAACCCTAAACCCTAAACCCCAAAACCCTAAAGCCCTAAAACCCTAAAACCCTAAAGCCCTAAACCTGCAGCTAGATTCCTAAACCCTAAACCCCAAAACCCTAAAACCGAAAGCCCTAAACCCTAAGTTATCATTACTATGCAGCTAAATTCCTAAACCCTAAACCCTAAACCCTAAAACCCTCAAGCCCTAAAGCCCTAAACCCAAGTTATCATTACTACCCAGAGACTCCAATATCCCTTAATTAAGGAATATACCTTAAATCATATTAAGGATCCTACCATACCTTAAGGTATATTCCTTAATTAAGGGATATTGGAGTCTCTGGGTATGCAGCTAAGCTTCAGCCCAGCGACCGGCTTGTCCAGTCGATGGACGGCCTCAGGGATACTTCGGCTCTGGGATTTTAGGGCTTGGGGTGTAGGGGGTCTACCTGAACCCACCAAAACCGACCGTAAAAAAAAAAAAGAAATATATATATATATATATATATATGGATATGGTGCCGCGTCGCCGCGTCGCAGGCCCCCCCCCCCACCCCCCATGGTATGCCCCCCCCCCGGAAGCCAGGCGTCTCGTCCAATCAAACAGTCACACGTCATCCGCGTAACTCCCCCCCCAAGCCAGGCCTCGCCTCTCGCCTTGGCAATCGGGGGTGGGTGCGGGAGGGATAACCCACAATAGTGGAACCACAAGACGGCGAACCACAGGGGCGGGGTGGGGAAGGATAATCAACACAGGGAACCACCGGGCCCCTTCCCTTCCCCTCTCTTCGAGCACAAATGAGAATGTTGTGCGCAATGATGTTGATGTGCTAGTCCCAGTGTGGCTATTGGTGGTACCTTTGCTCTTATGTTGCTCTGGGCTTCGGCACCGCATGTTCATCGCTTTATCTAGTTGAAAACCGTGCTTGGCTTGTGATGTTCTTGCGAAAACCATATCGACCGTTGTCATTCCAAGCCAAGTTTCGGTTGGGTTCGCTACAAGTAAGCTTGAGCACGTATTTGAATGGTTTTCATTCGGGACTTTTGAGCAAGGGACCTGATGAGAGTGCGGATGGGGATCATGAGCACCATCTTCGTCATTATCATCACCATCATACTCAACACTATCATTGGCTTTGGAGCTCAGGGCAGGTCGGAGTTCAATAGAACTGTATCACATCCTACGGTCCAAACCCTTAGCAACCGGACGCATAGCCATGGACGGGGGCGCAGCCGACCGCAACCACAGGGGGGAGGGGCAGGGGGGAACCCACACCACAGGGAACCACAGGGGGGAAGGGGGGGATACCATGGGGTGGGGGGGGGAGGGGGGGCCTAGCAGCGCTGCACCATATATATATATATATATATATATATATATTATATTATATTATATTTATATTTGTACTTATTTATTTATGCATGGGTTTACAACAGTAAGAACCTGCAAACAAGTAGGGTCTTGGTAGGGGAAGGTAGGGTTCTGGGTTTAGGGCTGTGGGATTTGGCAGCTTTGCAAGACTAGGATCCCACGGAAGGCTTTCATATGAATTCTGCGAGTTTGCTATGGGGTAATGTAGGAACCTGATTAAGAAATCTTGGGACTTTATTAGGGTTCCTTATATGAACCCTACTATTTGGGTGTTATAGGCCCAGAGTTTCTTAATCAGGTTCCTACATTAGTAGCGCGACAGAATAGAGTGCTCAAACATGAGCTTACATTACCCGCCACACCCGCAAAACCTCAAGCAATCACTTTCCTTCTTAAGGGAGGAGGCATGGCTGTAGAGCTGGGTTTATAACTGCAAGACAAAGTACAGGCATGCACAAAACTGCACCCGAATCTGGAACTGAAGCAGCTTGCATTTCTGGAATGCGCGTAAAGCATGGCCTTCAGAATGAAAACCTGGTTTTGGGGGGTGACACAGGCAAGCCTAAAGATCAAAATGGGCACCTATTCTGGCTGCTACATTATTATATTATGCTAACCATGACCAGGATTTGAATAGCCCGTCCCTTTCACGAACACACGTGAACATTAAGTATCTGCCCACGCAGGAGGCTACACCGTGCTTCAGTCACCTGCACGTGCCTTAGACCAAGACAACAGCTGCCACACCATGACGGATACAGCGTGTACGTAACGTACTCATTCATGACTGCCGCGGGGGGTACCAGTAGGTTCACCTGGCACTGGGGGAGGTCGCGGATTTCCCAGGTCAGCATTTTGGCCACATGCAGCGGTCACGAGCCTTGACAGAAGATCCATGCACAGAACGCCTACCCTGCCATCATTTGCAGTAGTAGACGGGGCCCCAGCCAGGATCCTCACTGGCTCCCGAGCAACATGTCCAGTCTTTCCTCAGTACCCCAGCTCATAGTCCCCAAAACCCACACTTTCAGTTTTACAGGAAATTCTCATAACAGAAAAAGAACGTTCGGCTTACGGGCGCGATATATACTCCCGAAAAATATCAACTTACAATCTCCGCTGCTGAGGTTCTGCATCACTCGGCTGTACTTGAGGACATCGACTCCGTGGGATTCGCTCTTCACCTGGGTTGTAGCTTCGGGGCCCTTAAAAGTAATTATGAACAGGTACCTCTATAGGAACCATACGGGAAATCTTAAAGTTTCCCAAAGCGCCACCTTAAACCCTAAACTCCAAAGTGCCTAAACCCTAAACCCTAAACCCTAAACCCCTAAACCCTAAACCCTAAACTCTAAACTCTAAACTCTAACCGCCTGGTCACGCGCTTCAACAGCTTCTCCGGGATGCTGTGAACGCAGCAGCGGCCGGAGACGCAGCCAACCGACCGGCCATAGATCTTTTCGGCGCAGCCGCTGCCTCCCACAAAAAAGGGCCATAACAATTAGAATAGGGTTTCCGGACCTATTATACTATATATATATATATATAGATAGATAGATAGACATATATATATATATAATAAGGATCCCCATTTTCATATAGGTAAATGTTAAGGCTCCTATAGTAGATCTTTTGGGCGCAGCCGCTGCCTCCCAAGAGGGACTTTTGGCAGCCGCCGTCGAGGGCGATCTCGCACTTGCCGTAGTTGCAAATTAAGCCAGTTCCGCAGCAACGGTTGTTGAAGACCCCGTCATCGAAGCAATGGCACGTGTCTCCAGCTCTCAAAGATGATTCTGCTGAAGCGTTGACATTCTGCTCCACACGCTCGACACGGTGCGCACAAGCCACGGACAGGGCCGCCAGCAACAAGATTGGCATGAGGGAAGGCACCATCATGCTGCAGGCACAAGAGTTTCGAAAACCACTGGGCACACTACACGGCTACGTGACAAGCCAGAGTCACGGCAGAATTGTCTCTTGGGCATGCGTCAAGGTGCTGACCGAACTCCAAAGCCAACCAGGATGCACCCTGTCTCTGAAAATGAAAAACTCTAAAGTGCTTTCAAAACCCCATGAGACCTCACCCAAAGACTCCAAAACCCCTTACTTACGGAATATGCCTGAAATCACATTAGGGATCCTATTATAATTTAAGGTATGTTCCTCATTTAAGGGGTATTGGAGTCTCTGGGCAGGGGGTCTTGAACAAGTTAGGAATACTGCATTTTTGGGCTCCTTATATCAGAAGGATCCTACTATGTAGGGGACTATATTAGGGTCCCCTGCTTTCTGAACCCCCCACAGGGGGTGTTGAACTTTTAGTCGAACCTTAATCAGATTCCTACAGGATTATGGTACCCTTATAGATCCCTTACAGTAACCCTTATAGACCCCTTTAAAGGAACCCCAAGAAAGGCCCAAGGTTTAGTGGATCAGGGGACTTAGTAAGTAGGTTATAGTTAGGAAAAAAAGTTCCCAAAGTGGGGTTATCCTGATTGTAAGCTACTTATAACCTTACTTACTAAGTCCCATGAGCCTTCAAGCAGGGTTTCTTAATCAGGTTCCTACCCAGAGACTCGAATACCCCTTTATTAGGGAATATTCCTTAAATCATATTAAGGATCCTACAATAATTTAAGGTATATTCCTTAATTAAGGGATATTGGAGTCTCTGGGTACATTGGACCATGGCCCGGCCTTCACCCGCTCATCGAAGGCGTCCGGGTCGGTGGAGGCCGTCACCTGGATCCTGCAGAAAACTCCCTGGTTAATCGTAGAGGGGCTTGTAGGGCTCCTCTAAGTTAAGGGTCCGTTTAAGGGATCTTTACGGGGTTGAGGGTTTAGGGTTTTAGGGTTTCGGGTTCTTAGTAGGGAATGGGGGAATGGATATTGGGGACTAATATTGGGGATTAGATAGGGACTGCTGTAGGGCTCCATTCCTCCATTCCCTACTAAGAACCAGACAGATTAGGAAGCCCAATAGATCCCCTAATTAAGGGATCTTGGAGTACCTGACATGACGATCAGAGGTTTAGGGGGATGGATGGACACATTACATAGATGGTGAATAGATGCCAAAGAGACGCATCGCGTATTCTGCAAATCCCCGGGGCCTTGCTCCGTTCTCGGCAGTCTGCCAGCCGCCGGAAGCCTTAACGTTGGCCTCCTTCCAAATCACCGCGAGGGCGTCGTCCTTCGGAGTCTAGGGTTTAAGTTTTACTGTTTGTGGTTTACAGTAATGAGTAGTTAGAAGTGGAGTTCGAAGTCCCCTGATATGGGTTCTAGATACGGCTACCCTAATTATGACCCATTAACTACCCATCAACCTCCACGTAGAGTTCAGGGGCTTGCCGGTGTCGGTTCGGTTTGAAAGGTACAGGGCTTCCTGGACCTGTCCGGCTCACGTCTGAGGTATACCTGCAACCCCCAAAGACTTACCCCCTCAAGGACTGGAAGCCACGGTACGTACCAACCCAATTTGACTGGGGGTTTAGATTAGGTTTGGGGCTTCGGGGCTTGGCAGCGCTTGGCTTCTGATTCGTAGTGTCCCGGGACCTAAACCCTAAACCCGAAACCTCTTTGGGGATTTATGAGGATCCAGAACATTGAAATTGTGGGTTTAGGGGTCCTCAAAAAACCCTCAAAGACTACCTTACAAAAGCCCTAAGAAGTTGAAAGATTGGGTTCTGGACCACAGGACCCTACACTATTATTTAACATAGTTGCATGGTATAATACAGTATATTATAGCATTATGATATAAAAACAAACGATGTTATAAGTTATTATAAATGCTTATATTCTTTATATACTGAATTATACTACCTTAAATTGTAATATACCGTACAGTTGAAGATCGTTCACGCCAAGCCTGGAACCCGAAAGCACTGAAACTTAATGTAGTGGTGTGTGAACAACTAGAACAGGGTCTGGAGGTTTTAGGGTTTAGGGGTTTAGGGGTTTAGGGTTTAAGGGTACAAGGGTTTGGGGTTTAGGGTTTGGGGATGATATACGTACTATTTACTATTGACTATACATATATTCTAGAACTTATGATATACTACAGCTATGTTAGATTCCGGTGTGCCGACAAAACTGCACACAAAACCTCTGATTGGGCGTTCTGCAGGTTGATCCTCATAGATCACGCGCGGCCAACAGCTGCGAGGACACAGCGCACCTAAGCATAGGGTACAGGGCTTAGGGCTTGGAATTCAGGGCTTCATGTTTAGAGACTAGGGTTCAGGGCCACTTCACTGTCAGTGAGTTTAGGGAATTTAGGGCCCCTACCTTCCAGCTAGTGCACAGGGTTTTCGATGTTACAGTTATGACCAGAAATTACGTCACTGCTAGTTTTGTATTATTCGGCTTGGGGCTAAGGATCTAAAGATCTGGGGTTTGGGGGCTTGAGGAAACCATTTGTTACTCACTCCAGGAGAGTTCGTAATGACTCGAAGGGAGTGTGGATAATGCTGACTCCGCAGATAACAGGCCTTTGGCAGGGACAGATCTTGCTTGGTCTCCCGCAATTTTCAAGACCCGAAGTGTTCAGGGTTGCCGGTTAGGGGTTGAAGGGTTTAGACTTTCAAATAACCTAATGCAAACAGAAGCCTGAATCACTACCAACAGTCTTCCGTTAACTGTCATGATACGATGAAGTAAGTACGGCCCCTAAACCCTCGAAAGCCATCTGCTGGGACCCTTGAACCCCAGAAAAGGGTGGGGCTAGGGTTTGCTTTTTTTTTTTTTTGGGGGGGGGGGGTCCTTTTTCCAACTGATCCGCCCCGCCAGGTCTCGGCCAGAAGGTCACAGGGTCTAGGGTTTGTTGGGACGGAGCCTTGTCTACATAACCCTAAACCCTAAACCCTAAACCCTAAACCCTAAACCCTAAACCCTAAACCCTAAACCGTCTACATGGTCTGATGGTCTGATGGTCCCTGAATACCTGAAGTCGGCCAAACTCTGAACCCGTAAAGAAGCGCCAAGAACTCTTACGCAACCCTTATCAAAGCCTATAGAAAAGCTACACAAACCCAAATCCTGAAGCCCCAGGCCGAAACAAACCTAAACCCGCCATAAGAAGTTTGAAAGTCAAACAAAAGCTAAAGCTCGAAACAAAAACATCCACCTAAGACTCTAACAGAGCCATTACAGGAACCCTGAAGAACCCTAAACTATACTGAATTTAGAACCCTAGCAAAAATTAGAATTTTAGCTGTCTCTTCGGGATTAGCATAACCAAAAATTAAAAAAAAAAAAAAAAAAAAAGATCTAAGTACCCTTACGTAAACCCTAAAGGAGCCCTCCAAGGAGCGCTCCAAGGGACCCTCATAGGACAACTTGCGACCAGGGTGCGGAGCACTGACACCGCCGGACAGCGCAACGTGACTCGGCTACCTCGCAGCTTCGGATCTTGCTTTCGAAGGTAAGGACTTTGGGTTTAAGGTGTGGGTTTGGGGCCTTTGGCGTTTAAGGCTTTGGGTTTTGAGTTTGGGGTTTAGGATTCAGATCTTAGCGTTGGGGTTCAGGGTTAATACAGGTCCAGGGTTTAGGGTAAGGACTTCGGTCTCTTTTGAGGGTAAGGCGTTGAGGGAACAAAGCCTTTTCCTCTCTCACCTCCAACATACTTGCTTCTTAAGAGTGAGATGCCTTAAAGGTAACCTTTCTGAGGGCATCATGGCAACTTCGACCAGCACAACTCGAACCCCATATTTCAAACTCTACTGGTACCCCAAACCGGGTCCCTGTTAGGATGGAAAGAAAACGGGATTCTTCGTATTGGCTCCTTCTGGATGCCGAATCCCAAAAAGACGCAGTTTCCCTAACACTGACCCAGTAAGCTCTGAACCCAAGCACCCAATCCTAAACACCCTAAACCCTACACCCGAAACCCTATCCTGAACCAAACTCGCTAAACCCTAAACAACAGGGAGCAGCCTGATCTCAGCTTCCTGGTGTGCTCTACGATCTCACCGTCCAGCGTGATCTCTCCTGGGTCAATCTGTGGACTTTAGGCTTTGGGATCTTAGGCCTTCGGGTGTTGGGGTTTTGGGCTTTGAGTTTAGATGGGTTTAGGATTTAATGTTTAGGGTTCAGTGTTAGCGGGTTTACAGGTTTCGGGCTTAGGGGTTTGAGTGCAGCTCTCATATTTGGGCTTAACACAAACTACAACCCGGAGCCCTAGACTGTCTGGTGCTTAGTGGGGAATGGGGGAATGGATCCCTATAGTAGCCCCTATAGAATCGCCATTCCCCCATTCCCTACTAAGAACCAGACAGTTATTGTCTCATACCCTAAACCCTAGACCCTAAATCCTAAAACCTAAACTGTTGAAAACGCTCCAGCATGTCAGTGATCAGCACTTGTAGTTTGCAGTTGTGGCTAGCTTTCAGGGCCCTTGTATAGCTGCTAGGTACCTGTAGTCTGCAAGTGTTTGTGCGCTGTTATGCTTCGGCTCGTAGGGGAAGGCTACGAAAGGTAAGCCTCTTGAGCCATGTGTACTGTAACCAACAACTTGTAAAGCTGTACTGGTCGTTTGTTGGTTTGTCGGTTCTCTTGTTGCTTCGTTGAGATCGTGAGTCGCCTCTGCGCCCAGCCATAGAAAACATTCTGCGTGAGCTTCGCTGCAGGGTATGGCCACCCAGGGTGAACACCTTCAACAGGTGATGAGCCCAACGCCTGGGCCAGAAGCAACCGGAGCGGTGGCTTCTCCGGCCTCTCTGCCTGGTGTGCGGGGAGGCGGGGATGCACCGCAGACTACAGTGAATGGTACAACCGCCGGAGTTGGAGTGCCATCGCCCTCTGGGCTTGCGCAGCCTATTGGGGATGGAATCCAGCAAACTATGATGGATGCGTCGTCGGGGCCATCGACTTCCACAGCTGGTCCAGTGCCATCCCCTCAGCTGCCACAAGAAACTGTTGGAACAGCCGGCCGACCGAGAGTTTCAGCAGTCGGTAGGACAGGAGGCGATGGAACACTAGGCCAGGTTGGAGGCTTGGGTACAGCTGGCGTTACGTATGAAGCAGTATCTACCGCGGAGGTCGCTGATGCGAGTGGGGTGCATGGAGATGCAACTGCAGTGACTCAGGGTTTCAGTGTGGCCACCGAAAGTGGAATGGCTAGCGCTCAGATCAATGTTGCCGCAGGCGTCTCAGGGTACAACCCATCTGCAGCGAATCCTGGAAGTAGTGCTGAGGGCTTTGAAACGCCCAGATCAACGGCGTACGGGGCGTCAGCGGTCATGCAGACTGGGGCTCAGGCTTTTGCTAGTCAGTTGCTAGGAAGAGTGCAGTCTCTGTTTGGTGGCGCGGCGAACGTACAGCCACTGCCGCAAGGGTGGGCTCCCAGTCCACTGACTTCTCCTCCAAGGCCGTCGCGACCACTACAGCCCCTCGAGAGAGGAGGCCGCGTCCTGCAAGATGAGTGTCAAGTGCCGATGCCGTTGTTCACTGGTGCCAACGCGCAGCAGCTTGCTGCCATGGAGCAAAGGGCTCCCTTGCTCTACGGGTCTCCAGACAGGCATCCCCACACCGAGTCCTCATCTATTCCGCATGATGCGATTCAGGCAGAAGTGGCGCCACAGCTTGAAGGGTTGAAGCAGCGCTTGCGAAAGGAACAGGAGAAAACCGGTCGTGCTGAGGCTGAAGTCTGGAGGATTCAGTCTCAGCAGGCTGGTGGATATGAGGCGCCGGCGTTGCAGCAGGTGGGTGCTGAGGAGGTGAGTTTTAGTAGGTTTGGTGATAGTGGGCTTGGTTCGCGCACTGCTACAACGTCCGGGGATGCACTGACCCCTGTCCCTTCCTCAACTCCTCCTCCTCCTCCTCCTCCTCCTGCCGCTGAGCCTCAGGGTTTAACTGGTTTGTTGTTAGGGTTGTTAGGTGCCGGTACTCGGTCCTCTAGCTCTGGACACCAGAGTAGCTCGAATGAGGAGGAGCAGGACAAGCTGCAGTTTGCAGCTGGCACTGGCAGGAGATTACAGCCGGGAGCAATCCCAGGCCGTCAAGACTTACTGCAAGCGTTGGCGACTGTGTTTCAGGCTGCGCTTCAGGTCGTGCAGGCAACACAGCACGCTTCGCACGCTTCAGGTCCTCAAGCTTCTCATCATTCCCTCCAGCTTTCAACCCAGGAGGAGCAGCCATCATCGCAGCTTCAACTCGCACTGCCAAGTGCCCCAACGCAAGACTCAACAACTGTTTCGCCCCAGGTTCTTCAAGGCATTTGTCAGGCAGTTGCCGCGCTGCCAACCAATCAGTTGTTTGATGCATGAGGTCCGCGCTCAAATGATGGTGCAGTTTAGAGGGAGTGCAGCCACCCTAAGGGTAGGCCGTGTGTTGAAGCCTTTTGCTTCAGCCACGCTGTTTTGAAAAGCAGGTAGTGCCGCTCAAGCCAAAGAGAGCATATGTGCACTTGGCCCTGTGTTAATTCAGAGGTACAAGCCCAGGAGGAGCTGTCGTGATGAGCCAACTCCTTGCAGCAGCGAAAGCCGGTCCCCTGTCAGACCTTAACTGGTTTGGGTGACCCGAATTAATAGGTACTCGTAGTCCCGAACCTGTGTGCAGAAGGCCTGTAGCACTCGCTTGTGTGCTGGGGGTAAACCAGCCAGGCCACTCGAAACCCTAATTTGTACCCTACGTGCACTTCTATGTACAGTCTTGGATATCCTCGAGAAAGTTTTGTTTATTACTTATGCAAAACGGCAAACTGGACTGATCACCCAGCTAGCCTCTAGATCAGACTTGTTGGGTGTTTAAGGCGTAATACACCCTTAACATCCCTCCTCACAGCCCCTCATCGGGCCAGAGGCCCCAGCAATACATTACGGCAGGGTCTGGAATGTATTGGAGGGGTCTGTTGGGGGGTGTCCAGGGGTTGTGATTGAAGGCATCCCATGCTATCGACGTAATTGCATATATATTTATGTCATTATGATGTTAAAAAACATGCTGGACAAGACTTGCACGTATTTTTAGGTATGTTTTCTGTTGCATCTCAGACTGGCCTGCCTCTCCCTCTCTCAACCCTTGCACGGCTTCCGGGATCGCGCTTTTTTTTCAGGACTCGAACGGAAAAGCTTCGAGTCACTTCGCCGGCACTGAGCAGCACGACTTTCGAGCCACTCCACCGGCACTTTGCAGCAGCACGACTTTCGAGCTACTCCACCCGCACTCCGCAGCAGCACGACTTTCCAGTCACTCCACACTTCGCAGCACGACTTTCCAGTCACTCCACCGGCAGCTCAGGCACAACCTTGTCCACGTGTGCCAAGAAGTTCAGGAACGGCTCCGTTCCAGTCACACACGTGGGAGCAATCGCACGGAAGCGCATGCAAACCTTTCGCGAGAACTCCTTCGAGCTGATGCCTTTGCTGCTGTCGATCTCGCCGTGCTTCAAAGTCGTAGCAAAGTACCCCGGTGCTCGCTGCAGCAGGGACTCCCAGCTGGGCCTTGGTATATGGCTGCTCGGCTGTGGCGGTTTAGGGCTTAGGTGGGGAGTGACGGGAGTGAAGGAAAAAAACGAAAGGAGACAGCATCAACCGAAATGTGGCAGAGTAGCTTAACCTTTCCAGACCACAGTCGCACACAGCCGTCCTGGGTGCACAGCGGTCTGCCGGCAGTGCTCGCATACATCTTGCGCATGATCTCCATGTAGCCTCGGATGCTCTTGAAGCCCGCCTCGGAATGAGGAAACGAGGTAATGCTGAAGCCAGGTGTGTCCTCCGGGGCCAAGTCCTTCACAGCTTGGACGCCCAGGGCCGCCGATGTGTCCACCTCCAGCAGCAGGGTCGTGGCGGTGCAGCGAACCTTGAACCAGCCGGGCGCCACCTCCATCAGCAGCCGAGGGAGGTCTTCACGGTCCTCGTGCGGGTCCATGCACAGCACGGGGCTGCAGCAGGTGGCTCGAAAGACGTGCTGCTCACCTTCCACAGGCTGTGGCAACACCAGCTGCAGACCGACGCACTCTTGTGACGGCAGCGCCTCCTCGTGAGGTTTGTGGCCGCTCCGCTTGGAGCCACGGCTTCCTCGGAAGACCCTGCTGACGATCGCCATCTTGTTGTCGCCCAGCGGATGCAAGCGGACGACAACAAGCTGGTAGTCCCGGCTCATACCAGCATCCAGCACATTGGAGGGTCGGAAGAAGCTTGGAGCTCGGATGATGGCGTCGGTCATCTTGCATCCCTCCACTTCAGCTGCTGCATGTTGGGCCCGACTGGCCACCAATCCCGCAAAACCCCACCAGCTGGCTGCTCGGCCTTGCTTGGCGCCTTGGAGTCCAAAGGAACGTTGGGCTTCGGAAAGGTCCTTCTGCAACTGGTTCCACTGCGACAGGGGTTTCTTTGGCTGCTGCACCTGGCCAGGGCGTAAGAAGGCTTCCCCCAGCCGCATCTGTGTCACGAACCTGAGCATGTCGGGGGCAAGTTTGTGCAGACGGCTGAGCATTGCATGCTCGGTGTCGCCAGCAATGGGCTCGTACTTGTCCATGCCATGCTTCTGCAGAATGGCCTCCAGTGTCATCGGCGGCTGCTTGTCGTCCACTGTGTCAGGGTCTTTCGCAGCCATAGCACGGGTGTCGCCAGATGTCGGAGCGGGATCCTTTGCATCTGTGCTGTCCGATGCCTTTGCCACGTCACTAGATGTCGGAGCGGGATTCTTTGCATCTGTGCTGTCCGATGCCTTTGCCACGTCACCAGATGTCGGAGGGGGATCCTTTGCATCTGTGCTGTCCGATGCCTTTGCGACGAGGTCACCAGATGTCGGAGGGGGATCCTTGGCATCGGCCGCGGTTTTCTCCATGTCGCGGATCTCTGCAATGACTTCGGACTCGGCCTGCAAGCAAGCAAGGGTCTGGGCGACTTCCACATTCTGGTCGAGCTCAGGGTTTGTAGGGTCCACCGCACCGTCTTCGACATCCGAGTGGGCCTCCTCCTCATCCAGCAGCTCCTGCACTGAATCATTCGGGAGAGGGCACATCACGACATGAGTGTACTCCACCGATAAAAAACAGCCTAAACCACCACACAAAACAAGTCACCTCGTCGCTGCCATAGGCTCGCAGCCGATCTGCAACCAGCTGCTTGCCCACGACATTCCACCAGTTCTGCAAGGAAGCCCCCATGTCAGCAGCACTTTTGCCAACACTCGTCAAGGCTTTGTACGTGCACACAGTGGCCCAGGCTCGCTTCCCGGCTTGGCCGGCCTCGTCATCCGACAGTGCTTTCCAGGGAAGCAGCTTTTTCTTGTCGACTGTAAACCCAGCCATGTTTTTCTTGCGACGCATGTGCAGCATCTGAGTGGTATGCAACGCAGCTCGGATGGTAGGCAAGCGATGGGCAATGTTGTTCTTCACCTCGCCGAAGTGATGCTCGTTGGCATCTTCCATGGTGGCGCTTGGCCGGAAGGGGCAGCCATCCGGCCAGTTGGCCATTCGCTCCACCATGTGCCCACATATAGCCAGGAGGTTCCCCACTGTGATCGAGTGAAAATAGCGAGCACTCGAGCCTTGTGTCTCCATGAGGTCGAACAGCAACAGATAGTATCCGCACAGTGCGCACTGAAAAATGTCAGCGGCCTGCGCGAAACTGTGCGAGGCGAGCCAAATGCCGCACCAGTGTCCGATGAGAAACATGAATGCGACGAGGCCGATGCAGTCCCATTGGTTCACATCCACGCACTGCGGATTCAGCAGCCAGCTCGACTGCGTGTCGGACTGATTGTCCGTGCCCCGCCACGCCGAAGCTGGCAAACCTCGGGTCAACATCAGCTGTGGCCACACCTTCATCTTGCCGACCTCCACGACTCGGGTCTTCACTCGCAGGGCTCTCGTCAAGCACTTCTGTGTGTGAGCCGCATCGTTGTGCCCGAAGACACAAAACTTGCCTTTGTAGGCCATGCTGGCGAAGCGGTAGCATGGGAGGGCCAAGGACCTGACGACAGGGACACACTCCTTGAAGAAGGCAGTGTTCTGATACCGCTCTTTGGGCATCAAGCCAAGGAAGAAGGTGTTCATCAGCCCATGCGAAGCATGGTTGTCGTAGGCCACGCAGCAAGGCGGGGCTGGTGCGGCACTGCACACAGCTTTCAGCACGGATCCGACATGCTCGAAGACCGTGTCGAGTGTGACCTCGCTGAGGCGTTTTGGCATCATCGCCATATCGAACCCGAATTTCCTCGTGCTGGCCTTCTTCAGGAGGAACGTCACACACTGCTGGGCCAGGTCGGTCTTCTTCAATGTGCCGGGGGCATGATCACTGACCCGGAGCTTGGCATTGCTCCCCGCGCCTCCGATGAAGTAGAGGCCATCTTGGAATCCTTGGATAGACCATTGTGGCCAAAAGGTTGTATCATCCCAGCAGACCATGTAGTCGCGGTTGTCGCTGCCGATGATGTCGAGGATCACCTGGGCGTTCTGCTTCAAGTCATCCACTCCTGGACAGAAGAAGCACGGGAGGTCAGGACGCCAGATGGATGAGGCCGGGAGCTTTGGGGCATTGTAGACGAACAGGTCCAACATGCTGGCCATCCCGCTGCATGAGCTCAAGGCAGAACCAAGCTCGGCGATGCGGCTTTCGTCAACAGTTGGCAGGCTGGATGCATTGACACGCTTCCGGCCGGCCCGGAGATTCTGTGCTTTGTTGAGAATCCCTGTCACCATCGTCCGAGCCACATCGTTCCCCTCAAGGGCACCCGACAAGATCTGCTGAGAGAGATCTTGATCAGCAGCCGAAATGCCCTTTGCCTCGACGAGCTTGTCGACGTAACTGAGAAGCTTCCTTTGCTCGTGCAGGAGGGTTCCATTAGGGTTTGCAGGGTCTAGGGTTTAGGGTTTTTTTTTTGCTAGGGTTTAGGGTTGAGGGTTTCGATATTGCTTAGACACATACAAAAGCAGAGAAATGCCTCCCCACAGCGGCCTGGTATCTGCTTCGCGGGACCTGCCTTGGGCTCCTGCCGACGTGGCAGCCAACTGAAGTGCGTCGCCACAAACTTTCGGCATGCCGGGTTCTGCAACACGATGGGAATGGAGCCTAGCAGCTCCTGCAGCTTGCTGTACAAGGTATCGTAGCTTTGACTCTGCAGCCACTCAGCGTCCACAGGTGCCTCCCACTTCGAAGACGACAGGATATCAATGGCCTCCTGCCACAAGGCATCACACTCGAGAAACCTGGCCTGGACCAGTTTCGCCAGGACGATTCTGAAGGCCCATGTGGAGACTTTGCGGCAAAAGTCTTCCGTGCTGCAGAGGCCAAAGCAGGACCTGCAGAACGGCCGGGTTGGAGGGCACATGCGGACCTCGTCCGCCTCGAAGCACTTCAGAGACTGCACCATCACCTTGCCGTCGTCACGCAGATTGACTTGACACTTGAAGCTCGTGTGGTACCAGGGGCAGTCATAGGTAGCCCACAGTTTGAAGGCATCCACCATCCCATGTGCTCGTGTCTGGTGCTCGCTGGAGTTGAGGTCGACACCGAGACAGAGTCGCGGCTGCGCCTGTGCCAGCGAGTTGACATGGCTCGGCCGAGCTTCGTGCTGTAGCACGAACAGTATGGTTGAGTCCCGAACAGCAGAAAAGATCTCCCCGCATCTGTTGCAACGCAGCTGCAGCTTCTGGGTCTGGAGGTTGACGTACTGGTTCGGACGTCGCTGGGCCAGCCACTCGAACAAGTCCTCATGCAGCGCCCGCTCCTGACCCTTCGCTCGCCGGCCTTTCTTCACTTGATCGACGTTCTCCTCGATCTTCAGTTCCCTGAGACGCTGCTGGAATGCCCGCTCATTGTCAGTCTGCTGGGGCTCGACGGACACCAAAGCACTGTCTCCCTCGGGTGCCACAGATTGTCGACCATACGACCCCCCCCCCCTCCCCCCGCCTGAAACACCCTGAATATCTCGAAATCATAACTCTACAAAGCATTGCAGCATAGTGCAGCAAGGTGCATCCTCAGCCCCGTTCTTTCGCAACTCCAGAAGCAGCCTCTGACACCGCTCGCAGTCACTGTTCGCATCGTTGTAGATGTCTTGCAGGAACTGGCCCCAGTGCTTTGGGGGCACCATGTACTGGTGCGCCGGAGCAAAGCGCTCATGGTACGTTATTCCCCGGCTGGCTGCTGTTTTTTTGCCCGCCGCCTCCACCGCCTGAAGATCCCGGCGCTGCTTTCTGCTAAGCTTCGAAGCTGGCTTGCCAGGCTTGGCACCCCCATCATCGTCGTCATCATACACAAGCACAGGTGGAGCAGCAGGCTCCGGATGTTCTCGCTTCACTGAAGACGTCTTCTTGGTTTCCCTGGGCACGGCCGGCAATGCAGGACCGGAGCTGATTGCATGGCCAGACGTCTTGCTGGCCTCACTTGGCACGACCGGCATCTCACCAGTCGGGTTGGCGTCACCCGGCTCGGCCTCTACTTTGATGACACCACTGCCCATCCTCGCCCGGAAAATCTTCTGTCCTACCACCAAGGATGGAGCGGCCTCCAGCTTGATCCCTGCAGAAGTGCCAGTGGCCGACTCGGCAGAAGCAGTTCTGAAGCGAAGGATGTCCTCTAAGTACGGTGCGGCATGGGCCTTTGGCGTAGCCAGACTGAAAACCCAGAGGTGTGTCGGGGCATCCGCCTTGTAGAGATCGCCATGCGTGCTTGTGAGGCGTTGCAGCAGCATGGACGTTGAGGTGAACAGGAAACTTGCTGACTTGTCAAGGTCCAGCAGGGTGCAAACGTGGGAGTCGTAGTGCAGGCAAGGAACCGTCGTGTCCGAGCTGGCCAGCACAGTTGAAGCTTTGTCCATGCTCACCAAGATGAAGGCGAAAAGACCTTCTGCAGGAGGCTTGCTACGGAAAGTCTCCAGGACCTTCAAGGCCGTGCTAAGCGGCTTCGCCATACAAAGCTCTCTAAGCTCGCAGTCCTGGAACAAGGCTTTCATAGGAGCGAAAAAATCGTTGTCCCGGAACAATCCTTCAAGCAGCTGAAACTTCACCTCTGTGGGCACACAATACTTGTCAGCTGCGTTCCAGCTGTCTCCCAAAATCTTCTGCATCTCCGGGTCCGCTAGGCTGTTGTACTGCCCAGCCCACAGTGTTGCTTGCTTCAGCAGCGTCCAAACCAAGGCGTCACGCTCTTGCGCTATCCAGCCGCGAAGGAACTCCTGCAACGCGGGAAATGTATTGATACCGTCCCACTGGTCCAATACATTATTGGACCGTCTAGGTATACTGGGGCAGCACCGGGGTTTCCGAGGCAAGACTGGATCTAGCTACCTGCATGCTTTTGCTAGATCCATGCAACCCATGCTGGACAACCCCGGGAGCACGATAATGTATTGATACCGTCCCACTGCGCCAATACATTATGCAATCCCTGCCTGGCAAGCCCGCTGCTGGCCGGACACCAAGTACCAGCGAGCCAGCTCAAGGCAGACCCATGTGCAGCACCTCGAGTGATCCTTCCCGAAAAGATGAAGGCTTTCGCGGTTCTGGTTGACGTCGTGCCAGAGCGTTGCCGGCAGCCGTGCCTGGACCGGGAATTGTATTGATACTGTCCCACTGTGCCAATACATTATGGTAACTAGCGCTGCCTACCTACCTACCTACCTACCTACCTACCTACCTAGAACAGCCATGAGTATCCTACAGTTCTATTTACCCAACCAGGGATAGCCGACCCTCGGAATTGTATTGATACTGTCCCACTGTGCCAATACATTATGGTAACTAGCGCTGCCTACCTACCTACCTACCTACCTACCTACCTAGAACAACCATGAGTATCCTACAGTTCTATTTACCCAACCAGGGATAGCCGACCCTCGGAATTGTATTGATACTGTCCCACTGTGCCAATACATTACGGGTACGCCCGTCTATACCTACCTAGGAAGTACCAACGTACGTACGTGTAATCCTACGACCTAGCGTGTGTTGTCGCTGCCATTCCCTGCCTCTAGAAGCATCCAGCGCTGCCTCCATATCCACTCCACCAGGTCCTGGAACTCAGTCGACAATAGAGCACCCATGGTGTCCTGACAGATTTCATGCATTCGCCGGGGAATATGATTTAGCAAAATCCGGGCACGGCTCCTGGGGGACCGCATCGCTCTGCTCGGCCATCGTCAGGAGACGGAAAGCAGCGAGGCCACCAGAAGATACAATCGCACTGATCTCAGCCACGGACACCGCCCAGTACGGGTCTTGCTGCTCCCAAGGTAGCCTCAGAACATCTCACCACCAACCAAGTGCATAAACCTATCCGACAAGTTCCGAAAAGACAAGCTCGGCCCCAGACGTGTAAAGTGAATACCGATCGGCATGACCCTCGCGACCGAAGTGATCATGAGGCAACCCGGCCAAGTTGAAGATGCTGTTGCCCGCATGCCGCAGCACACAAGCAGGAACCTCTCCAGCCTTGCCAGGTCAAGATGCCACCCGCCCCACCACCCCGCAACATCTACTAGCAGCATCTAACAGCACCAGCCTCGATCTTCAGCGTTGCCTCACAATGCAGACACACATGTCGCACCCTGGAAGCACCGAGGTCTGTGAAGGCCTTTGCTTCCGACTTGGTTGACGTGGCTTCTGGATCCATTGCCTGGTTTGCTGAACATAACAGCAGCATTGCACTCGCGCAAAGCAAGGGACGACGTCCGAGATCGCAGCATCAGCAGGCCCGGCGACTAAAGCAGTCGTGGTAACCTGCATCACTAAAGGTCTAGGGCTTAGGGTTTCAAAGGATGAGGCGAGTGTATCCCAAGGCAGCCACACCGGAGGCACCATTCTCGGCAGTTTCATGACGGACCTCGGCCAAAGCTACAAGGAATGTCTGGCGAGCAACCCAGCAACGAAGCAGCACTCACAAGCCGGACACAAGGGAGGGGTGTTTTTCCCTGTGCGACAGACGGAAGGGAAAAACACTGTGATGGCACTGGTGGTGGTTGTGGTGGCGGTGGTGCTGGTGGTGGTGGTGGTGGGGGTGGGGGCCCTAGGCCGCAAAGCCGTCCTGTATTACGATGTCGCTTTTTGCCCTCCAAGCTACGCTGTTTGGCATTTTGCCTGATCTTGACAAACCCAGGCAAAATGCTTTTTTGCCCTCCAGGCTACGCTGTTTGGCAGTTTGTGTCGAGCGACTCTCGTATACCCGTTGGGAAGGCCCTGCACATCCCCCAATCTCCTGCGTCGGGCCCTCGCCAAACCCCCAAACCCTAGGACCCTCGGGGAGGGGGAGTGTATCCCAAGGCAGCCACACCGGAGGCACGATTCTCGGCAGTTTCATGATGGACCTCGGCCAAAGAAAGGAATGTCTGGCGAGCAACCCAGCAACGAAGCAGCACTCACAAGCCGGAGACAACGTCCGAGATCGCAGCATCAGAAGGCCCGGCAAGTAAAGCAGTCGGGGCAACCTGCACCACTACAGCTTTAGGGCTTTTGGATACTCAAAAGTTCAAAAGGAGCAGATGACTATATCCTAAGGCAGCCACACCGGGGGCACCATTATCGGCAGTTTCCTGATGGACCTTAGCGGCAACATGCGGCAACGAATGTCTAGCGAGCAATCCAGCAACGAAACAAGGCAGGACAGCCAAGGCCGGGACGTTTGCTGAAGCCATACCCTTCGCATCTGGAGAGACCTCACAGCAGCGAGGCAACGACACGGACACCAACCAAATCGTCACTGTATTTACATCACACCACTAGGTCACGATAGGCCGTGGCCAAGGCCAGCACCCCGGCATCGCGAATCTCGGAACCTTCTTGAAGGGCCTCAGCAGGCACAGCACAACACGTGCGAGGCTGCTAGATCATACCGCCAACCGCCCGCCTCGAGAGGTACGACCAGCATCTGCTGTCCAGGGACCTTCCGAGCAGGCAGGAATTACAAGAAGCAGCAGAGCTTGAGCAGTCGGCACCTAGTGCGAAGCAACAGCAGCAAGCAACAAATCACAGCACTAGCACCACCTCACGAGTCAGTCTCGGGCATGTGCACCTTTTGAAACCTCTCGCGATCCCCGGTGCTGATTGAGACAAAGTCCATGACACTCCCCGTGTCAGGATAGAATGCCCGGAATCAGTTCTTCTGCACACGGCTGTGACCACTGCTGCGACCCGTCGGCCTCGCTGTCGTCTTATGCAACGGCGTGTAAGGCGCTGAGCGGGTCTTGCGAGGAGGTGTCGCTTTGGTGCCAGATATGTCCGTCGCCGTGTGTGTGCTCGGATGCAATGGTGTCATGACTGGCTCCTGCCCGATGCTTCTGCCCTCTAGGGCCAGGACACGATCCAAAGGACTCCAGGAAACAACGCGGTGGGGCATGTCCGGAGGAAATACCAGGTCTGTTGCGACTGGCTTCTTCCAGATGATTCTGTCCTCTGGCTCTGGGGTCAAGACACGATCTAAAGGACTCCAGGAGATGACACGGTCGGGCATGTTGGACAACGACGAAGCTGAGCCTGATGCCTTGGCATCCACCTTCTGTGGCGGTGGAAAGGGAACCAATGCTCTGGCTTGACCCTCCGCGAGGATCACGGCCGTGATCTTGCAGTCACCCGGTGACTCCGCCGACTCCCGGTTCACCGGGCTGGCGATCGCCGTCGCTGTCTTCGACGACCACGAGTCCATAGCAGGCAACTGCAACACCAGAAGATACCGCAAGTGCGCAACAGAGGTCTGAGCCCAAGTCGTGCAGCCATACCACTCAGAAAAGAAACAGGTCAAGGCAGCCGAGCACAGACCCAAGAAGGAAGGATCAAGCTGAGCATCGAGCGGCCACACGATCACCATGATCACCGTGATCAGCCGATGGGACCTGAGGGCTAAGGTCTAAGTCTAGGTTTCATGGGCTCACACGATCTCACACGGGGACCCTTGGGGCCCAACCTTGTCTTCAACCACGGCACCACCGGCCTCAAGGGAGCAGCAATGGCACACCGGCACGTAGGAACCCACGCAACCAAATCTTGCAACCTCAGAACACCCGAGGGTCCAGCAGTATCCGAAGCACCAGGATGTGAATCCTGGCAGGGATGAGAGGTGTAAGGGATGAAGGCTTAGTTTAGGGTGGGGGGAGGGGGGCCGACCTTGTCCTCCGCCAGGCAATCCCCAGCCTGAACTTCGGCCTGCCCGGAGCCACTCTACCACAGCATGCAAGACCTGGCACTTCCCACTCGCATGAACCTAAGGCAAGGATTGCTAACACACACACACACAAAAAAAAACACGTGCACACACTCACACACCCAGTCTACAGGAGAGAGTAGCCAACATCCATCATAGCCAGGCAAAACCAGGAGCCTCGAGGATCGGCTCAAGGACGGGCACCATCGGCTCCAAAGCCTCGTCGGACCCAGTTAGAAGACAACTGACAAAGGCCGATGTCCAGGCAAGCCTCCAGAGGCACCGGTGACAGATGCGACACCTGCGCCAGGGAGCAAGAGGAAGAAGGACGAGGCCCATGCCAAGTTCAAGGTATCCAAGCCCCAGGCCGTCGAAGCAGGATGTGTGGAGACCTGACCAGGGCAACAGTAGGGCGGAGAAGGGGGGCCGGTCAGCCCAAGGTCCGAGCCGACGTCGAAGTAGGATCTGCCGAGACCTGACCGGGTTCGGTGTTTGGGGTTCTAGGGTTCAGGGTTTGGGCTGTGGGGTTCCGGGTTTCGGGTTTGGGTTGGATGGTTGGGGCATGGGGGGTTTGGGTGTTCGGAGTTGGGGTTGGTTGGGTCTTCGAGGGTGTGGGGGTTTGGGCATGGGGGTTTGGGTGTTCGGAGTTGGGGATGGTTGGGGCTTCGGGGTTTAGGGCTTGGGCTTTCAAGCTACGGCTTGGGGGCTTGGACCAAACCCCAAAAGCTCTAGCCCAAAGCCCCAAACAAAAGAGTGGTTCCCGCAGATATCCCATACACGCAACCGAATCCTTGCCCGCTGTTTCGACCTCAAAAACCAGATGCCGCAAAGTGAAACTCACCCCTCAGATGCCGCAAAGTGAAACTCAGAGTGTTGTGCTGCTCTTTGCTGCTGTGCTGCGCTAGTGCGACTCGTGTGTCTGTGTGGCTGTGTGTGTGTTGTGTTGCTGTGTTGTGCTGTGTTGTACTGTGTTGTGTGCAGTGTAACGCTGTGTTGTGCTGCATTGTGCTCTAGTGACTCTAGTGGGGGCCGCTCATCGTCCGGTTGATCTGGATGTCATCGTCCGATATCGTCCGTCTTCTTGTCATCATCTTACTTCATGGTGGCCAAGAGGTCATCGTCCTTCTTGTTGTCATCCTGGTTCTGCTTGTCATCGCCCGTTGTCTTGTCGTCATCCTGCTTTCTGTCGTTGTCCTGCGTCTTGTCTTTCCAGTGGCTGCTTGAAGTGTCAGTGTTGTCGCCGCTGCTCTCGTCCTCGGGATCGTCCTTCTTCTCGTCGTCGTCTTTCTGGTTACCATCGCCCTCCTCAGAGTCGCGACGGCGAGCCCCCGTCTCAGTTGCCACGGCAACGCCGACGACACGAAGATGATGCGGCCCACACCCTGGATCCTGCAGCTTACGAACCATTCGAGCGACAGTCCAATCGCCCGGTATGTCAAAGGTGCAATACTCGCGGCCAAAGTGATCCAGCTGGGACACAGGCACCACTTCATCCCCATCCAGCCCCCTGGCCCAGCCAACACAGCCGACTATCGTCTGAGTGTCCGAGTCTCTCATGGCCTTCATGGCCTTCTTACACGCGGGCTTTCTCAAGGCAGCGGTCGTCCTTGCCTTCATTGCTTTCATCGCCTTCATCGTCTTCATGGCCTTCGTGGCCTGATTGGCCTTTGCAGCCGGCTTCCTGGAAACCGTCGCGGTCTTCATTGCCTTCATAGCCTTCATCGTCTTCATGGCCTTGGTGGCCTTCATGGCCTTTGGAGCCATCCAGAGTGCAGATCAAAGCCAAGCACACAAAAATCGCGAGCCAGCAAAGATCGGCCAGCTACTGTAGGGGACAATCGCAAACAAGCATGCTTTCCCTCGCTTGGACCACATACCACGAGTCCGATTGCACTGACAGCCAACCCATCACATGTTGTCAGCTGATCCTGCACTATACACTACACCACACAGCTTTGCGCTCCCCTCAGAGTCCCACTGCATCCCACCAAAACCCCCAATCACGTTGCCTCGCAGTTCTCGCCCGGCCCGTGCCCAGAAGACTCCATGGCCTGGGAGACAGGACGCCAGGACTCGAAGCAGCAAGGGAAGGCACCCAATAGCCCAAAAACCAAAACCGGACCAGACCAGTACCAATGACCAAAGTCCAAGCAAGTGCAATGCAACCCACGCCTCCGATGGCTGGTCGGGATGTCTCGCTGCATCAGCCTGCGAAAGGAAAGGAGCACCAGCAAGGCAGGACAAGCCGAACCCAAAACACCGGGACCTGCAGAACGAGGCAACTCGGCAAAATCCCCAAACCCAAACCGCAACATACCCCAACCCTGCAACCGCATGATTCACCGGACCACTCGACCCTGCCTCACGCACGGCTCCACCTGGGAGGAGCTCGGCAGCGACCTCAGCCGGGTCCAAAACAATTCAGCCACAGCATGCAAACTGAAGTCCAAGGGCGGAGCTACCGGAAGGACGCCATGTGGAGCCTGCCCGGTGCCAGTCAAGGAATATCTCCACCGATCCACACTCCATCCCACCTCGTCCTCATCTGCACTGCCATCCTCCGGCCAGTGCCTCGCCGCCCTGTCTTTGAGCCACTCTGGCACCTGCCACATGCTTCTGCAAGAGGAGCGAACACAATATGAAATCCAGGGGCCCGGCTGGATGGACACCATTTGCACGTGCCCATTCATCCGCCTGGCCAAGGAATGTGTTTCGTGGCTGTGGAATTCTCCCCCCTCCCGCTTGCCTGCTTCTTCGATTTGAACTTGTCCGTGCGGAGGTCCCGGCCGTGATCGATGAAGCGGAATGCAACTGGGAGATTTTGGAGGGGAGGTTTCAACAACCAAGCCGAAGCAAAGGAACACTGAGACAGGTGCAGGTGCGACGAAGACCCCCATAGCTCTTGAAGTTGCAGTGCCACGGCATCAGATGGAGTGTTCTTGCTAGTGATGTGATGCGCTGGCGCTGGTGCTGGTGCGGCTATGTGCCGCCGCTGCTGCTGATCATGTGGGAATCTCATGAACATCAATCCATTCATGCGCGACTTCAGAGGCAAAACACTGCACATCGCAGCAGACCCACCAATACATTAAGGGTCTCGGTGATCCCTAGGGAACGCACATACTAATGTATTGGCAGCCCCCCCGCGGACCCCCCCGGCAATACATTAGATAAGTAGGGGGGATCCCTTAACCACCCGCAACTTGTGCCGCGTCTGCAGAGACCGCCACCGCACAGGTCTCTAAACACGCTGAGGTGCCAGAAGGTTCGAGGTCAGGCGAAGATGACATGCTGTAAATACGCAGCTTGTGGCGTCGCCCTGACGAGCGAGCCAAGGAGGAGTGTTGAAAACGCTCCAGCATGTCAGTGATCAGCACTTGTAGTTTGCAGTTGTGGCTAGCTTTCAGGGCCCTTGTATAGCTGCTAGGTACCTGTAGTCTGCAAGTGTTTGTGCGCTGTTATGCTTCGGCTCGTAGGGGAAGGCTACGAAAGGTAAGCCTCTTGAGCCATGTGTACTGTAACCAACAACTTGTAAAGCTGTACTGGTCGTTTGTTGGTTTGTCGGTTCTCTTGTTGCTTCGTTGAGATCGTGAGTCGCCTCTGCGCCCAGCCATAGAAAACATTCTGCGTGAGCTTCGCTGCAGGGTATGGCCACCCAGGGTGAACACCTTCAACATAAACCCTAAACCCCTAAACCCCTAAATCCTAAAACCTAAACCCTAAACCCCCAAACCCCTAAATCCTAAAACCTAAACCCTAAACCCCTAAATCCTAAAACCCGGAGCCCTGGAGAATGGTTTTCCTTCTGATCGTCGAGGCTTGGGCCAGCAACTCTTCACGCTCGGAGGCAAGTTGCAAACACATCCTATCACGAAAGCCCTAACCCAGACCCCCGAGAGTATCCAAAAAGTAGATCCCTTAATGGGAGTTTCCATAAAGTACCCTTAGTAGTATAGGGCACAGATTAGGGGATCTACTTTCTAGATCCTCCCGGGGGTCTGGGAATACGAAGGTTGAATAGTTCTTCCTGAAGGCTCCTTCCTACACGTAAATATACCCTCATACGTACTCTATCCGACCTCTTCAGTCCCCTAGATTCCCCAGATTAGGCAGAGGTTCACTCCTGCAAAGCCTCTGCAAGCAGCATGTTATCAGAGCTTTGCGCCTCAGGTGAGTGGCTCAACACTACAATGTGGCGTCTTTCGTCCGCACAAACCGTAGGCGGCAGTGGACTAGAAATGAGAAGGTTCTGGTAGGTTAAGACAAGACTATGGCTACTGCCAGTGTTACTACGATTACCAATACGATTGTATGTACTACAATGAGCCAAGAAAGAGACCGTAGTGTTCCTCAAAAAGGTAGGTTATTTGGGGTCCGGGTAGGATTTAGTGCCGAGGCGCCGCTCCGGACTGCATCGCGAATCGCTCTCCGCGAAGAAAGGAGCTCCTCTCAAGTCTTCAGGTCTAACGCTGGGTCGGTAACACTAAACCCTAAACCCAGACCCCCGGGAGGATCCAAAAAGTAGATCCCTTAATGGGGGTTCCTACAAAGTACCCTTAGTAGTATAGGGCCCCAAATTAGGGGATCTACTTCCTAGATCCTCCCGGGGCCCTACTCCTCAACCCGAGGCTTCTATTAAAGGCTGCAAGGCTGCTGTGACAAGCGCTTTTGAAGTTGAGGGATTCAGGGGGTAATATTGGGTTTAGGGCTGTTTCAAGGGCCACTGCAAGGATCGCTGCAGGGCTTACTACCGTTGGGTTCTCTACGCTTTAGGCTTGGGGCCTAGAGCATTAACCTTTTTCGTGTAAGTTCAGGGATCAGGACATTTGAGCAAACCCTAAACCCTAAACCCTAAACCCTAAACCCTAAACATACAATCCTCAGCACTGAGCCAGGGCCTTAGGGTTTAGGGGTTTAGGGGTTTAGGGTTTAGGGTTTAGGGTTTAGGGTTTAGGGATTGGGGGTTTGGGATTTAGGGGTTTAGAGTTTAGGCAAAGAAACCCTTACGGTAACCGTTAAGGGAACTCTGTCAAGGACCCTTTTCAAAAGGCCCTTACAAACCCCCGAGCCCGCTTATGGGATCTCAAGCCGTCAATTTTCAGGCCCACAGAGGCTGCCGGTAGTTCTGTGGTATCCTTGCTTGGGGGCTTTGGGTTTCGACTCGAAGAAGCAGTTTTCCGAAAACTAGATTTGTCTGCCTTGATCGACTACAGCATCGACATCTAGAAAAGCAACAGCAGCAACAACAACAACAACCACTACCACCACGACGACCGATGCGACGACGCCAGCGACGACGAATACCGCTGCGACCACGACAGCGACCGCGACTGCGACTACGACGACGGCGCCTACGACGACCACGACCACGACTACTACTGCTGCTGCTACTACTACTTATACCACCACGACCACCACGACCACTGCTGCTACTGCTACTACTACTACCACTACTACTACTACTACTACTACTACTACTACTACTACTACTACTACTACTACTACTACTACTACTACTACTACTACTACACTACTACTGTTGCTACTACTGCTACTGCTGCGTCTTCTACTTCTGCTACTTCGACTTCTAGCTGATGTGACTTCTACTCTGGCTTTTGCGTCTATGCCAATTTCTACTTCCAGTTCTAAAGTTGGGATTGCTGCTTGCAACATGACTGTGATGACTATTTGCTGAGAGTTCCACCCCGTCCGAACTCCGAATACCGGAAAGTCAATCATTCTGATATGGGAGTCGGAACAGACAGCAGTCATGTCTGCTTAGAGTCCCTCTATACTTGTAATCATCTCATCTGAAAGTCCCAAGATACTTGTACTACGTTGATCTGCTCTATCCCAAACCCAAATCGAATCATGATGGCCGCATATAGTCCCAATATACTTGTCATATACTATATCCCGAAACCCAATGCGAATCATGAAGGCCCCCGTTTTGCCCAATCGGACGGCGCATCCTGGAAGTGGCGCCTGCAGAAGTTCTCGAGGCGGATGTCGGCATCCTTCCCAAACGTCGGAAACACGGGAAGGGACGGTTTAGGCATCTATGTGGGGTCGCCTCTGTTCGGAAAACCCTACGTCAACTCGGAGGTATTGGAACTGAAGTGCCCGTTTTCAGGGTATCCTTCTGTTACGGCTCCTAGCGGTGAGGTTAGGGTTGTAGGTTTGGGAAGAATTCTTGGAAAAAGGTATGCTCCAAAGCCCTGGGTAGACCGCAGCCCAGCCCAGCCCAGCCCCACAGGCGAGACAGCACACAGAAACCATGACCCTAGTGTACTCCGGCATCGTTGCTAGTATTAACAATATCTTTAAGTATATGGCGAATGTCACTGTCATAAATATTACTCTTCTTGTTATTGTTATATGGAAGCTCTCGTAAGTGAAGGCCATGGCAGTTGAAATCTCTCGTCGGGGCATCTCCAGAGGTCGATGGCACGGGCCGTTCTCGGACTTGCTGGCTGGCCAATACACACTCTACAACGCCTACTACACTAATACTACTATTACACTAGTACTACTACTAATATTTCTATGAATACTACTGCTACTATAACTACTGCTACATGGTCTGGTTTGACCAGCAGGCTTCAAACCCGGAGAAAGGTGCTCGGATCGTGTTCCTCTTTTCTCTCTCCCCCTCCCTCCATCTATCTATCTTGCTCTCTCTCTCTCTCTCTCTCTCTCTCTCTCTCTCTCTCTCTCCCTCGTTTTGACGTACATTGCAAATTTCCTAT